CAAACCTGACAATAGTCTCTTTCTTGGTCAACTCCTCGATCGTCCTCTAAGTGCGCTTCGCAAGGTTATATGCACTGTTTAGTAGTTTATGGCTACAGGATGTCTTTTTTCTGGTCTCCTAGTTTTGAGTTTTTTAAGGATTTTTTTTCAATTTTATTTTACAATTCTACAAGAATATCAGAAGCCCTAAATTTGAGTTCTTCTTTTGAGAAACTCTTTGTTCATAGAAACCATTTTTTAAATATTTTCTTTAGTTAGAACATAAAAAAATCACACAATCTCTATGCAATTTTTAGGTATGGTTTTGAATAATTACATCTGGAACAAAAAATGGCAAGATATGATATGTTGTTATACGGTGTAAAATAAAAGAACATGACATATTTTGTTTACAAAATGGTCATTGACCTAAGATCAAGAATATACAAGCACGACGTTACGTAAATTATCAAATCAAACATTAATTGGACTATAATTTGATTGGAACCATTAGCATAAATAGTTCATAGTAGAAGATGATGTGTCAAAAGTCCTTCGTCTGCATGTACGACTATATATACATCCACGTCCTTAAACATAGTCAGCGTCTTGTCAAATGGAAAATAGTATATAGTGAAGAGTGATGTCAAATGGTTATAATAATATTGGAAAAAAAGAACTTTAATAGATGAATGTTACATATTGGTATTTTTGCATTATATGAAATATTGGAGCGTCGTATTGGGGGTTTAAGAGCTCACCTATCCTACTCCTTGCCAAATGTAGTCAGTAGTCCCCTTATGATTAGACGGATTACTATTATGTCTTATTATTATTTTTGTTTTAATCAAAACCAATTATGTATCGTTAAGTGGGTGACTACTAGATCACACTCATCCTCCATTTGGAAACTTTTTCTAAACGTTTTTCTGCATTTTCCTAATTGTTTTTAATATATTTGAATCTTTAAACGGTGATAAGCATTAGCTCTACTTTGATGGAAATGGAATCAATTAAATAGAATGCAAATATTGCAAGTTCTTAACCCTGTATTTGCATCCTTCTCTAAATGTTTTAAATGTTTAAACACTGAAAAGAAATACTGTAACATGCTCGTTAAAGATTTGATGGTCATGGTTCTACGCTTCTACTCTAAATGAATTGATAATTAGTGTGTTGATCTATATATAGTTAAACCTCTATAAATTAATATTGTTGGGACTGTAATATTTTCTTAATTTATCGAGTTATTAATTTATCGATATAAAAATCAACTCAAAAAACTAATTTGATACTTAAGAAATGTATTAATTTATCGAAGTATTAATTTATCGAGTATTAATTTATAGAGGTTATACTATATTCCATATACACTTTACTTTTAATCCTATCATATATGTGGTGTGAGATTTCTAAAACCCATTCGATACCGAATTTCATCATAAAATCAATATTAAAACAAACAAACTCTTTGGATTTGATACCATATCAATCAATGATTCAATATTAATAAGTTTATATCTCAATATCAATTAGGAATGAATTTATATACCAGATTAGGTATCCATCACTGATGTTGCATTTCTAACATAGCCTTTAATGAATTTAATTAAAATTTAAAACGTAACTATATCGCATATATGTTCTTAAAACTTTATTTGTATGCATCTTTTTCTAAAAGTCTTAAAACGTTTTAAATGCCTAAACATTGAGAAGAATAATCCTCGATTAATGGATTTAAATGAATAAAATTTAATAATTGAAGGTTGAAGTTTAAACTTTGTTTTTAATAGACAAAGTGGTTTCGTTTCAACATTTAGCATACAAGCACGATGAACTCAACAATGTCGATATCAAATGTCAATTTGTCTGTCAAAAGAAAAAAAAAAAAAAAAAACAAGGATGCGGTGAGCGTGGATCGAACACGCGACCTTCAGATCTTCAGTCTGACGCTCTCCCAACTGAGCTATCCCCGCATGTTGAAACTATATTCATGTGTTAAATATATAGAAAGATTGATTCTGGGTGCATCTTGCGTGAAGATGAGTTTTGGTATTAATTCCAAGAACGTATTTAGCTATCCAAAAGAATGAGTGGAGTAGGTGATGAAACATTTTTTTATTATTTATTTGATGGCAATTTGACCGAAACAGACATAATAATAATATGTGTGATGGTATTGAATATTCAATGCTGCCTTACTACATGATCTTGAATATTCTTCAGTTAGAAGCTGAGAAAGTGAAACTTGTTGCTCGAGTTGCATTAGGAGACAATGCTGCACCTGCCTTACAAGATCACCCATCATATATGGTTTTGAAGGTAAATTAATACAGTATCTTACTGCTTTGAAATGGATTATAATTTGCCGTTTAACGCTTGTAGTGACCGACATCGTGACGTTATTATCTTCCTTTGAACGACGTGTTATCCAGCCAATCGGACGTCTTTCGCCGTATAAGTTTATTGGGCTGGGCCTTTGTAGACCCAAATCAGCAAAAAAAATAAAATGATAAGGCACTCCAGATTTAAACTTGAACCAAAATAATGAAATAATATGTGGACAGCAAACAAAAATTCTCATGTCTTGAGTTTCCTTATCTAGTTTCGTTGTCTTCCTTATCAGAATTAATAAATATAATATATATATATATATATATATTTTTTTTTTTTCCCCTTTATCTGCGCATTAAGACCTCTCTCTCTCTCCCATGAGAAGAAGTGAAAGACAGGTGGCGTTTCTTAGTTTCACTGGTTCTCTCTCGCAGAGCTTTTTTTTTCTTGAAACCTTAAATTACAAAGTATTCGTTTCTTTCCCGACAAAACATGGGAGATTTCGAGGAGAAGAAAGCTCTTATTATGTCTGATGCAGAAAGATCCACGCAGACTAAGGTAACAACTATCTCAAGAAAATCTGCTATCGCTCCATTTTTAAACAATGACTCACTCACTATATCGAGTTTGATGAAATCTGGATATGCCATCGTCAGGTTAATCTGAGTTTTTGTCTAATTTTTGAACTCTTGATTGTCTCTCCGGCTAAACTTTTGGACGACTTTACTGTTAATGATTTTTCGAAATGCAAGTTACTGTTTCGAGTTGTTAGAGCTATGTCCCTAAAGTCCCACCTTTTGGTGAGCAAAAAGGCTTGCTTTAAACTCTTCTTGCAGACTACAGTTAACAAAGGAGGAGAGTATCGCTGCAAGTCATGCGGTGAAGGAAGCAGTTGCAGGACAGTGAGGTCAAAAACGAAGCTGATGAACATTCTGATCGAGCGAGGACGGCCTCACGAGGCCCAAACCGTTTTCAAAACATTTGCAGAGACAGGACACAGGCCCTCCTTGATTACTTACACAACTCTCCTAGCTGCCTTGACGGTCCAGAGGCAGTACGGTTCCATAAGCAATATAGTCTCTGAGGCGGAACAGAGCGGGACGAAACCTGACTCCATCTTCTTCAACGCGGTCATCAACGCTTTCTCTGAGTCCGGTAACATAGAAGACGCGGTTCAAGCTCTGTTGAGAATGAAAGAACTTGGTCTAAATCCCACCACGAGCACATACAACACTTTGATCAAAGGGTACGGGATTGCAGGCCGGCCCGAGAGATCATCCGAGCTGATGGATCTTATGTTGGAGGAGAACAACAACTATGTTAGACCGAATATAAGGACGTTCAATGTGCTGGTGCAAGCGTGGTGCAAGAAGAAGAAGGTGGAGGAGGCGTGGAAAGTGGTGCGTAAGATGGAAGAGTGTGGAGTCGAGCCGGACACAGTGACGTATAACACAATCGCAACTTGTTATGTGCAGAAAGGGGAGACCGAGAGAGCTGAGAGAGAGGTGGTCGAGAAGATGGTTATGAAGGAGAAGGCTAAACCGAACGGAAGAACCTGTGGGATAGTGGTGGGAGGGTATTGCAGAGAAGGGAGAGTGAGAGATGGTTTGAGGTTTGTGAGGAGGATGAAGGAAATGAGAGTTGAAGCAAATCTTGTGGTTTTCAATTCCTTGATCAAAGGCTTTGTTGAGATCATGGACCGCGATGGCATCCATGAGGTAAACCAACACTCTATTCTCGTTATTGTAGTTTGGGGTTTAGCTTGAATTGGTTATAAAAAAATGAAAATGCAGGTTCTTGCCTTGATGAAGGAGTGTAAGGTGAAAGCAGATGTAATCACGTACAGCACTGTGATGAACGCTTGGAGCTCTGCTGGATACATGGAGAAAGCTGCACAAGTGTTTGAAGAAATGGTCAAAGCAGGAGTCAAACCAGACGCTCACGCTTACAGCATTTTGGCCAAAGGGTACGTTAGGGCTAAAGAGCCAAAGAAAGCTGAGGAGCTTCTTGAGACGATGGTTGAATGCAGGCCCAATGTTGTGATCTTCACCACGGTGATCAGTGGGTGGTGTAGCACTGGAAATATGGAGGATGCGATGAGGGTTTTAACCAAGATGTGCGAGTTCGGGGTCTCACCAAATATAAAGACGTTTGAGACGTTGATGTGGGGCTACCTGGAAGTGAAGCAGCCATGGAAAGCAGAAGAGGTTTTGCAGATGATGAGAGGATTCGGTGTGAAGCCTGAGAATTCCACCTTCAGGCTGTTAGCAGAAGCTTGGCGTGTCGCGGGACTTACTGACGAGTCGAACAAAGCAATCAACGTATTGAAGTGTAAAGACATAGATATCGAGAGGTTAGAGAAGCTTTACCAGAAACAGTCCTCCGGGAGTTTTAGTCTGTTGCAGATTCCAGTCGGGAAACGGGAGCTTCCAACTGCAAAGGCCATGAATCTTTCTGCTTGCAAACTTGGAGCTCGAGTGCCAATTATATGCCAGAAGCAGTCCCAAGCCCAGTTTGGGATCAGAGGACAGTTTGTGCATTCTTGTACAGTGTTCTTGAACTGAAAGGACAGAACTGGCTTTGGCTGAAGCCAGAAATCTTATTTTCCTACTCTTCTGTTCAAATTTCAGTGTCAAAACAGTGTGAACTCACTTATATGTACATTACAACAGAATGGTCGTATAAATCTATTGTACAGATTCTGTTTCAGAGCGTAACATAAAAAAAACTAGCGGTAGACTTCTGTTTCAAAAGAATTAGTAGTACTCGAAGAAACTCGGTTTAGAGCCTGTTCTTCAGTTTTACAAGGATTTGTCACTCTTATCAATCGTTACATCAGTGCGTTCACTGGAAAACTATTATGTACCTTACAAGAGCCGATTATACCGATTGTGTCCTCACTTTTAGGGGGATTTTTTATCTTCTTGATCCACAGGTTCCGAGGGAAATCTGCTGAGAAGCCAAACTAAGACAGCACCAACAAGAGCACCCGAGAGATGGGCAATGTGATTAACAGTCTGCAAAGAATGGCCACCATATATAGTTCCTGATAATCCAGCTGAAGCCTGAGCTGCTTCCAAAACCTATAATAATCAATGAGCTAATAATATTACCGTCCCCTGAATTCTATCACCACTTGTCAAATTCTAAGACATTTTCTTCCATATATTGTATGATATTAAAGACATATAATAACCATAAGAAACTGGGAATGCAAGCAGGAATAACAGTTATAACCATACTAAAATTTGAACGATTCTTACCCTCTCAACAACGAACTGACCCAATATTAGAACTTCAAGGATTTTCCTCCAATCCCAAGACATCTACAATATCAGTTTTGAAAGAAGTTGAAATAAATACAAAATGTAGCTGGTTGATTTACAAGGACCTGGAACAAGTTGAGAAGAGAAACTTTTAGTACCTTGACAAGGACACTGATAGCAAATAACCCAAAAACAGCCCCTGAGGCTCCAACAGAAACTACATTTCTCGGTAAAACTAACCAAGACACCAGGTTAGCTCCAACACCAGTGAACAAGTAGGACAGCCACAAACCAAAATTTCCTTCTTCTTCTTCAACGAGCTTTCCTGTTAACCACAGAACGAGTCCCATTGCCCATTAGCTCTGAATTGATAAACTATTTAGTTCAACTATGCGAAAATCTTCAACCCTCACCAAAGATGTACAGGAAAAAAAGATTGCTCGAGAGATGGTTCCTAGAATATATATACAAAAAAAAAAGAACAACCAGGAAGGTCAGCAACCGCAAGAGAAAAAACATCAGATGAAAGAAAACAAAGAACGCATAGAGCTCTCACCAGTTAGCATGACAGAATGTTGCAGTCACAAACTGGTACCACACCGGAAAATTGTGATACAAATACAGAGACTTGATGCTTCGAACCTATTGAATAAAGAATGTAAACCTACGCTTCTTTTCAAAACATCATTTTTAACTCGTTCTAATAACCGGGTCAATCCAAAGAGGAGATTTTTAAGAGATCAAATCCAGAAACTGCTACGGTATTGTAAACCACATGTTCAATACCTGAAAGAAGTGATCTGCCACAAAAATGCCAATATTGATAAGTATGATCCAAAAGATGCCATTGGCTCGCTTTTGTGGTTTCCGTTTGTCTTGTGGTTTACCCAGCTCAAACTGTGGCGTAATGTCTTCTGAACAAGACGTCAACAGTAACTTTAGTTACTTAATAGACGAGAGGATTGTATGGATAAAGTCGAACCATTATTGGAAAAATATCACAATTCTAGCATCAGTATATGATTTCATTGAACATTAGCACTATTAGCACAATTAGCACAATATTCATCTCGAGATATCAAAAATCCAAGCTTTGAAATTTCAGAACTATTAACCGATCTCACCTGATTGGCTGAACCTGCAAGCAATACGAGATTTTACGACGGTGGGAGGACGAAAAAGGGTGGCTTTTGTTGAATTGAGCTCTAAAGCTGAGGAGAGGGGAAAGTTGTTGGTAGGTGGTTTCGGCGACGAAGCTGCACGGCGGCGATGTGAGGAAGTTAAAGGCGGGAATCCGAAACGAATAGAAAATTGTGGGAGAGAGAGACGGTGAAGGTGAAGTTGGGACATTTGGAAAAATGGCGTTGATGGAGTTTGCTGCTCAGCTAATTTACAGTCGTTGACCTTTTTCAACTTCTTCATTTTAATTAACAAGGCCGAATACACTCCGAACCGGAAACCCAATTAAGCTAAAGTTGGGTCAAGTCAACAATCCGACCCGGAAATGATTCCGGTTATTCATCAGTAAACCCTAGCTTAGCTTGTTACCCTTCTCTCTCTCTCTCTTCTCATCTTCTTCCCCTTTTCCTTCTTCTGAAACCGCACAGTTCTTCAGGGAGCGAGGAAGATTCTGCAACCATGGCGAGCAACTACGAGTTCGACGATGCTCAGCGGCAGGACAGCCAGGACACTGCTTACGACCCGAACTTTGTACCGGATTCCGTGAAATCGTTTGTGGTTCACATGTACAGACACATTAGGGAGAAGAACGTCTACGAGATCCACCAGATGTGTGAGACATCGTTCCAGACCTTGTCTGAACGGCTTTTCAAGGACACGCCTTGGCCTTGTGTGGAAGCCATTGCTCCTTATGTAGACAATGATCATGTTTTCTGCCTCCTCTACCGCGAGATGTGGTTCCGACACTTGTATGCGAGGTTGTCGCCTACGCTCAAGCAGAGGATTGATTCTTATGATAACTATTGCAGCTTATTTCAGGTGTGTTTCCACTCGAATTTATCTGTTTTTCAATGGGATTGATTTGCTTCAGTTATCACATATACTGTTCGGGTCATGGATTGAGGTCAAATTAAGATGCTTTAGATAGAATAAGCTTTTGTATGGAAGTTATCGTTGGGTTCAATGTTGAATGTTGATCTCTTTTTGCTCCGATTGCGATGCATTTTGAGTGAGTTTCTGGTTTGTTCTAGGTGGTGTTGCACGGTGTAGTAAATATGCAGTTACCGAACCAGTGGTTGTGGGATATGGTGGATGAGTTTGTCTATCAGTTCCAAAGTTTCTGTCAATACAGAGCCAAGATGAAGAACAAAACTGAGCAGGAGATAGCATTGCTGAAACAGAATGATAAGGTATATTCTTTCGTTGTATGTTCTCGTTAGCTACGGTCATCTGATTCTTCTGTTTGTCATAATGATTAGCGTCATCTGACTGATATCCACATAACTATCTCAGGCGTGGAATGTGTATGGGGTGCTCAACTTCTTGCAAGCACTAGTGGAAAAGTCTACCATCATCCAAATTCTGGAGCAAGAGAAGGAAGGACTTGAGCAATTCACTGCCACCGACGGGTACGATTACAGTGGTGGAAGCAACGTGTTGAAGGTCCTAGGTTACTTCAGTATGGTCGGTCTGTTGCGTGTTCACTGCCTCCTGGGTGATTACCATACTGGTCTGAAATGGTTGCAGCCCATTGACATCAGCCAGCAAGGTGTTTACACCAGTGTCATAGGATGCCATATCGCAACTATATATCACTATGGATTTGCCAGCCTTATGTTGCGAAGGTATACCCTCACTTTTATCTGACAACGTCTTAGCCATTTAGGGGACTGGGAATCTTTTCTTCAGAGAGGAAGTTTCTCACGCTGTGATAACTTTTTATAGGTATGTAGATGCCGTTCGTGAGTTCAACAAGATTCTCCTCTACATTTACAAGACAAAGCAGTACCACCAAAAATCAGCGCAGTATGAGCAAATACTGAAGAAGAATGAGCAGATGTATGCATTACTCGCGGTCTGCCTCTCGCTCTGCCCTCAAACAAAACTTGTTGATGAGTCTGTCAACTCTCAATTGCGAGAGAAGTATGGTGAAAAGATGATGAGGATGCAGAGATACGATGATGAGGCATTTGGTATTTATGATGAGCTCTTCTCTTATGCATGCCCCAAGTTTATCACCCCTTCGGCTCCGAGTTTTGAGGAACCTCTAGTCAACTACAACCAGGTACTACGGTTTATCAGTTACACAATTATGAGGACTTGCGTGTTTCAACACTTCTTAACATTCTCGGCTCTGGCACCTCAGGATGCATACAGGCTTCAGTTGAAGATGTTCCTCTATGAATTAAAACAGCAGCAGCTTTTGTCGGGAGTGCGGACATTCCTGAAAGTCTACTCTTCCATTTCTCTTGCTAAACTCGCAAACTTCATGGAAGTTGATGAACCCACTCTAAGGTGAGGAACCATTTGCAGATAGCTTTTACCTAAAAGTCTCTCAGCAGTGTAATTTATCTTTGACTTGTACTAATTCAATGGCAGGACCATATTGCTGACATACAAGCACAAGACTCATTCAGTTGATTCTGATGGAAAGATCATCTCCAATGCAGACATTGACTTCTACATCAACAATGTATGATTTTCCTACTTTTTCCATATCTTAATTCCATTGGTGCTCTCATGCTTTGGAAGTAACTTTAAAGCTGGTGAAATCGCAGGATATGATCTACGTTGTGGAATCAAAACCTGCAAAACGTTATGGTGATTTTTTCTTGCGGCAGATTGCCAAGGTTTGCTAACTGAATCTAAGATGGGTTAACACAAACGCATGCTTTTCAGACATGATAAGAGTCCCACCTTTTTTTGTTTTTTTTTGTTTTTTGGTGTTGTGCAGCTTGAAGGTGTGATAAACGACATGGATCGCATCAAGCTGGAATGAAGATTTTTGTCTGTGTTATCTTCAACTCTCTGCTCAGTTGATATGTTTTTTTTTTTGCTTTTGTTTAACCATAAATTTATTGGAACCACTTTTTGAGAAACTCGCTTCATCAAGTCAAATGCTGTAACATTGTGTTTTCATCTTTTCAATTCAGGAAATAAATCCTACTCTTTTTGGTGTAATCATCTATGTTATGAAATTTTTTCATAACCTGTAGTATCCCTTTAGTGTGGTTGAAGGCTCGATTTTATGTATTGCCTCCATCTCTGCTCTTCCAACTTCAATTCATTTCTTGGATACTTTGTGCCCAAGCATAATCTCATTGTTCACTATACAACTAGAGCAAAGAATGTAAAGATGGCAAATGGGCACTCATGAGATGTAGACAATATGTGATTTTTAAAGATGGATTCATAGTCTTACTAAACATAGATGACATGTGTTCTTGAAATATGAAAGAATTTAATCTTTATATAGTTCAAATCAGAATCATCAAAGTTATCAAAAAGTTGGTACTCTGTACTCCAAGCAGGAAAAAAAAAAAAAAGAATAAGTTGTAATCGCTGAAGCCATTATATCAAAAGGCAAAGAAAGTTTAAATTATCTTTGGCATAGAAAATTTGGACACAATTCGAAAGGAGGCTCGAGATCCTAGTAAGCGAGGAATTTTTTTTAATAATCTTTTGGATATTCTACAGTTACCACTATATGGAAAAAACTGAACATCTCTCTTAAAATCGACGATTACACCACAAACGAGTGGATCTATTTCCCGAACTGAAAAGATGAGAAAAATTCTACACCACTTGACTAAAGGTACACTCAATTCCTCATTCCAGCTTGATGCGGTCCACGTCGTTTATCACACCTTCAAGCTACACAATGAGACAAAAACAGTTGGATTATCATCTCTGCAAGTATGCGAGCCTGTGCAAACATCTTAGATTCAGTTTGCATACCTTGGCAATCTGCCTCAAGAAGAAATCGCCATAACGTTTTGCAGGCTTTGATTCCACAACGTAGATCATGTCCTGCAGTTTCACCAGCTTTGAAGTTACTTCTAAAGCATCAGAGAATATCTATGGAAAAGGAGAAAACGAAAAGTCGGAAAGGCATACATTGTTAATGTAGAAATCAATGTCTGCATTGGAAGTGATCTTTCCATCAGAATCAACTGAATGTGTCTTGTGCTTGTATGTCAGCAATATGGTCCTGCCATTGAATTAGTACAAGTCAAAGATAAAGTACAGTGCTAAGAGACTTTTAGGTAAAAGCTATCTGCAAATGGTTCCTCACCTTAGAGTGGGTTCATCAACTTCCATGTAGTTTGCGAGCTTAGCAAGAGAAATGGAAGAGTAGACTTTCAGGAATGTCCGCACTCCCGACAAAAGCTGCTGCTGTTTTAATTCATAGAGGAACATCTTCAACTGAAGCCTGTATGCATCCTGAGATGCCAGAGCCGGGAATGTTAAAACTGTTGAAACACGCAAGTCCTCATAATTGTGTAACTGATAAACCGTAGTACCTGGTTGTAGTTGACCAGAGGTTCCTCAAAACTCGGAGCCGAAGGGGTGATAAACTTGGGGCATGCATAAGAGAAGAGCTCATCATAAATACCAAATGCTTCATCGTCGTATCTCTGCATCCTCATCATCTTTTCACCATACTTCTCTCGCAATTGAGAGTTGACAGACTCATCAACAAGCTTTGCTTGAGGGCAGAGCGAGAGGCAAACGGCAAGTAATGCATACATCTGCTCATTCTTCTTCAGTATTTGCTCATACTGCGATGATTTTTGGTGGTACTGCTTTGTCTTGTAAATGTAGAGGAGAATCTTGTTGAACTCACGAACGGCATCTACATACCTATCAAAAGTTATCACAGCGTGAGAAACTTCCTCTCTGAAGGAAAGATTCCCAGTCCCCTAAATGGCTAAGATAAAAGTGAGGTTGTACCTTCGCAACATAAGGTTGGCAAATCCATAGTGATATATAGTTGCGATATGGCATCCTATGACACTGGTGTAAACACCTTGCTGGCTGATGTCAATGGGCTGCAACCATTTCAGACCAGTATGGTAATCACCCAGGAGGCAGTGAACACGCAACAGACCGACCATACTGAAGTAACCTAGGACCTTCAACACGTTGCTTCCACCACTGTAATCGTACCCGTCGGTGGCAGTGAATTGCTCAAGTCCTTCCTTCTCTTGCTCCAGAATTTGGATGATGGTAGACTTTTCCACTAGTGCTTGCAAGAAGTTGAGCACCCCATACACATTCCACGCCTGAGACAGTTATGTGGATATCAGTCAGATGACGCTAATCATTATGACAAACAGAAGAATCAGATGACCGTAGCTAGCGAGAACATACAACGAAAGAATATACCTTATCATTCTGTTTCAGCAATGCTATCTCCTGCTCAGTTTTGTTCTTCATCTTGGCTCTGTATTGACAGAAACTTTGGAACTGATAGACAAACTCATCCACCATATCCCACAACCACTGGTTCGGTAACTGCATATTGACTACACCGTGCAACACCACCTAGAACAAACCAGAAACTCACTCAAAATGCATCGCAATCGGAGCAAAAAGAGATTAACTTTCGACCCTGAACCCAGCGATAACTTCCCATAAAACTAGAACAAAAGCTTATTCTATCTAAAGCATCTTAATTCCACCTCAATCCATGACCAGAACAGTATATGTGACTAACTGAAGCAAATCAATCCCATTGAAAAACAGATAAATTTGAGTGGAAACGCACCTGAAACAAGCTGCAATAGTTATCATAAGAATCAATCCTCTGCTTGAGCGTAGGCGACAACCTCGCGTACAAGTGTCGGAACCACATCTCGCGGTAGAGAAGGCAGAAAACATGATCATTGTCTACATAAGGAGCAATGGCTTCCACACAAGGCCAAGGCGTGTCCTTGAAAAGCCGTTCAGACAAAGTCTGGAACGATGTCTCACACATCTGATGGATCTCGTAGACGTTCTTCTCCCTAATGTGTCTATACATGTGAACCACGAACGATTTCACGGAATCTGGTACAAAGTTTGGGTCGTAAGCAGTGTCCTGGCCGCTCTGCCGCTGAGAATCGTCGTAGTTCGCCGGAGCATCTTCGAAGTCGTAGTTGCTCGCCATCTTTGGAAAAAAACTGGTGAATTGCTGATGAACTGTGATTTGAGAAGAACGATAATGGGAAGAGGAGAAGTGAGACGGAAGGACAAGGAACAATAGCTAGGGTTAACACAAGATCCAGAACCGGGTTGGTTTGTTGTAATTATTTTTGGTTTTTGTTTGGACGTTCCGGTTATATGACTCCGTCTTTAAACCAGAAAATTTGAGAGAAAAAAAAAAAAGAAAAACAAAAGCTTAGAAGCTTCATCGTAGTTTGTTGTTCGTTCTCTGCCTCTCTCTCTTATACTTCCAGGTAAAAAAGCTTTTTTTTTTTGTTTTTCTTCCTTTTTAGGCAAAATTTGATTTCGCATCCTTTCTATGATTTCGTTTCAAGGCATCATTTTACTTTCTTTCCCAGGTTTGTGTCGATCTCAAAGTACCGAGATTGATAAGCCTGATGATCTCCGTTTCTTGTTGATACTTTACCTAGATTAGGCGGAATTCAATCGAAATCTTTCCCGATCTAATTGCTGTGAAGTACAAACTTGATTTTCTGCTGGGTTTTTACTGAAAAAATTTGGTCTTGCTGAAAAAATTAGTTTGAGCTCATTTTTAGTTATCTGCTTGCTGTTTCATTGTTTTTAAGATCAATCGAAATCCTTGTTTAACTTTGCAGTTGGCGATCGTGTTCTTGCACAATTGTATCTCACTAGCACCAATCAGATATGCAGGTTTCACCTTTTATCTACTGTTGCCAGTTTATGTGTGTAGAATATGTTGATATCGAATCCACGGTACTGGGTCTCTAGAATTTCGATGTTTTTGTTACAAGAAGTATGATCTGAACTCGGCTTAAATGTATTATAGGCATCACGAGCGAGACTATTCAAGGAATACAAAGAGGTTCAGCGAGAGAAAGTAGCTGATCCGGATATTCAACTGGTGTGTGATGATACCAACATATTCAAATGGACTGCGCTTATCAAGGTTTTGTCACAGAAGCAACTTCGTTTTTTTGTTGAAAACAGAAGAAAATGGACTGCGCATATCAATGTAACTTTTTTTTTTTTTTTTTGTGACGCAGGGACCATCGGAAACTCCTTATGAAGGCGGAGTGTTTCAGCTTGCATTTGCTGTTCCTGAACCATATCCTCTGCAACCTCCTCAAGTTCGGTTCTTGACCAAAATATTCCACCCAAATGTGCATTTCAAGGTAATAAAACGATGCAAATGTTGTGTTTTGAAAACTTCGGCAACAAAAGACCCATTTTTTGGTATATGTAGACAGGGGAAATATGCCTGGACATATTGAAGAATGCGTGGAGCCCCGCTTGGACGCTTCAGTCAGTGTGTAGAGCGATCATAGCACTGATGGCTCATCCTGAGCCGGACAGTCCTCTTAACTGCGACTCAGGTACAAGCTCTATTAAACTGTTATACTATGCAAAATTGTGTTCAACAAAGAAATCTGATTTGATACACTTGTGAACCTTCTCTCTTTTGTTTGGGGTTTGCTAATAAAGGAAACCTTCTAAGATCTGGGGATGTGAGAGGCTTCAATTCAATGGCACGCATGTACACACGCCTCGCAGCTATGCCTAAGAAAGGATGAGATTCTCTTTGCTTTTGTTTCTATCATCGATTAACTGTTTTTCTTTGAATATGTAATGAAAATGAAATACATTGTTTAAAAAGATACATGTAATGTTACAAGGAGATGTTTCTTTCTTATAAACATGAATTTATTGGTTTACAATTTTATTGATGTTACAACATATGAACATGTTCATCAGTTTTTATCAGAAGTGGTGTCTCCTTGTTAGAGGAATTTGTCAAACCAATCGGATGATTCTTTGATCATAAACCTCGTCACTTCGTGTCCAACTCCATCTTCTGCTCTGAACTGCTCTCTCAAACCAAAAACCCAACAGTCACCAAAAGCCTTATAAAATCTATGTATCTGGTTTGCAATAAAACTATATATTAGAAGTTTAGAACAGTGATTTACCTTGAAATTTTCAGGAGAAGCAGTTATACTATACGCCTTCTCAGCTCTCTTTAAAGGAACAACTAGTCCTCCAAGAGGACAGCGAGGATCCTCCGCACCTGCACAAGAAATCCGGAAACAACTGTAAGAAAATTCCTTTTGATCAGTAAATAACGAGCCAAACATAGATTAGATTGTGCTCACCATTAAGGACGTAAAGAGGCCGTGGTGCAATCACTGGTAATGAGTATGGCGAATCAAACATAGATGCTAAGCCAGGAGCTATTCTGTTCCACACCTGTTTCCATAAATACAATTACAAACCAATCGTTTGAGTCGTAATCTGAACTCATAGTCGTTATGCTTCTTACCTTATCGACCACTTCTTTGTCGATTTCGTTCTTTCCCATATCAATCCTTGCTTCTGGAACCATAAAAAAAAATAAGAAGCAAAGAAATTAGAATCCTCATAAACTATAGTCTTAATTCATATTTGTGTTTATTCAATATGTGACCTTCAAATACAGGCTTTAGACTGTCGACTCTTGCCTGCCACGCATCATTGTCTATTGCCCATCTAAATCCCTGCCCAACATACACATTTAAAACTTGATAAAAAAACTTGAAGAGTCTTCTAAGTAAGAGACCATCCTCACACAAATCAGTTGTAGGTCTTGTAGTTGCTAAGTTGCTTAATGCTATTTGGTTAAGGAACAAAAACAAAAGATCAGCTAAGGATGGTTTTGCACCTGAACACCGATTAAAGGGACAGCCACGGAATAGCGAGTGTCAGCTGCAGCAGCAAACCAAGCATGCATCCCTGTATTCACAATGAACCAAGTTAGTATATAGTACTACCAAAAGCTACAAATCCCAGTTGATTTGTTCTATGACTGACCTCCTAGTGAAATACCGGTGATTCCTATCCTTTTTGGGTCTATATCTTCCCTCTGAGTAAGATAATCAGCTAGTTTGATCAAGTCCCAGACCTGAAACCAGAAACATCAGATTGATGTGATTACAAATTCTTACACTCTAAAGTGAATCCAGACAAATGGAGGCAATGTTTTTACAGTATCAAAGATAAAAGGCAATGTGTCTCCATTTCTCCAAGATGATATAAGAGCCTGCATTGAGATTTTCACCAAAACAAACATATCAGAACTAAGAAGACCAGAAAAATCAACAGGTTATATATTCACTGATTTGTAACAATGATTTTACATCTTGATAGGCAGTTTTGGAGTCAGCACGTTCGCCGTGGTAGCGAGAGTCTAAACCGATGGCTACATATCCCCGTGAAGCATATGCCTTAAGAAGAATGAAGGTATAATTAACAGAGAAGATAGTGGATGATTTATTGCATTTAGGAGAAATCAGAAGTATAATAAGTTTTTACTTCAAGCCATGGCCTTAACCATTCTTTGTTTGCGTTTGTGCCATGCATAAACACAATCGCTGGCCTTCTTTGGTTACTGCTCTCCTTCAAGCTTAAAATAAGCAGTGGCAATCTACCTTGCTCTGCAGCCTTGTTCCATTACATAGAACAACATTTTAAGACATAAAAAAAAAAAAAGATCACTAAATTTTGTTTAAAAAGAGAAGTGTAGTAATTAATCACCTCAGTGTGCAAATGAAGGTTTTCCTCTTTAAGCTTGTCATTTAAGTTATCAATGTGTTCCCTTGGACAAGACTCTAAAGCCTGGTTTGGTAATGAAAAACATATCAAATCAGAAAGAAAGAAAGAAAGAAAAAAGGAAATAACGTAGAAAGAAAAAAGTTTCAGTAATATCTCACTTCTGAAGATGGAACAGGAGATTGAAATATAGGATTTTCCACTGGCTTCGAACTATCCACTACCAATGGAACTGGAAATGTTCCCAAACATTACATATGCAAACTCATATAATTAAGATAAATAAAAGCGACTACTTTAAAAGCAAACCGTACCCGATTTAATTCAAGATAAATTAACAGTTAAGGTGGATAATCAGTTAAAATGTGTGATTCTTACGAGACTTGGATATTAGAAGAACCACATGTATTATAACTTTATTTTATTTGTTTTAGTTTATTTTTTGGCGAAACAGAGAGAAGTAATTAGACAGAAGTACTGTTAGATCAAAAAGCAGAAATTAATAAAATTTAATTAAAAACCTTGGGCTGATCGTCGACTACGAAGAAGAAGGAGAAACTCCGATCTAAACTCATCGGCTTCGTGAGTCGGCGTTTCCATCACTCCGGTGATCGCTGAGAAACTAGTAGGATTCGAGCTAGATCGAACGACAAGAAGAAGAAGAAATTGAGAAAGATTCTGTTATCTTAATGAGAACAATCAAATTTACTATCGTGATATATAGGGAGGGAGTTGAATCCGGTTTACATCAATCTAACCAAGACTAACAACATGGTTAGTGAAACCGGTTCTAATTATCTAATATCTCATATTGAAAGTTGGTAAGAACAATGTATTTGAGGGATTTAAGTTAATCCACTACTCATTGTTAATTAGTTTTAGATTGGAAATTCAGAAAAAAAAAATTTAATATAGTATCAAAGTCCGAACGTGTGCTATCAATTTGAATAGAAATCGATCTGATCCATCCAAAATCAGTTTGGCCGGTCTAGTCAAAAATTAATCAGTCAATTAGTTTATACTTTATAGTTGAAAGTCCATAAATTTTTAATATATTCTAATAGAAACAGAGTCATTTGTTTACGTTTTCTATACGGAATTTATGACAATGGCATGCACGCACGTGCAGCACACTTTCGCCACCTGCTTCACTTGTAGCTGGTTGTGGTTATCTATCTCTTAATGACGTATTTTTGGTTAACTTAAAATACCTTTTTGGATAAAAGGCCACTTTGTTTTGTCGTAGCATAAGGTAGATACTAGATAGTACCTAAATAAAATTAATTAAAATTATAGTCCGTATTTTTTTGCCGATAAAATTTTATATTATTTTGTAAACTATGATGTAGTTGGTATTAAAATTGTCGATATGAGGATTTTCTATACATGTTTGTTTTCTATCACATCTAATTCTTTTGTATATATATATACTAAATCATTTTTGTCTGCTTTTTAAAGGATGAAAATATTGGTAAGAGTCGTTAGTGTTACATGTCCTTTGTTACTTTTTTGAAATGACAAATCAAATTTTTGCGACTATTGTAGGTGGTAATATCAAACTAATTGGTGCAACTCCATCTCCAATCGAACGGCAAATCCAACGCTATTATAGTGTTTTTCTGCTACAGTGTCAGACGATCGAACATAAAAGAGTTTTCGTAAAACCTTCACAAACCACATAAAAATTAAAGGTGTAAATGTGTAAATGATTTGGTATAGTTTAGAGTAACAAATAATAGAGTAAAAGAAATTACGCTGAATCCCTTCAATCAAGTAAAAAAGTTTTACTCATTTTTACGCTGGAGAAGTTTGGTTACTTTTTTTCTCTACCTTTTCAAAAATGAAGAGTAAATGGAAGTAACAAAATAAACATTAACTTATCCTGATTTACTTTAATTGGCTCCATATATCTTTCTTCCATTTCCTCTAATTTACTTTGAATTATCTTACCATTTCACACCCCAAATGTTAACGTGTTTCTTGCTGGCTATTTGAAAGATTTTGATGTTTTATTGTATATATTTTTTTTTGAACATTTGTTTTTTTGTATTGACACAATACAAAACTGCACAAACAACATACATAGGTTACTTCAAATCTTCAAGAATGTGCGCAGTCCAAATCATCATCATGGATTTTCCAATCTCGTTGGGATATGTTTGTTCTTTTGACGTTACAGGTTGAACTTGCAACTTGCAAATGAGGTGACAATATTTATTCATAGATACTCAAAATCTTCACACCAATTTATGCAATCCAGTTGCTGGAAGTTAGCACTAATGTAGCAGTTAAAAGAAGACTTATAGTGACGAACGCGAAAAATAGTTAAACTATCTCATCTTCCTATAAGAAATTGTAACATGGTCATATGTTAAAAAAGAGTTAGATGCTAAAGTTTGGTCAGAGAAGTTCCCTAAGCCTTACCCCAAACTTGAGTCTCGATGGCTTAGCTCTTCATCTTCTGGTTTCCTTCTATTTGGATTCCTGTTGGTTTTGATATTTGTTCCTGCTTAATCAATGTCTTAAATTAGCACATCTGCGAGCTTTAAATTTCTGAAACTAGGATACGGTCTCTCAACCTAAAATCACCTTACCATTTATGCTCCCACGGTTCGAGAGCTGAATGAGATAGTCCCTGAAGCTTGACAAGATCTGTCTTTCTTGTTCTACGTAAATCTCCGAGCTTGTGTCTGCGTCTTCTTTCTCTTGGCTTGTTTTCACTCGGGCCGATGTTTCTTTCTCTGCACTGATCACATGTTCATCATCACACATCAATGCACGTGTCGCTGGAGATAAAGGTTTCTCATCCATTCTACCAGCATCAAGGACAGAATCTGGAGAGTCATTGATCTCATTAGCATCTCTCTGGGCTGGATCGAGTGAAGGGTCTGTGTCGTATTTCTTCCTTTTGTTTGTTTCACATTTGGCGCCTGAAACCCCATATTAGGCATTCTCTTAACAGAGATCTTATTATATGAGGAACACTTCCTCTATATATCTAACTGCATGATATGTACCTGACAATTTATTTGCTACGTCCACCGATTTTGAGACCAAAAGCGAACACAGCTCTTTAACATGATGCGGCTGGATAGTATTTGCTAGAGAAGACCTATAGAAGTAAACAGTCAGATGAATCCTCAAGATGGTAGTTTCGAACGAGCATAGCATACAAAGGAAGGATTTGATATCGCCAACCTGTAAGTACATGTGGTAGATCCGGAAACCGGTTTGTTGTTAGGTAGTGAAAACAGAGAAGTGTCACCATTCCTTATAACGTGATTTACCTAGTTGGAACAACAACAAAAAACACCAAAGAATTATGCTTTCAATGCAAGAAGTGAAGCTAAAGAGCATGAGATCAACAAGTAACCATCACAATGACATCAAACACAAAGGATTGAATTATTAGGGAAATTACCGCCTGGTTTTGAACAACGTGTGGAAAGGCAGATGAACCTCTAGCTCCTACAGAATGCGAACCCTCCTTGCTCTTTCTCTTTCTTGATTCAAGAGGGTTCAGATAACCAGACATGTCGATGGCACGGTTCACAGCCGCATTGGTCGTCTGTTGTATGTAGGTTTCTGAGACCTGAGGTCCATGAAGAAGGGCATTCCTTTCCTCGCTTCCATCGAAGTTCTTGCAATCTTGACATCTACAATTTTCGGAACATAGCACATTCGCCTGGAAACACTCGCAGTACTTCTTGAGGCATCCTGATTTCTTGCAGTGGCATCCTTTGCTGTGCTTTCCCAGAATCAGGATTTGGCGCACATCCTCCTACAAGGATAAGTTATAAAACTATCAGCAAATGAATTTATCAAAATCGTCACTTGATACGTTTTTTTCTCTGGCTCAAAGGCGCTAGACCAATGAATAACATTTGTAACAGGGGAAACAACTTTTCAGAGACAGGAACACAAAAGCATTATTCAATCCCTTTCAAATGCATAAACGTTCTGTTTGGGTCCGTCTCATAACTAATTGTCGTCAAGTATAAAGTCACAGCATTTCGAGGAAAAAATTAAGTCTTTTTTAAGTAACAAGCATCACACCTGCAAATCTCCCATTCCATGAGGACTACCAGCGATCTTGGGCTTGAACGCATCCGGATTCCGCTCTAAGATACCCGTGATGGCTTCTTGTCTTGAGGTCTCCTTCTCCAAATTGTTGTGACAATTTAAGCAGTTGCAACCATTGCAATAAGATCCCGACGCAAAGCATTCACAATATCTGTACAGATTACCACAAAAGTATGGCCCAAGTCACTATTCATTTACTCTATTATAACGGACTTTGACACTGACCACAAGTTAGAGAAGGATTACTTACAGCTTCAAGCATCTTGAGTTTTTACAGTTGCAATGCCTCTGTTTAATTGGAGTAGCATCCTTGGACTCAACTTCCGGATGCCCTCGTGGGGTCAAAGGTTCTTGCTTGCTGCTTAAACAATCAAAAACAAAACGCTAAAATCACAATCCCAAAAAACCGAAACTCGATCAAGAACATCGAATCAGATTTGAAAACTTTACCTCACTCGACACTTCCCCAATGAATTCTTCTGCAACTGATGACCAAACCGATGAAGCGGCGGTTTCTGTGGCGGCGTGACATCATGCGTACCGACTTCCGTCGAAGATTTAACCGGAAACGACGGCGGCGGGTTCAGTGGCTTTACCCCAAATCGCTGCTGCTGCTCCTCGGCACCATACGGCGGAGGCTGAGGCTGCGAAGGCAAGTCTTCTTCTCTCTGATCTTCCCGTGAAGACTGTAAATCGAGAAGAGAATGCGACTGATTCTTCTCGCTTTCATGAGAAGAAGAATCAATCTTCGTCTCCACCACAGCCGCCGCCGGGACGGAGAAATCCAATTGACGCGGCAAAAGGTTCCCGTTAGAACCCAAATCCTGATCGGATTTCTCCATGGAAAAAATTTACAAAGAGGAAAATTCAAAGGGAGGCACAGAGATTAGGCTTGCTTCAGCTGAAGAGCTCTCCTTTTTGTTCCTTCGTCTCTTGGGGATCTTTTGAAAAATTAGAAGAGAAAAAAATTGAATTTTGAGGATTTATGATCACTAAATCTAACGGCTGAGATGAAAAGGGATTATCAACGGTTTGGATCGTTCGATCAAGATCCATCTAGGCATCTAGGTTTCCTTGAGGATACGAGCGGAATTTGGCGCTAAAGGAAGACTCTGAGTGATATAGGCAGGTTGTTTCACACGTGTAAGGGATATTCATTTGTTTGTGTATTTTGGATTGTAAAATTTATATAGGATTTCCAATTAACGAGAATTAACGAGAAGTAAAAATTATATAGGATTTTAATTATCACGTGATTTTGTTTAAATTTTCAAATCATTAAAATCTAAAAATCCCACCTTAAAACATCAGCTAAAATCTCAACTTATCTTGTGTACAAGGTAATTAGTAAATAAAGCGTATTTAAATCACATTAATTGATTCGACCGAAAAAAAAAAATAATCACATAATTGCTTTAGAACTGCAGATTGCTACATGTAAATACATGAAAATCGCTACATGAAAATTGCCATAAATAGAAATACCTAAGAAGTTACAAATCAATCACTCAAAAAATATAAAAAAATACTGAGCTGAAGCGAATGAGTGTCTGTTGTGTGCTCATAAGGTATACAAGGAAAATTTGGCTGCTGTGTGTAAGCTTATTGCTTGATACCTACAAAACAGAGAGCTACTTCTGCTTGTGCTTGAAGCTCTTCAAGAACCTTCACCACTTTCTCACGGGAAAACTCTATTTCTTTCTCATCTCTAAGCATTTTCCGTACTCTTCATACCCACCAGCAAGAAACAGACAGTAACAATTCCAATCAGATCGCAAATTCACAGGAGATTCGTTTTCCAAAAATTATCATAAACAAACAATTCAAGGTCACACTGTTTCTATGGAGTCACCACTCACCAGATATCATATGGTAACATATGAGAGCTACATACCTGTGTACAATGGATGTGTCTCCGTGTCCGGTGCAAACTATAAACATTGCATTTGTAGGTAATGCAGCGTAGAGAGTGTGTACTCTATCATCCATTTTCTTTAAGATTTCCTTCGTTTCTAGTGAAACCTTGCTTTTGCGGCGTTTCTTGAGGCCTGAGTCCTTGCTACAAGTAAGCAATGAGATCATCTCTGCTAGTCTTGAATTTAGTTTCTGTGGATCATCCGCTCTGCTCTGGAAATGTTTATTCAGTTCTGAGAACTGTGTCCAAACGAATTGTGACCGTTTGTTCTTTACCTAGAAGCATATAAAACACACATGTAATTAAAATTGTTGGAAGATGGAAAGAAAATATAAAGGCATGGATGGATTCAGAGGTTTTTACCTCCTTCATGGCCTTTGAAAGTGCTTCGTCGTCAGAAGATACTGGAATGGAATTTGATGACTCAGAAGCATATCGCTTCACGATGTTAATATTGTCGACGATAGAAGTGGTTTTTCCGCTCTCATTCAAAATGGCGAGGAGCTTCTTTGTTATCATTTCCGGTGGTGAACCAAAGTCAGGTCCTAGAGGAAGCCAGAAAAAGAAAATCACTTCAAAAAGGTACAGAAGAAAAAATCAAGATTTAAAACAGTGAGGATAAGAGTAGGAATCTCTTGCCATATTTTATCTTCAATAGTGCTAAATCCATGGCTGCTTTTGCATCCTCAACGCTGTCATGTCCGGATTCAGACATCTGTATCTCTCTAGCAAGAAACTTTTTTGCTAGAATTCGAAGTTTAGTTTTATAAGATCCACCCCGTGGATGCTTGTATAGTACTGCAGTGTCAATCACCAGATTGTGAGAGATCTTCAGAGAAAACAGGTCATTTTCCAAGGAGTGTCCGACTAATACCGTCTCTTTGAAAACCAGCTTTAAGAACTCTTCCTGAACATAGCAAATGGCTCTAATTATGCTAGACCATTCATCCTAACCCGTATGTAATAAAAGTTAAAGTATCTCGTGAAACCTGAATATCTTTAATAGTTGTTGTAACTCCCTCCATCATCTGAGCTGTTATTCCGCTATACCTACAATCCGATACCGATACCATGTTTTTTTAAGGCATGCCTTTTGAAATGAACAAGAAACATAAACTATTATAACTTTGTATGTGATACAAATCAAACCAAGCATATCAGGATAGCTTACCTTGTATTGTAATCAGTAATTTGATTTGTTGGCATGACTAATTTATCTAATAGAACCTGCAGGATCATGGAAACTTAGTAACAGAAAAGAAGAGATCTAACGAACTTAAGGAAGTAAGGAAGAATATACCTGTCCTTCGATATCCACCAGCGTCACTCTAGTCAACTCCAAACCATCCTTTGTAATACACTAGGGTGAAACATAAAGAAAATTAATATGTCGCTCTACAAAGAAAAAAAAAAAGCTTACAAGATGATTTGATAAACTGTTTTACATGTTTTGACACAAAATCACACATCATAGAAGGCTAAAGAACACAGTTGTTTACCATCTCACAATCAAGAGCCAAAATTTCATGGGGACATGATCCTGATGGTGCAGGAAGTGTAGAGGTAAACTCTGCATAACGAAAACAAATTTATCAAACGATGTGATAACAATCTTAAACAGGATTAAGCTATCAATATTAGATAGATGAAGCACGTACCTGTCTCAAAAATGTATCCATTTTGTTCCATTTCCTTTCGACTTAGAGTATAGTATGTAACAGGGAACGGTATATCTTTTGTGAGCTCAATGAACGATTTCCCCAACAGATTGCATGCTTCTACAAGCAAAAGATGTTATCTAGTTAGGGACTGTAAAATCTAAAACGGATTTTTTTCCATGCATAGCTGTTATGACTTTTGATATTGAACTCACAATTAAAAACGATCAAGAATCATTGGCTGAAATCCCCCAAAACAATACATGCCAAATTTGGAAATCTAAACAGACTGATCAGATCCAGTTATAAGAAGCCCACTACCTGGCTTAGATACAAGGAGAGGTGGTTCCACTGAACTAGTAACAGTTTTCTTTCTTTTACTCTTGCAAGTAAGGATCGTATCGATTGTCTTCATCTCATCAACTACACAGCTAACACAATGAGAAGAAAAGCAAAAGATGTTTTACCCACAGCTACCAAAAATAATCGTATTCAATAAGCCATAAGTAAAGAGAAGCACCAAAATTAACACCAACCTCAAAGCTAAAAGCGCCATAGGATTGCCACAACATGATTTCAAACTAGCAAGTGTTTTAGACTGTGATAAATATAAAGCAGCATCCAATCCAGGAAGGTAGAGCATGACAACCTTTGGAATCAGAGGCGTGTTCTGAAAACCATATCCTTGAATGTTGTTTAGACTTCCCAAAAAAAATCTAAATTTCAGAACTTAAGACAACCTATTTGTAATTACATATATGAAGAAAAGACAGCTCCAAGCTCAATTATAAACACATATCCAACAAGTTCCCAAACAAAAATTGGTCAAACCTTGATAAATACCCACGAGGGCATATAGCCTTCTGCAAGAACCCATGTCACAAGTCCCTGAATATCCTGTTCAAACCCATATAAACATTACTCCTCAAATCTTACACCACCTAAAACTCAAATTCAGAAAAGTCACGACATTTGAAACCTACTTGTAAGTTAAGTGTTGTTTCCGGGCTGTTGAAAACGAGCTCTGCTTTCGCCTGCCAAGAAGAGGAATCTAAAATCAGATGCACAATTTTGAGCAATAAAGCGCATAAGCTTGAACATAACACAATCAAATCAAATCATAAAGCAAGCTTCAGAGGAGGTGTTTACCTCCGGTCCATATATATCGAAGAAACTGTTCTCAGTATTGCTCTTGTCACTACCGTCGGCACTTTCTCCACCGTCCAGGATCTCTTCCCCGGCGGTTTCGGCGTCGCGCTTCCGCTTCGAGGACGACATTCTTGAGACAGAGAAAAGTTTTCCGACAGCAAACGGAGATATTGACACAAACCACTTCCACGGTGGTCGCCCTTTTTATTCGCCGTCGGACAAATTTGAGGGGTTTTAACCTTAGGCGTCCCAATAATCCCAATAAATGTTTTTTTTTTTTTTGCTCAAACTTCTTTTTTAAAATATTTACAGTATTTTCTTAATTCGTATATTATTAAAAAAATATATTATTTTTAACCCGACTCCGACAAGCAGGACATGAACATGTAGGATGTAATGTAGCTTTCTGATTTGTTTAGTATCATCGATATATCATTACATTGATTCAAAGCTGCATAATCTGTGTTATGCTAACCAAAAAAAAAAAAAAAAGATTAACTCAGTTAAACATCAAAACTAGAGTTTTCTCGCTTGCTCGATCATAGAACTTATCCGGATCGACCGTATGTCAACTTATACTACATGGCTTCTTCCTCATGCTCCAATATCTTAATTAATAATAATTAGTTTTACATTATGTCTTATCCTTACAAATTTACTACTCATGATCATATCTTTCAAATGACATCATTTGTTTTAGAATCTTGAAAATTTTCAATCGATCATCAAGAAAAAATACAATACTATATAGAATTAAACATTACAAACAAAACTATAAATTACACACAAAAAACGACACTAAACATGTAAATATGTAATGATGTTGCTCATTCGTATGTAATTAGATATGTATGAATGTATCTGGTATTGACTTGAACCGAATTTAAAGTATGACAATGGCACCTCTTATAACCCTTTCCTTGTTCCCACTAGAACTGATCAATCACAAAAATGTCCACCAACCAGCACTCATCAACCTTTGATTCTCGTTAAAATTCTCACTCGTCTCTTCCTCGAGCAAGATTTTTTACTAGTGTTAACAGAATCATGGCCTAAATTTTTGTTTAAGCAATAAATACGGACCAATTAAGGCACTGATTATGGCCTACGGGTCTTGTAGAGTAGTACACGTGGAGCTCAGATGAAAGGCACTTGAGAAAGGCTGTAGAGAAGGACAAAGTTATCTATTTAAATATTTTTCCCGGATAGTAACCACATATAATAATTCTATTGGTGTAATTAATTAGTGTATACTTTCCATATGATGTTTCGTCTCTTTGCCAAACAAAAACAGATTAAAAAGGTGAAAACAATCTTTTTTGGAGTGAAAAATCAATATCTGTAGAGCCAAAGCGACAATAGGTTACCGAAGAGCTTCCTGGTACTTTTGGAAAGAATTTTGTACCTGTCGATCAAATGATCAATGCCTTAAAACATGATATCCTGTCGGAGAAGACAACTAGTTATGGAGTCTATTGTTCCTCTTTTTCAAGATGAGGTACACGTACGGTAGTATGAATAACTAGACGTCGTAACTAGAAGCTGTGCCGCAGAAGTTGTGGTGAAAGAGGTCAAGCTCATGCCGAGCTAAACAGAGATCCAGATCGAGTGGCTAAATTCTGTATAGGTCTGTGTGCTGGTGCGTTTAGGTTTAGCACGTATACGAACATACATGCTAGAGGCATATATATCTGTATATATGCATATACATTATCTATGCATGTATGTTGGTATGATGTGCGGAAGAACAAATAATCAAAGAGTGAAGAGAATATGGGTGTCACATGCAAGTCTTTAATGATGCATTAGTGGTGGCCATTCCCCTCACATTATCTCTCACAACCAGTTCACAACACCTATCTCTCCCTATCTATATATGGATAACTCAATAATATGCACGTGTGAACAAAAAAGAGAGCATAATGGAGCATGAATTTTTGTTAATATATATATCGACAAAAATATTTATTAATATGCAATCTTTTTTCTTTCTTTTTAGTGATTTTTATATTTACTTTACTCTGTTACTCGACCAGTAGAAATTCTGGGCTTTTAAAGTCACGTATCAAAAATTATAATTGGTCGAAGATAGGGTCATGACTGTATAAGTGCCCACTATTTGATTATGAGTTTTCAACTTAGGAAAAAATGATGAAAGCTACGATATCCAGGTTTCAAAATATTGTGTGAAATGGATCATTCTGTCACAATCTTCGAAACTCACCATGAATGGCATCAAACAAACAAAATTGATCTTATATCAGCAAAAGGATCCGGACAAATAAATACATGAGAGATAGATGGATGAAACAATGGGGTATATATACCCCTCCATAAAAACAATGCCAGCTATATATAGAATCCGAGAAAACTTGTACTCATAGCTTTTAATGGATATAGTATAAACTGATGCTTCAATACAGTAGAAGTACTAAGTAGAGCCAATATCTAGAAAGTAGTAAATTGTTTTATAAAATAAGTGAGAGTAGAGATAAAAATATTGCTAAAAAAGTGTTTAAATGCATTATATGTCACTGGGTATCCCGTATCCCCAATGGGTGGGGCATAATGTGATGATTCCACTACAACCCCAAAAAATACACTTGAAATAAAGAAACAAATATTGCAAAATACGAATAAACAACATTATTTTTTTATGTGAATCATCTCTTTGTGAAGATGAAAAGGTTATTAGGGTTATATAAACATTAATTTACCAAAATGGGCTTTCCTAGGGCGACATTACAATTTATCTTAGGGTTTATTTTATTTTTATCTTCCTCACACTCTTCTTCGTATCGCGTGCAATACACGCTCCAATGTCTTTCCACCTATGTGCCTAGAAGCCTCTCGGATCCGAAGTGTGAGGCAAACTCTATATTACACGGCGGTACACACACGGAAGGGAGCTGCCTGAACTACACGCGCCTTAGGGTTTTACTCTTTAGGACACAACCATAAACAGTATGGTTTCGTTGTTGTAATAAGATCCGCGCATTACTGTCACGTGTCAAATTATAATTGGTTTTGTGTGCGTTCACCGGTCGCATCAGACAGAACAGTAGATCACAAGTCGTAAATATGAATCTTATTTATAACAAACAAAATGAGTTTCCTATTTTTTTTTGGAGTTGCTTTCAACACAAAATTGATGAGAGATGAATTTTTTTATTTGTTCGTTTTTTCAAAATAATATTATTTCGCGTTTTGCCGTGTGCATCTACAGATACATGGCTTTATACTGCTTACACAGATGAGCTTCTTATTAAATGAATAGATTTATAAAATTCCTCTGTTTATATATACCAAACCCTCATTTCAAGGATAAAAAGGCAAAAGCTTATTTTCTCTCTCTTTTCCCTCGAAGAGACACACACACACTCTCTCTCTCTCTACCAGCAAAATAAAATATAAAAAAGCCCTCTTCTCTCTCATCTTGCGTGAAGCCTTAGGGTTTCTCTAAGATTCGCACTCAAATTATACTCATTTCCGAGGGAATCGATCCTGACACCTTCGATAATCTTCTTCTCCACGAGCTTATCTATCTGCTGATACAGTTTTCTTCCCTCGCCGTGGAGAATCGAGCTGGATTTCATACGAGGGTCTGTTTTCTTCGTCTCCGATTGTCAAGGTGCGTGCTTCCGACCTGAATCTCTAATCTTACTGTCGTTTCATGGTGTTTGAGGTTAAGAAATGAGCTAATCGTATCGGAAAGGGGTTTTAGTTTGACTTGTGACTTGACTTTGAATTTTGAGGGCATTTTCGCTAATGCTTTACTGTTCATTGTCCGTCTCGCGAGCCGTGGTAAAAATCTATCCTTTATTAATGACGGGTTGTCTTTATTTAGCGAATGCGATTAATTGGTCCTATTACTTGCTAATTTCGATTACTAGCCCTAAATGACTTTAAACATATAAAATTATTATTTTTCGGGGTTTTTTTTTTGTGGTGTGGGAATTTTGGAAGAAGAGGTTATTGAAATCGGTCCATAGATGATATTTGCTGGTGACATTCAATTAAGGTCGCAGCTTTAGGAGGTCCCCGTGTCTCTGAAAACCCTAATTTTAGGTCGGAGTTATATCTATTGTTTATCTGCAATGGATCAATGTTGCGTGGATATGATCCACACAATTAAATTCGGTGAGGAATTGACATGGAATCCGGCTCTCGTGAAGGTTTTGCTCTTGATTATTTTATGTAGAGACCTAGTTAGCTAGGGTTCCTTATTGCCATTGGGACTCAAGTTTTGACAAAGGGATCTTATCTAATGTGTTTATCCATGAAATATAATGTATGCTTCAAGATCATGGCTTTCATCACTTTTAATCCCTTTATTTGAGCTTGATGTTTTGTGGAGAGCGAAATGGAGTGATCATTGATCACATTTATACATGACATTGATCAGTTTTCTTATAATGTAACTCTTTTGTTCTTTCTGCTGTTGTTTTAGTACAATGGTACTGATGAAAGAGAGAAGCCAGGTGGCGTAAATCTCCTTGAAGACAAAATCATTATGGGATCCTCCATCAAGATAAATTCAATATCCATAGATCTAGCCGATGAAGTTAATGCGGGGAAATGCGAACATTTCTCCATACGGTAAGCAACGATTCTATTGTGTCACTGTTTGATCTTTAATTCAGTGAAGTGAGTTTTATATTCTTAATTATGCAGTGGATTTGTAGCTGAGGTCCGCGAGAGAGACCATAGAAAATGCTGGCCATTTGCAGAAGATACTGTTGAGTTAGTGAACGACCAAAGCTATTCTCTTCCCTCTTTGCCAGTTCATAAGTCCAGATGGTGGCGTTGTGCGAGCTGCATCAGAGATATCCACGCCAAAGAGATAAACAATGATAGTGGTAACATCTAAAGCACATGACTTGCTAGTATTGTTTCATGTTCTTATGTGTATTAGCTAATCTCAAACTTAAAAACTGGAGCTTTCTTTCTCAGATTGTCGATTGCAATCACACTCTAGGGAGACAAAGCTCGATGTGCTCTCTTCAGCCATCCCGAGTAAAAGAAAACCAAACTCGCTGATTGTCACCGACAAGAAAGAGAAGAAAAATAATGTTCGGACAGGTAATTTTGGCTATAATACAACTCTGAGTTTAAAGCTGCGATTTTTGTTCTCAGATGTATAACATTCGTAAGCTTTGCAGCTACATTGCTCAAGAAAGTTCGGCGCGGAGCTAAGGATGCTTCAACCCTTAAGAGCAAGAATCGCAAACTTGCCAGTCCAGAGCAAATCAGCAAGAGATCTAGAGAAAAAACAAACCTTTCAAGGGAAATTATGGAAACAGTGACAGCTTTTGGGTCATCTGAGATTGCTGGTGTGGTTGATGATACACCTGATAAGACAATCAAGAGGTATACTCATGTTTCAACAGAACGGGGTGAATGTGACAACGTGTCACCAGAAAGTAGAAACCTTCTTGGGTTGCATCGTAGGAAAACTCGGAAGGTTCGTCTCCTCAGTGAGTTGTTGAGTAATGGAAACAAAGAAGCTCTGTCTAAAAGGGAATCGGTTAGAGGTAGAAAAAGAAAGTATTCTGGAGATGCTGCTGAGATGAGTAATTACGCTAGTAGGATACTAAGCACAATTGGCAAAACATCTGAAAACGCTTCCAAGAGTTGTGACTCTGAAGATAATACTGTTTCTGGCGCAGATTCAAGACCAATTGTTGAGAACGAATCTACTGACAGCGGATTTGACAGAGAGATCATTAAGGGAAAGAAGAGAAACAGAAAGTTTCAAGTTGTCGAAGATTGTTTTCCAGAAACTTCACAAAAGGATCCATATCACTATGCCAGTAATGTTCAATCCTCATTTGCAGGGAAAGAGCTGGTTCCTTGTCCTCTGCATACAGAGAGAACAGAGAAAGAGCTCAGTTTAGCCAAAAAAAGAAAGAGGAAAGCTATGAAAGATAACAAGACGAGTACTGTTATTACTTTTAGTAACGACATGGATGATGTGGTTAAACTGAGAAAGCCAGATAATTTTCCAAGAAATACAATGCCCCAATCTACTCGAGATTTTCTTAATTCGAAATGGCTCGACAGTTCACTTGACAAATTTTTGGCGTCAGATGGGCATTTCAATAAGTATACTCCTCAGCTTAATGATAGGCTGCCTTTACAAGAAGAAATGCATTACAAGGAAGGTGGTCGTGAAATGCTGAAAGGTATTGGGACAAACCATTTTCAAAATTTTGGTTCATCCTTTAAGTCCACCAACGCTGATGGGTGCTTAAGAACTGGCGTAAATGTTAACTTTAGCAGCAACAGAGATACCATTATATCATCTTCGCTGAATGATAAGATAAGACACACCTCTTCTACAGAAGTTGCGGATACTTCTTGTGCTCTGCAAAAGGTACAACGTTATCATATTTGTTAATTTTTTGAAGGACCATCCGTTGAAAATTGTTCTTCACATTGCATTTAGATCAATCGTTCTATTTTAATTTGCCATCATGTTGTTTTCTCCTCTGTTTTCTTCCATTCTTGTTTATGCTTTACTCACTATTTGTTTTCTAGTATTTGGTGATGGAATTAATTTTCCCATATTAGAATCCTGTTGTCAAAAGAACATGCTTGAGATATGCAACAAAAGCACATACTGCATGTCATATGCATACTTGTTGGTTTGTTCCTATTTGGTGACTGTTCCAAACAGCTGTGATTGCTTAACGGGTCAGGCTAAAAAAGTGTTTTGCTTTTACTTGGCAGGATTTTTCCTTGGCACACGGAAAGGGCAAAGAAGTTGCGGTTCAGGAACTTTCCGTAGCACACAGAAGCCAATGCAAGACATCTGAGCATATAGATGATATTCCCATGGAAATAGTCGAGCTTATGGCTAAAAACCAATACGAAAGGTGTCTTCCTGACAGAGAAGAGGACAAACAGCCATCGCAAGCAACGACAAGCGTATCCAAGAACGCTCTGTTGATTGATCTCAATGAAACCTACGATAACAGCATGGACAACACAGTAAGGCAGCCAAAACCACTTGGTCAGAACGCTAGGAACAGCGATGCTGCACATTTTATGACCGGAAAGCAGAGCTCTTTGGAATGTTTCCCGACAAGTTATAATGTGTCTTTCGGAGTTGGGAATCCTCCTCTTACTCGAGATAAACAACCAAGCTCCGTCCAGTTTTCTGGTGTACTAGGGCCTAATTCTCAGTGGCTTGGTCATGTGCCAACAACTATGGCTAATCAACAGAACCCATCTCCATCTTCATATCGGGTATTACGTGCGTGTAACACTTGCCAGAGTGTTCAACAGCAGCAGTTTAGAGAAGCTTCCCATCCTGTTTGGCCATCCTCCTTAACATCATCACCAGCTCATAAACCAGTTTCTCTCAGTATGCAGAAGTTCATGGATCAGCCAATAAAGCTTGGTAATCCAAATACTCTAAGCCTGAATTTTAGTGATAACGGGAAGCAAAAACTTGGCTTTGAAGGTGTCAGTAGCAGACCATTGGACACTTATTCTAATGAAAGCAGTATACCAGCGATGCATCTACTGAGCCTCATGGATCCGAGGCTAAGGTCTAACGTTCCCGTTGATCAGAGCCGGAACACTAACTTTGTGAAAAGGCCTTTTTGTAACCAGTCCAAGGAATTTGCAGCACCTCGACCAGAGGACTGTAATCAGACAGCCTACTCCACAAAGCAGTGGCCTTTCGATCTCTATAGCAAAACATCAGCAACTCCTGAGCCATGTCGTGAGAATTTCTCAATCATTCCACCAGTTGGGACATCTTCAATTTCGTTTCAAAGTGAAAAGATTTCTGCAGGTAACGCTGTCTTCACACCCCAAGCTTCATGGAACCATCACCAGGAGAAGAAACCCAAGAGGAAAGACAAAAACTTTGCGCCGGTTTACAACAACAGTAAGCCGATCTTCACAAGCAGCAGCAGCAGCGAGCCTGGGAAATTCCAGCTTCTTGGAGCATCAGATTCCATGATGCTACCACTGAAGTTTCACATGACAGATAACGCCAAGAAACAGAAGACGAAGAAAGCTCAGTGCAACAACGACGTCTCTGCTTGTCCTCCAAGGAGCATCTCTGGACCTTACGTGTGCAGCGTCAATAGAAACCCAGCTGATTTCACCATTCCTGATGCACCTGGGAACGTTTATATGATTAAGGGTGAAGATCTTAAGGTGAAAAAACACCCGGGCTTCAAGAAAAAATCAAGCTTGTATAAGCAGGATGTATTAAAGCAAAACAACTCTATTGCTCCTAACATAGAGAATGCCTGAAACTTGGGCCGTGTTTATGTTATGAATTGACAAACATTGGCCTAGGGCCTAATTTTAATAAAAAAAACTCTTAAAAGCTTATTTTTTTACAAAAATGTATTATACTGTAATTGGAAGGTCATCACATTTATAATGTTGAGATTTTTGAAAACAAAAAAAACTGATAACGTTTTTAATTTTTTCATATATAAGTAAAAATAAAAGATATATTTATCTTCGATAACTATGATTTGAAAACAAAATTTCTGTTTATTTGGTTGATACGCCTTATTGCTAGCATCGGGTCATATATGTCTTTTTCTTATACCACTACAGGTATAAATATAATGCTGTCGACGACACATTATAAAATGGGCGTTCGCATTAAGTTTTGTACTTAATTCACTAGACAGTCCAGCTACATGCCCCACTTATTGTATTGTTACTCATCCAGTTAATTTTGTTTGTCAAAAGACAAAAATTTTGGCTTTTTGACTTTTGAATCCGCTTATCATGTTCAGAAAAGGGTTCTAAGAAACCGTTGTTATTTTATTACTTGTTAGAAGCTATAAATATTAACGATGTACATAACGTGAATATATAACATGAATAAAAATTAAAGAGAGATAATAATGAAGAGAAGTAATCTCAGAAAAAGAAAAAAAAGTAATCACGATATCTTTATTATTCTCTATGTATCACAGTTTCAATTTTTATTTCGCCGCACTTTTATTTTTTGGCATTAACGATACATTTTATTTTTTCACAACCGCTTGTTGTCACCATGAAAGCCTAAAGATTAAAGTGATCTTGGAAAGAACTTTAAAATAAAAGTTTTTTAACACGATGAAAGCCTAAAGTGATCTTGGAAAGGACATTATAATAAAAGTTTATAAAAAGTATCGTGATCTAATTGATTTTTCACAGCTTCATCACGAACATATCATAAGAATGCTTTTAGAGATTTCATCAATATGCTACACCGGATATATATTTTATCATAATACTGGAAATGTCGACGAATTGGACAAAATTTTGGAAGACGCATACTAGAGGAAATTTCCAATAGAATTAGTCCAAAAATCTGTTTATGTTATTCGATGTGATGATATCAATATACATTCCAACGACCGTTGCAATGTCATTTCGTATTTATATATTCTCATAATATGTTTGCCAACCCTGCAATAATACATGTAAAACAAAGATGCATGAATTGTTTCTTGGTATTGAACAAAAAAATTTCCAACAGTCATTGACAACTTCTACTCCTCGTGGGACTGTTAAATGTATTAAAATCCATGACTCATTTCGATCTTTTCTACCTTTTTAATTTTCTTTAGAATTGGACTTTATGACATACCCATATATGGGATTTTTCATGTATAACTGTCTTAGAGTTGGCCTGATTGTTTGACAAATGGTCTGTGTGAAAAATGAAAACTGAAACCAAAAATACTACCTAAGACATGTTGAATTCTGTAATAGAGAGTATTTTATGTCGAGTTGTTTCATATGCAAAAGTTGGGTTTGCCACAGTTTGCTACATGTTATATATATAGATATATGTTATTCTAAAATAAGTCAAAGTTTTTCCTTTTCCTTGACCTTTGACATAATGACATGCATGTTGTTTAATAACAATCTTATTAACATATTTTAACAACATGTTAATTACTATATCATTTGTAACGCAAGAATTTGCAAATTTTCACCTCTTATTCTCTCGTCGGCTCTTCCTGACACCAAGAGTAAAAGCGTCCATGCTTTCTTATTTTGGCATTTGCACCTCCAACTTTTCTAAAAATAGATATTAATATTTTCTATCCACCTAACCCATAAAAGGATATATGTTTATATATTTATCTGATAAATTGAGTTTATAATCATTTATCTAACTTTATACATATAATCAATATTTATATATATACATTGTTTGTTTAGTCTGTATCTTTTTATATAAAAGAGAACAACATAAAGGGATCATAAGATAAATCATAAATCTTTCAGATGTAACACTATATTCGAATTCAAAGCTAACCAAATATCAATTTATTTTTAACCAGATGAAATCAGTTCATCTGGTGTACATATAATGTTTCTCATAATGTAGTATGGTAGAAATGTGCAAATGATTGTATACTATATATATTTGGATAACTGTTCATGTAATTTATCATGATGCCAGATTTTAGAAGTATATAATGTGAATTTTTGAAATAAATTGAATAAACAAGAGTGGAAGTATCCTGTTTCCGACTTGTATAATGTTATAATAGACTTAGAGATTACAAGTTTCCGAAACATGGTACTGTATATGACGGCAAACCTCTGAGGACGACTCAAAATATTGCAGATTTCAAATTTGAGTCATAGGAAATTCTAACACGCATTTTAAGTTTAATGTAATATTGATGATTAACACTATCATATTTGACAAGAAATCATATCAAATGGAGATACGTGTATAAATATATTTGGAATGTCTGGTATATCATCATATTTAGTTTTCTAGAACGTCTATATAATAATAGAAAAAAAGCAACAATACAAATAAACGGCCTTGAGGGTTGCATTTTTCTAAGGTAGTTATTCTTTTAATCACTTTTATTACCTGGACGTTGATTACAAAATTTCCCAACAATCAAAATGTCAGCTTTTTTATAACTTCTTTGATAAAGCTAAGAATTAAATATTGTATTGTCGGGACAAAACATATTAAATTAAGGTTTTGCACATAGTATATACTTTCCTTACTATATCGGACTCCACTATCCAATATCTTTCACAAAGACAATTATTGAGAGAGCACCCTGAAATGGCAAGCAAGATAAAGGTTAAATTTTTTTTTATTTAAAAGTTTATCCCAAAAGTTCATTCTGTTTTTGAAAGGTTATGCTTAATTTTACTCGGGGATATTCAAACTTACTTAATTGCATTTTAGCTATCACTGTTTGCATGGATTTTAATTTTGGCTTAATGTCTGCGTGGTTAGATAATACCACAAGATGACTTTAGTTTCAAATATACTATTACTTTGCAAATTTTTGAAAAATACCACAGCATTTAGGTCTCTGAAGAAGTGTTTCTTGCTTAACAATATTTATTATATATTGCGGGTTTGAATTCTGAAAGTGACAGAACAATAACATTTCCATAAACCATTAAGCTATATATCATTGTTGTCTATTGAAAAGTTAAGTTCTAACTGTACCATTACTTTGTCAAAATTCCAGAAACATTACAAGATTTAGGTTCATGGAGTCAGGAGACATGAACATATTACGTACATCAATTACGTTAATCTTAATTATAGAGAAGAGTGAAAAGTCATTCAATAGATTTCTTTTTCAACCTATGTCTACTCAAGGAAATTGATGGATTGTGACGGATTCTAATTACAGTTAATCATCATCAAAGTTTATAGCCTTTTTTCAACAACAAAAATAAAAGAGACGTAAGATTGTGATAAAAAAAATAAAAAAATAAAGAAATTGGGATCCATTTTGAACCATTCATTACAGCTTTTTTTATTTACACATATTTTAATAAAACTAGCTACTTGTATTACAATATTACAATATTACACTTAGTGCTCGTAAGACATAAAAGATTCGCGTTCATTTGTATTCCTCGCAAAGAAATGCAATGAGTAAAAGTCACATTGTTTTATTAGTACAACACGACTCGAAGGAAGAATTATTCAAGTGTTGGGTATCTTAATTATATATCACCAAATATAAAAATTTAATAAGTACTGATAGTGGAAAAAAAGAGGGAAACAACCACAATTGGTCAGGATTGATTAATGCCGATATATTATTAAGGAAAAAAATTCGCACTGAATAATTTCAAATCAACGACGTATCTTCAAAATCGAAAGGTACGTAGTTTCTATTGGCTACTGGTCTAATATTATTTATTTTCAAAAATTTCCACACTGATTAAAAAAAAAAAGTTATGAGAATTTTGTACAAGTATTCATATATGGAGCTCTCTCTCACTCCCACACACACACACAAATTAAGAAAAGATCGAAGATAAAAAAAAAACCCTAAACGTAACTCACCCCACAAAATAAAGGGTTCACTAAAAAGTGAAAAAAAAGGTAAATAACACAGCATTACTAGGAATTGAAGTAGTTAACTTAATTATTATACAGTCCTTGAAAATCCCAATCTCGTGATAATAAGCCTTCACTGAAACTAGGAATCATCTCATAATCACCTTCTGACCACTGCGGTGGATAAACCCAAAACTCTGCCGAGTCAGAGAATATGAACTCGTTACCGAACTGAGTCGAATCGTCGTAACTCGATCCCAAACTCGGCAGCTGAACAATCTCCCCTAGCTCCTCCGAGCCGGTCGACACGAGAGACTCCAGAGAAGAAGAAGACTGTGAGGACGAAAACGTAAAAGATGATGAAGAAGAACAAGAAGAAGAAGACTGTGAAGTGGTCTTGATGATCTTCATGTGTGCGGCTTTGAGAGCAGCGGCTTGGATGTCTTGAGGACTGAGAGAGCTTGGTCGTGGGAAAGAACCGGCGAGGTCAGGGAAATTGAGTATCGCGGAGGTTCCTTTTATGCTAAGAGCAGCTACGTCGTGTGCACGCGCCGCCATCTCCGGCGAAGGAAACGTTCCAAGCCATATACGAGATTTCTTCCTCGGCTCGCGTATCTCCGACACCCATTTTCCCCAGCTCCTCTTCCGAACTCCACGGTAAACCGGATGCTTACCGGAATCTCTAACCGGTTTCGTCTTATCTCCCTTGCTTTCTTGACTCTCCGATGAGATAGTCGCCGAGTTCTTGGACGTACTCTCTAGAGCTATCATTGGTGATCTTTACTTTTAAGAATGGCACATTAACTAATTGTGTTTTTTTTTTTTTTTCTTGGTTTGATTTGAAGGTTTTGAAGGTTTTGGGTAGTAAAAAAGAATGATGTTATAGAAGAACGTTTGAGTATTCGATAAAAAAAAATTATTATGTGTTGGGAATGAGTTTAATGAAGGAAAGTGAGAGACAGAGTTTGATGGGTATTTGTCTACATTTCTCAATCACTAGTCCCTTATTTATATGCAACAATTGTTTTGGGGAAGGAGGTGGGGGTGTGGTAGAGGTAAAGGGAGATATGGGACAAATATTGCGCTAAGTCTTAGTGAGTAAAAGATAAAAGGACCCACAGGCTAAATTTGGTTTTGATGCTCTTAAAAGACCCGTACAATATTTTTATTAATGATCATGACAATAGCATAAATCCATATTTGTCTTTAACAATAAAAAGGAAATCTCCATATGTTTGCTTGTTTCTTCCGTTTTTTGTGTTTGTTTAGTACTGAGAGAGTGAGAGATATGTTTTATTGGGGGATTTTATGTTTACTGTTGGGCCAAATAATACTGTTTGATCTAAATTAAGATGATGAGATAGTCATGATGAATGAATGATAAACTACCTACTTTTACATTTTCATGCTACTAGCTTTTATTATTATTTACGCATAATTAAGTCTTCACATGTTAATGTTATTTAAAAGTAATAACTTGATAAATACTCTTTTATGTAGAAAGAGTCTCGTTTTAGATATAATTTGTGTGGTTGCAAAAATATTTTTTGCTTTAACAAAAACAATACGTCATTATCAGTTAGAATCATACTTTCATAATTTTATGATTATTCATTTAGAAATCCTGTTTATTTAATGTGGTTCTGTTGTTTTACCAGTACACTAATATGCTGTTTTATTACTGAGCCATAATGCTTTTTTTTATTTTTGAAAAAGATTGTTATTTAATATTAAATAGATTTTGAAGAAAAAAAGAAGTCAGAACTAATGCAATTACGTAAAAGAGTAGGATCTAACATATAATTAATAATCTATTTCTGGCTCCTCAAAGCAAAAAAAAATTATATATGTATTGTTCTCTTTAGAATAACTGTTAATATAGAAATAATAAAAGTCCCCTTTAGAATTCAAGACAAAATCTACAATAATAACGAGATAAATTATTAATTTTGTTGCATTGCCGACTGAATAAATCTTTTATTATAATACATGCCGCGACTTTTTATAACTATTTTATTAATTTTCTTCTTCGTGTTGAAAATGGTGTGTCAACTGTTTTTAGTTATTTTAAGTTTTCAACTCAAATTTACTGTTCAATTATCCCTTATCGATATCTCAATGCATCATCATGTTTGTAACTACAGAAACATTATCTGTATATAAAAGTTCAATACCATTTTTGGAAGTATATATATTTTTGTATGTGCATGCATATGAGGTTCCTCTTAGATACAATAAAGAGGATTCAGATGAATTTTAAGTTGAAAACTTAGAATATATTCGAGATGTAAGCTGTAAAGTCTTAGAGATTTCCAAATGCACGTTTTCATCCAAGGGATCCTTGCATCTTTTATTCCGTTTGGCCGACCAATCCAAACAGAGAAATTACATAGATTGTGTTATAAGTCGTAAACATGTATTGCATTGTAAGGATATAAAACTAAAAATTGAACATAAACAGTTTATATTATTGTAGTCAATTGGTTGACTATCTCTGCTTTTTTTTCTAATGATTTTGGCGGTTGATTCTGGTGTGTAGAATTAGCATCCATGTAAACCTAATTGATTAATATTGAAATTATAGAATATACACGTTCTCTTATTAATTATCTAACAGGAGGGTTAGAACCGAAAATCAAATAGTTCAAAATAAACCTTTTTCACTCATGTGAAATCAAATCTCTAAACTTTGCTCGTGGGTCGTGGCAGGGGTTAGCTTTGAGAATAATTCCAATTATGACAACTTATTCGATTTTTCCATAAGTCGTTGTTCAAAGTATCTCGAAATATTTTATTCTGTATAAATTTATATTTTTTAGAACTAGTCTAACACAAACATCCAAATTAAAGACAGATTTTAGCTAGCTAAATAATTTTTTAAAAAAGGTTAGTTACAAATTTGAATATGAACATATATACTAATTCAAGTAGCAGCAACGAACGACGTTTTGCGTTCCTTAACCACATGTTCAATATGCATACATGCATTTTAAATTTGCTCTTGATACTTCTATTATAAACAAAATATTCACAATATATATGGTTGTGGCAAGTAGCAATCAAAGTTCTGTAAGTTGTTACTCATTTGATGGATCAAATCGGCATGTTAATATTGTCTACTATATATTGATGGTTCTATACTAAGTCTTTTAAAAAGATAACTTTATAAAGTCGTTAAATCTTCTAGAGTTCTAGTTATATTATCCTAAATTTTGTACCGGTAATATTAAGAGATCGATTACACACAAGAAATAGTTGTCAAACACAAAAGTTGGTCAACGTATCGAATAAGGTTAAACCAGAACGGTAGGTGGGTGTGAAAGAAAAAAGTCTAAAACTAAGGTAAACAAATTGGGGACACAATTAATGTCCAGATTCTTTCAGACCAGAAAATAGAGAGTTAATGTTCAGATTATAAGAATTTATTTTGTGTTCTCCACGTACCGTACTATCTAGAAATGGATGGGAAAGGAGCTATTTATTAAGGATGCGATATCTTTGGTAAATTTTATGTATATATAAAGAGAGTTCAATTAAACATCTAATTTTCTAGCTAGCTATTCTTGTGTTCTAATTAGTTATTAGACAAAACCTTAACATGCTAGATCTCTCTGTAACTAGAGATCCATGTGGAGCAGTGTTCGTAATTCCTATTAAAAACGTAATTATTTCTCTTTCTACTTCACCTCCTAGTTGGTGACCATAGTTTTACGATAATACTTATATCTCGATAGTCGATACTATGAAACCCTAACTAAATGTCTGAAAACATGATTTTCAAGGAAAAAAAAGAGGAAGTTCAATCCATCAAATCAAAGCAGAATAAAAGTAAATCTTCTTTTTTTTGTTATCTTTTTTTTCGAAAACAAAACTAAAATCTTCTTAACCAACTAGAGACATTCAGTAGTTCGTTAGACTCATGTTGCATGCTCTACGAACCCAATAGAATGAAAATACTAACCAAATTTTCATATCGAATCATTCCAACTCCTAACTATCTTTAGTATTTAGAGGGAATAGACAAGTATTGTTGTGGATGAATTTTCAGCTTTTAGATAAGATAAATCACATATCGACATGTGGATGAGTGAGTCACCACTTTTCCGGCCGGGCTCTCTCGGAGCTATTAAATAGAGTATGTGACGTCGCTTTATACATTCAGGTTTTGAGATAAGTTTTCTGTTGTGAAATTGCATATGATCGAGGAACAAGGAAAAACATGAATTCATATTAAATTTTGAAAATATTTTGTGTGGATTAAGAATTTGTAATTATTTTTTATAGTAATTTTGTAAATAATATTTATGATCCACATATATATATATATATAGCCTCAAAATCTGATACAAATAGAAATAGGAAATACGTTTTATTTATAATCTTAATTATTGTGTGTAATATCGTATCACGGAGTCTGTGGCTCCCGTACCCCTGCCAAAAACGAACCTTGGCCTAAAGTTATTTTTTGTCTTTGGGCGTGAACCCCACTCGAATTCATAGTTTTCTGGTTTAATCTTATAAGAAAGGCTTGTAATAGTATATTCCAAAATTTAAGTAACTCTTTCAGTGTTTCTAAACTCCTAATAATATTGACTACTCAAGCGTACATGTTCATTAAATAAAAATCTTACAAAATGCATCAAATTGCGAACATGCTAAATCTAAAGATACAAAATAAGATCGTGTAACGTAAGTCGATTCTAAAGTAATTATACTACATTGCTTGTTTCTGATATGAATCGTTAGCTTTCCGTGTTTGTTTTTGCCATTTTTAGAATATGTTGTGTTTAAAGAATACCTAAAATTTATTCAGTTTTTAAAAGTGAGGCTATTAGATTGCATTTTGATTATAATTTTACCTTTTGACTAGATAACAGATAATTCTGGAAATATATAATAATGAGAAGAGAATTTACGACAAAAATATGTGAATGAAAGAAGGACTAAAAAAAGAGAAAAAGGCAATTTTTGTGTCGACGGGAGAAAAAGGCTTATCGATTGGAGAACATTGGAAAAAGAACCAAGTTGTATGATTATAATTGGGAAACAAAAAAGTGGTCCAAGAGACATCTTGAAATCAATGTAGGACATGCCCATAAGTTTTTGCTTTTATTAGACTTGGGAGAGTCTGAGGACGTAGTCAACGAAAGGCGCGTATGGCTGTCGTTTTGGACCCACTCATACAATTACACGCAAATTTGCATGCAACAGTATAACTCAATTATTGCAATTTGTCGACATTGTTCTACAGGAATTCACCGACCGATGTTATTATCATTATTTTTCGATAGTATTCTATATGGAAGAACAAGAGACCATTATAATCCAAAGGATTAAATTTCATTTGGCGTTTGTTATTAGAGTGTACGTGTCAATTGTGGATAAGAGAGTTTGTTAAAACAAGTTAGTTAAAGGTAATCTTAACATTTCGACCAAAAAAAATGTTATTTAAAGGTTGTTACCGTCTTAACTCTTAAGCTTATGCTAAAGTCTATACAAGAGTTGTAAACACTTGATTTAGATTTAATGAGAAAATCAGTTCACAAAGTTCCAATATTTGTAGTAAATTTTCTAGCCTTTTTTTTGTAAAAACTTTTCTAGTCTTGATTAATCATCTCAGGATATTATGCATTATTCTATTTGTTTCAAATAATGTTGGTTTTTTATATTTTTCACTTTATTTTTTTTTTTCACTTTTTGCCATGGAACCAAGATTTTAGGTTGATCAATTGTGTAAACAATTTGTAACACCTAAATTTTTCATTTTCAATTAAATATTTACAATTTAGCAAAAAAAAAAAAATATATATATATATATATTTCACGTGATTTAAAAAAACAATATATATTATGCTCTTACAAAATAAGTTTGGCACTTAAATTTCTACCATATGTACTTGCACTTAAATCATAGAATGACACTTACAAATCTTTAGCATCAAATTACTTTTAATTTGAAAGAGATGGAATTCGTTTTGCATCAACGTACGTACCTTAATCATTTCTACAAAAGTCACTAACTATTACAATAGTTTTTAGAGTTAGAGGCAGAACACACAAAAATGACTAATTGTTGACCATATTATCAATCGATGAGCAGTTTCATTTATGTTTCTACGAAATTATTAAAATTTGGACCATCAATGTCTAAATCTGGTAGTACTGGATTGCTTCTTAAAATATTATGTGGATGTCTGAGTGGATCTTTTTGAAATGACAAGTGGTGTCTCTATGGTTGATTGTGGAAATAAGTGATAACGACTGAGCATTACCTTTCACAATATACAACCAATTAGCAGTAAAGACATCATATCGATTGTAGCTTCTAAGTAATGTTTGAATTTCAGTCTGCAATGATAATTTGGAAGAAAAAAAAGGAAAGAAAACTGTTTTTCCAATGCATAAGTCATAACTAGTATATACACAAGCATATACAATAATCTTGGAAGGAACCATCAAAATTATACCTAACTCCAGTTTTCAGTGACGATAATCCAATTGGCGAGTTACAATCGATCATGCTAATTTGAAAAAACTTAACAAGATAGTATCTTCTCATGTTCTCTTAAAAACTAAGTTTCCTTACTTATAGTGCTACTCTAAAAAAATTTCTTCAAGATGCCAAAACTGGTGGTTAAAGCAATTTCTTGGCAAAATGTTTATTGGAAAATTTATTTTTAAATGTATTAAATCAGATTTGCCATAACAATACAGTTAATCATGAGTTTTTTGCCACTCGGTGACAAATATACTTCCTGGTTCCTGCCAATTAAATATTTTATTTTTTGTACATATTAAAAATGATAAAGCAGTACAATGTTGTTGTTGCCAAATTATTTTGGCTCGTCTATTGGTCTAAATATTTATCTGTTAATAATGAAGCGGGAAACTGTCACCTTCTTAAGTTCTGGAACCAAAAAGGGTTAGTTATTGGCTTTTAGTAGTTTTTTATATCGCAAAGTTCGGCCATCGGTTTGGTGGATTTGGAAACAACCTTTAGTTAATTCTTTTTTTGGAGTATCTTTTTAATAAAATCAAAAACCATGTGGTAAGCGGTAACAATTTGATAAATTGATGAATTTAAACAAGGCGTTTCATATAATACGTCAAATGTTATTGAAGATTCGTATAGAGCAGCATACGAAATATCGAAAACACAACATGACCATTATCATTGCCAAATGAAATTTAGTTTGTTATTCTTTTTTTTGTTTTCCCCAAAGTATTGCGTTTGGTGGATGAGTTTGATTAGCCTATTATATTCATTTATAATATGATGCTTCAATGTTTTCTTTTGGTCAAAAAGTATAATTCTTCAGTTATATTCCTAATTTTACGGTTAAGATTCCCGTTGTGAATGATGAGCAGACAAAATGTAGCTGCAGTGTACTGTGGTGAAGTTCTACAGTCACGAGTAGTACTTCATACTATTCAATATTGTATTTTATGCGGTGAGCTGTTACGAAAAATTATTTTATGCGATGCAGTTTTATTACGGTTGATTAAGTTTATTTTTTTTTTGTAATACTTTGCGAACTGTTTTTGAACCTTATGTCAACCATTCAAAAATATGATGGTTTATAGGGCAGTTTACAAAGACTGTATTAAAAAAAATTATATTAAAAATTGAGTAAAATGTGACTTCAATTTCATAAGTATTGTGAATAAATTACCTAAAAGTAAATATCGTATTTATTGATCACCCTTCAACCCTATACTGTACATCTTTTTCCTAGTTCGTTTTGTTCCACGCTGTGTTGTATATAAACATAAATATATTTCTATATATATCATATACCGATATACGTGTGGTAAAAAGTTAAAAAAAATACTGAAAAGTTGGAAATGATTGGGTGTATGTAAGAGACAGACAAAACATATGAAAAAGAAACATGTCTCCAATAACGTCAAACATCACCATCTCCATTTATTGCCCTCTTCACTGTTTATAAATTTTCCCAAGAAAGGTTATAGGAAGATAACTCCAGATAAATTCTAGAGACTGAGATTGGTTTTCTGAACATGGCAGTTTCAGTTCTGCTCCTTATTTTGCTCTCACATGCGTCTGCTCGGCTCCAGTGATTGAAAATAAACCACATACTGCTCATTAATTAGACATACCGCCGGTTCAGTCTACTCAATCAAAGCCGCTCAAATCCGGATTCACATTCACATGGTCAATGTAAAAAATAAATAACATGTCCATGTAACAAATAAATAATCTACTACTATTGCATATACTGATCTAGCTACTACATAGTTCACACAAGAGTTAAAGATTTCGAGAATAATCGGCATCAAGAAAACTAGATTGTCAACAAAAAATTGAGGCCACTTGGATTTGTGATATGGTTTTTTGACTTTTTGTAACTGAGTATCCTCAGAAAATTTATCTGTAAAAAATGTACAATGAATTGTTGAGCCTCTAAACAGAAACCTGGAAAACTCGGTTAAACCAAACCGAATGAAGAATCATATGAAACATATCAAACTTCTCTGGCTTCACATGCCAAAGAAAATGCTTCTGCACTTTCTTCACCCTCATCTGCATTTGCTTGTACCGACGTTCCGATATCGACATCAGGATCTTCTTCAGATTCGGTATATCTTTCTCCGGCACAAAAAGCGCGAACGATTCCCAATTCAAAACCTCGAAAAAGGGCGGCACAAAGTTATCAGATATAATAACCGGAACACAATCATAGAAAATGGCCTCAACGACTCTCGGGCTGTTCACTTCATAGCCTTTGGCGCAAATGCAGTACTTGCTAGTCTTCATGAACTGAAGGTAGTTCTTGTTTCCTTTAGTCCTCGGAAGTTTCCCGAAGATTTTCAAGTCGGGATCTTTGTTGTTTCCCCAGTAAGAGAGGAGGATTGGTCTGAGATACCCATGTTCGGGTTTTCCAGCAAAGAAAGCAAGTATTGGCCTTTGTGACGCAGATTTTCCACCGAGGCTACTTAGTGGTTTCTTAGGATCTCTGACGAATGTCTCAGGTAAAGATGTGTCTTTTCCAAAGACGAAGCCTTCTTTGACATCAGAGTTGCACAAAGCCCTTATACTTTTCGAGAAGTGCTTACGCGTCTCAGATGGAGCCTGAAAACATTCACAAAATGATCTCAAAGATCACATCTTGACAACTTCATAAAGAAATGTCACAAAAGACCATACATTTCAGAAAAAATGATCTCAAAGATCGCATCTTTATAAAATGATCTCAATGATTGCATCCATAGAGAAACCATAAAGATTCCCATGACAAAAGGGGAGAAGAGATTACCCAGTCATGGCAGGCGGCAAGGAAATGATCGGCTCCGGAAGTTCGATTCCAAAAAGGGTATTTAACGGAAATGAAGTCTATGTAGTCTTTTAGATACTGAATGAGATTTCGGTGACTGTGAGAGTCCTGTACATATAGAGTCACCTCGAGCATACGGGAACTAAAGGGTAAATAGAAAAGATGAGCTTTTGAAGGGTCCTTTGTGACAAATTTGTTGTTGTTGGATTCAATAAGTTTCATAAACCAGCCTTCCGATGCATAAATCCCTCTGAGCATTGGACTGTGCATTATAGGCCTATCTCCTTCTTTGTAAACATAAACCTTCAACATCTTCTCCATCAACTCATAGCTCCTGAGGAACTCAACATCAGCTCAAATCAGTATGATCAGTATAAACGAGCTTTGAGGCAGCTTCAAGAAAGAAAAACAACAACTCACCGTTTGAAGATGGAAACATTGCGATAGAGAGGAGCATAGAGGAGAGGGTCTTTGTCATCGATCGGTGCATTCTCTATCTCATATCTTGCTTGTAAAAGCTCCAGGTCAGGTTTAGTAACCCATTTTGGTTTCTGAAAAGCACAAAAAAACAAGAAGATGAAACAGTTTTGCTATTATTACTCTTTTTAATGCAAGAATGTATCATATCAAGATCATGATTGAGAACCTTTGCTAAGCGATTATGGGAAATACGGTTTTCACGCAACTTCTTGCTCATCTCGGATATTGACATCACTCCAGAATCAGGCATTTTCCCGTTCTCCTTTAAGTCAGGAACAAATCTCACAACAGGAGAAGCATCACCAACTGCTTTTTTAGTAGGATTCTTTTTTGGTACCTGGCTAGTGGTAGCGTTTTCCTTAACCGGAGATGGGCTTAAACCAGGTAATAAAGCAGGGGCCTCTACACTAGCAACAGGTGTTGTTGCATTTTTCTTTAAGCCAGGTGATACAGCCGGGGCCTCTGCGTAAGCGGCAGGCGCGGTTGCGTTTTCCTTTACGGGAGATGGGTTTAAACCAGGTAATGCATCCGCCGGGGCCTCTGCGTTATGAGCGGTTGCGTTTTCCTTAACCGAAGATGGAGTGAAACCAGGTAATGAAACCGGGGCCTCTGCTCTAGCGTTATGCGCGGTTGCGTTTGGCAATGCAGAGGGAGCAGTCGCATTTCCTCTGCTATCAAATATCTGATCAACCTCAACTTCTTCCTCATCTCCCTCGGAATTTGTCAAAGTTGAATTCTTTTGGGAAAAGCTCGGCGCCATGGCGGGAGTTAAGTTACCATTGTGATGCTCACCGTCTCCTAAGAGAGAAGTTGAGTTTCTTGAAAAGGGAATCTTGGTGGAAGAGAAGAGGGAGGAGATAGCGTATGGTAGCTCGATGTATTGAAAGGTGACGATGAGAGCAAATGTGAGTCCCAATAGCCATAGAAGCCGTCTGCTTTCTACTTTCCAAAGCCATGGAAGCTCATGCCTCATCTTCAGGCCCTGAAAATCACCTGTCCCACTCAGAAGTATCAATCTTTGTGATCAAGAAATCATGTGGATCAATCTACTATGGTCAACGCCTGAACCCAGTTCATCAAATTCGATTGAAAACACACAATTTTTGTTTCTTTTTGGTGAATTCCAGAGCAATTTACAGAGAAAAGTCCAGGAATTCGGAGCGTTGTTACTCAAAAGTATCAATCTTTAAGAACAACAATCATAATTCCATTTGATTCTGCAATCTGGTATGGTCAACGCTTTTAAAAATTCCATTAAAGTTGTAAATTTCAGAGCTCAAAATGACGCAGTTTACTGGAAAACAAAAAAAAAAATCCTAGGAAACCCAAGTGTTGTCAACAAACAATTTTCAAAGACTTCTTTTCTTTGTTCTTTGTAATCATGTCTCTTGAATTACCATCCGAATCATTATTTTGGCTTTTCATCTTTTTAGAAAACATCATTGCATGCAATATGTTAAAGCTGATACATATGATTATCTAATAATTTTATGCTCTGCCTCACCAAGAACAGAGAAATATAAATATTGAAAGAGAGAGAGAATCTGGAAAGAAACTTACAAGTTGAGAAGTCGATCGGAAGTCAAACAAAGATCAAAAGAGACATATGAAGCGCTGATGATTGAAAACTGATCGGCTTCTGGTCACCACAATACTCTACCGACAAACAATGAACCAACGAAAGACGCAAGAGATGAATAAGTTTCTCGAGAAAATATATTCTTGACAGATTTTCTTCCTTATGTGTCTCGTAACTATGCTGGTTCGTTGTTTACGATAAACCCAACGGACCCTTTGGAATCAAGAACCCATTAGATATTAAGCAAAAAGAAAGGGTACTTTCGGAACTGGAGTTTGAGCCGCCACGCTTTGCTTCTTTCACAGAAAGATTCTTCTTTCTCTTTTACTTTTCTCTGATGTCAGAGTTTCACGATTCTTAGTCATCCACGAAGATACAAACTTTAAATTAAGACGGAGAAAAAACGTTTACTGGAGTTAAACAGATTGGTTGTATCTTTCTGGACTCCATTTACCCTAATTTCATTCAATTTTAATTGAAATGGTTACACTGATAAATTGAATCCAATAATGTAGTTTGACTCGGTTTAGTACTGTTAAATACTTAAATATACTCCCTCTGTTTAGAATTATTTGATGTTTAAGGTTTTTGCACACAGTTTAAGGATTCATTTAATTTTTATTTTTCCTATACTAAAAATATTATTTATAATTCATTTAAATATCATTCAGCCAATAAAAAAACAATCTGCAGAATATAAAAGGTCAAAAACTATAAAAATTCATTAAATTTTGCATTGAAAAGTGAGAACATCAAATAATTCTGAACAAAAAAAACCTTCTAAAACATCAAATAATTCTGAACAGAGGGAGTATCAATTAGAACTTAGCTAAACCCAATCGGGTCCAAACCAAAAATACAAATCTTCTTTACAATATGTACAATAAATTCAAGTTACACGGTATCTAACCATACAATTCTTTTTTTTCGACGAAATATGATATGGCATTAATAAGAACTGATTGAACATAGCAAGGTCCTTTAACCATACAATTCAATTATAGAAAAAATGATCAAATTGAAGAAAACCGAACCGAATTGGACCAAAGTATTGCCAATATTATGTTTCACTTCTCGGTTTAGTAATGGTCACCGTACCAATAAAAAACAGAAAAGTGAAATAAATATATGGACAAAAGTACCCTTAACATCTTTAGACTCATAGTACTATAATACTATTATCGAGAGTGACACGACACACACATGCATTGAAATCGTTGACATAAAAACCTCCCATGACCACGAAGGTCTTCAGATCATTATTAAATTAGTTTTTGAGAAAAAATGAGATTAAAAACTTATTCTAGAAACTTTGGTGTTATAGGTGTGCAATGGAAAGACCCACATGAATTTCAAAAAAAACAAAAAAATCAATTGAGGTAGAAAAAAAAACAAAACTATCTCTCTATTTTTTAACGAATGCAATCAAACCACATGTCGGAAGAAATCAGTGAAAACGTCCCCAAATATGAGACGTCTCGACCAAATAAGAGATGCTGTATGATTTAAAAATTAATAAGTCTCTGCTAAAAACGATCTGAAAAGCGCATTAAAGATGTTCTAAACCCTTGCAAGGTTCCTTGCATGTTGCGGCAGCAATTAATATTTTTCTTCAAAATTTCATCGAGATACGTAAATTGTAAATTGATTGTCTAGGGACAAAAATAAATTACCAGGATAGTGAATGAAATACAATAAATTTTTTACAAATTTCATTTTCACAAAATAAATGAAATGGTAGTTTGGAAAAGAGATAGAGATAGTTTCCCGATAAATCAAAGTGCACGACGAATTAAATACTATATGTAAATGGTTGTTGTAACACCAACTCTATATGATACAAAACAGATTATTAGAGGAATATTTCGCAACTGACTGTTGTCTGAATATACTATAACTCTATAAGTATTGTCTATTTGCTAGTTGTGTCAAAATTGTACTATTTATTTACACATGTCTAGATTACCTAGATTTGTTTCTTGTAACCGCAAAAATAAATGATTATTATATTATCATCGAAAATTCTGAGTAAAAATATTATTTTCGCCAATGATTAAGTTATGTTTTATTTGTAAAAATTAATTTAGTTATTTTAGTTATTTATTTCCAATATAATTTATTTAGTATTGGTAAAAAATTATTTTACCATTATTTGTTTCCCTGGTTATATTTTAGTCTACTCTCCATAGTTGAAAGTAGCTGCTATGAATGTCCAGTGATATTTTAAGATTGTTTTCTCATATAATATTACTTTGTGTCAACCTTCTAATACAATGGAGTATTAAAATAGATAAGATAATTATTTGGAGTTTTTTGGGTCGAATCTATTATATTAAAACAGAAGCACATTTAGTGCTTGCATCCAAACACTTCCAAAATTTTTTATAATATTTTATTTTATTTTTATATTTAATTTCCAAAACTTAGTTATTAACTTAGATATTCTTAAATTTCCTAAAATCTAGGTCATCTTTAATTTAAATTTAAAATTCTTAGAAATTTAATAAATTTAGTTACAAAATTTGCATTCAATTTAATTTAAATTCAAAAAATTCAAAAAAAATTATAATTAAATTTTATTACGAAAATTTAGATAATAATTTTAATACTTTAGAATTTCTTAAATATAGAAAATGTTTAATTTAAAATTTTAATTTAAATAATATTTTTATAAAAATGCATAGTAAATAAATATTTTATTGTATTTTATCATAAACACTCCGTCTAAAATATCAAATATTTGAGATTAATAAATATTTATATTATACAATAATATTAGAGTTATATATATATATATATATATGGTCAATGAGTTAATTTATTAAAACATGTAAGATATTAAGATGATTTGAGACAATTAAACTAACTTGTTAGTCCGTTTATATATATATATATATTTTTTTTTTTTAAAAGCACAAATAGTAAATAAACATTTTATTATATTTTTTCATAATCAATTGGTCCAAATATTCCATATTAGTAAATATTTATAGGGTTATACAATTATAGTTATAGTCTTATACGGGTTAGTTTGTCAAAACATGTAAGATATTAAAAATGATTTAAGACAACTAAACGGATGGATTAGCAAATTCATAGATATATAGATTGTTTATGTGTAAATCTAAATTCACATAATAACAAAGTTTATAATTAACATTAGATCAATGTATACTTAATTAATGTATATTCTTATTCTACTAATATATAAAATTTACTGTTTAAAATTAAAATATGATAACAATTTTTTGATTTAAGAAAATAAATAACAAAAATAAATTATATATAAACAAAAAAGATAAATGTAACTTATATTAGAAATAAAAAATAAAACATTCTCATGCGGACGCACTGGGTTAAAATCTAATTTGGACTTTAATTTGGAGAATTGAGATAAGTAAGACTAATCCATTAATCTTCTAATTCGCTAAATATTTTTCCGTAACGTTGTCGTTTTGTAATTATCTCTCAAAAGTCAAAAACCCCGCTCTCTCGTTGACCGTAGTTTAACCTAAGAATCCTATTTCGCTGCATCGCATCAGTTTCGTTCGCGGCAAAAAAATGGCTTCTCGTTGTCGATCTTTCTCGAAACCAGCCGTTTCCATGTTAAAATCTGCTATGAACAAACCCAAATCGGCTTCATCGTTTCTCGGCCCCCGTCCTTCGCTTGGACATTCCAGGTAAAGCCTTCTCTTTTTTTTGATTTTTTTCCCCCAATTTAAGTCAATCAGATATTGAAAAACACGCAAACAGAGATTGATTCCTTGCAACTTCGTTGGTTGATTGAAACAGAACAATTGCTCAGCTAGGCTCGCTTCAGTCTCTGCTTCCACTTCACAGTGCGGTTTCTTCAGCTAGACTGACTTCGTGCCTTGGTTTTGATTGCAAGAACTCTAGTTCGTTGTCTCAGGGTATGCTCAATGCGAATCCAGGGGTTTGATATTCTCCCCAAATGTCTTTTGAGTGTGATTAGTATCTGTAAGCAACTTTTTTTACTCTCCAATTTCGTTCTTCTTATTTTTATGATTGCCCTTGCTTAGTTTTTGAAATTGGGTTTCTTTGATTTGAGCCATATTGTTGAGAATTAGAGTTTCTTAGAATGGAAAGCTGTAGTCTTTCCCATTTAAGATCACTATCCCATTTGGTGAACAGACCTAGATTCCTCTGTTCTAAAACACAGAGACATAGTAGCTGATAAGGAATTCTAGTCACTTTAAATTTGGACCATTTTAATTGGCTTAAGGGTGATGCAGAGAACTGTTTAGCTTCAGAAAGAAACAGACTTTATGTCGTTTAGTTGAGAGCTGAAGGTTTAAAAGAGAGAGAGAGAGAGGTGAATGAATAGAGGCATAGGTTTAGGAAATGGTCGAAAGTTTAGAGAGTTTGCACTCTCGTTGATCAAGTCTCAAAAAGAAAAGTTGCTATCTTTTTAGTATCAAGACAAGCTTTGATATCGGTGCATGAATGTTCAATTTTGATGGAGCTATCCTAATACAAATTTGTTAATAGTAAGCATGCTTTTACGGTGCCATATGCTAGAAATAATTATGGTGTGTAATTAATAGTATGATTCTTTTTGCAGAGCTTGGCCTCAGTGTACCTCGATAAGACACCAGAATTATGCAAAAAAAAAGGAATCTCATTTGGGATAAGGCTCTATATTCGTCTTCCTTTTGGTGTTTCCTAGTCATGCAACACTATTACCTTTCGTGTGATTCCAATTAATCTAACGATTTCGTTTTGTATTCTCATATTTTACACGGATCAAAACCAAATGTAACTGTGTTATACATTTTATACAAATTTTTGTCTAAATGAATCGGAATTCAAGTTTCGTTTTGTGTCGTTTCTTGCTCAGAGGGATCTTTTTTTGTGGATTTTTTTCTTTTGGTGTTTCAATATTGTTTCATGTTTTGTACATGTTTCACTGTGTATGCCTCTCCATCCCAAAAATAATCTTATCAAAGGAACATCAATTTGCTATACCATACCAATTACCTCCTTGGTTCAATATCCTTCCCCGGTTTGCTTTGGTTTTCTTCATTCGATTACATGATTAATTTGGAAGAGGAGAATCATTAGCTACTTTGTTAATTTAGCTAACAAAACTATGATCATGATAAGGACGACTTGTGAATAACTAGAATAATAATAAAAAATCGTTATTGGGTATAGAAAATGCTATATTGTCAGGAGACATGAATGATCTATCGTTTCACGATTTAACGTGCCAAATGTTTTATATGCGCATGGGAACCCATTTTTCGGCATTTCTACGTTAACTTCCACCTTTATTTTTTGGTAGAAGATATAATTGAAACAATTCATATGATTTTTATCCTGCCTAAGATTTCCACGTAATCAAGAACGATGTCTGACCATTGAAATAAAATTTAGATTTAACTAAATACCAAAAATATACAAATTACTAATTTGATATATATATATATATATAGAGCTCCGCAAGTATATGTGCTTTTGTTGTTGTCGGATACATGTGCTTAAGATACAAGAGCGTTCACGAAAATGACTCACTCTCTCCCTCTCTCCCTCTCTCCCTCTCTCCCTCTCTCCCTCTCTCCCTCTCTCTCTCTCTCTCTGTAGATCTCCCTATAAGAGGCATGTGACCACCGCAAACTAAGCCTCAACTAATATCTTGTATTTAATTAACATGATTTCGTAATAGTCCAAACGACACTTGCTCATAAAACTAATTCATGGTAATGTTTAACAGTTGCTACTACGAGAATAGAAATGAAATCTCGACACTTGCAAAAACAAATGAAATTTCTGACTCCAATATTAGTATGTTTCTAAGAATAATTATTTGAGTATATATTAGTTAGTGAAAAACCAAATCAATAAAGAACATCTAAATTTATGAATCAATAAACTTGAAAAAAACAAAAAGAATAAGCTATTTTAAACATAAAGGAAAAGCAAGATACTATGGATTAGTGCTGCATCGGATCGTGAGTGCAGAAAAAATAAATGATTTCAACCCGAGATCATGTTTATTTGTCAATTATTTACTTGATACTCTTTTCCTGTTGTCGTTTTGTATTGTTGGGAATTTAGTAGTTTTAAGTTTTAACCATGCTTATATTATAAGAATTGCATGAAACAAATATTAAGTATTATCTGAATCATCAGATAGAAGAAGCTAACAAAATAGCTTACAATAGCTTACAAAATCCCGTTCTATCTCTTGGGTTCTTATAAATTTTTTTAAGAATTTGGATGGTTGTTAATTAATAAACAATCACAATAGTTGCGAGGCAGAAATTTTCAAATGACTATAGTACAAAAGAGTAGAGGACCTTGATCCTTGAGGTGACATATTACCAACATTGAGACACTCTCCCACCAATATTTCATCATTATGATCTTTCACATATGTCTTGTATAGTTGTATATATTAATTATGATATATAGTCTAACTTGAAATAAACCAGTTATTCCGTTATAATCACTACGATTAGCTATATTGGTATCTAGCTTAGTATGGTACATGTAGAATGTTCTTACTAATCATCCCTTCTTATCTTTAGTAATTGTAAAGTATAAGCATGTGACAAAATAAAATAAAAAACATTTCGCTGAGCTAACACTAACTACTCCATGATAACGAGATCAACAAATTAAAACTAGATGTAGAAAAGGTAAATTTAACCAAAGAAAAACCTAAAAAAAACATTAATGTCATGAAGAAAAACAACAAATTAAAGCTTCTATCAAATTCCAAACAAAAGGAAAAAAAGAAAACAAATTGTCATAATTAAGATTAGCAAAACTTGATCTAAGGAGATATATCCCTAATTATTGGAAGAAGAACAAAAAAAAAGGGATCAATCAAATAAGCTGTCTGAAATCAGGACCAACGTTGTGGTGGATCAAGTAATCATCACCATCCGAAGAAACGTCGAAAATCATAGCAGTCTCAGTACCGTGATGGTGATGTATAAACTCATGGTGGGCCTTCGTCATCTCTTTCTGCCGCCGGAGCTCCATAACTTTCCGGTGAGAGTTAGAATGCTTTGTCAGCACGAACGTCGGACTCGCTGCCGGACGGTACTCCGGCACCAGACGGCCCGATTTGTACCTCACGCCGCAAGCGTTGCACAGCGTCTTCGGGCCCATTGGGCCCGTCCGCCACTGCGGCGTCTTATCCGTGGCACAGTGGAGACACCGCCGCTCCTCTGCGCCGCCTGACTCCAGCGACGAATCTTTCTTCCGACGGAGACCGTCGATGGCTTGCTTTTTTCCGAGGTGAGCCATAGACATCTGCGAAGTCGGTGGAGACAGGTGGTGGTGGCTCGTGAGGATGGTTTCTCCGGTGAATGGATCGTCGTAAACGGCTTCTTCCATGAGAAGCCCACGTGAGGCCCAATTGCACGCAGCGGCGCGTGAGCGTTTGCTCCTGGCTTTGGCCGGCACAGAGACTTCAGTGGTGAAAATGGGACTGCTGTTGTTATTTGGGTTTTCCTGGCCGGGTTCGGACTTTGGGTCGGGTCGGGTCTTATAACCGGATATTAGCTGGAGCTTTTGTACATCGTCGGTCGAGAACGAGTCCTCCACGAAGTTGGACAGCCACTCCAGCTCAGCCAACTCATCACTCTGTGTTTTGCCGAGACAACAAAACAAAATTTCAAACCAATTAAATTCGACTAACCAAAAACAATTTCAAGCCAAATAATTTTTCTGAAATTCAATAACTGCCAAACATAACATTAACATATCATATCATTTATCTTCTTTCCTAAAATTCAATTATTACCAAGCAGATAAATCTTTTTTTTTTTTGTTTCAATGGTATTTGAATTTACTATTTAACATAACATATCATTTACAAAAATAACATTAATTCTCTTTCCTAAAATTCAGTAATTACCAAACAAACAAATCTCCTTTTTTATCTCTTAATTATACAATCGTATATCTGAAAATGATTTAGCATACCGGTACGCAAAGGTCGCCGGAGAAACTGGTGCCGTCTTGAACGTCAACGTGGAAATTGGGGAGGCTTCCGGCGGAGAAAGAGGAGGAGTTAGAGCTGTCGGCTACGGCGGTGGCTGTGTTGATGCCGTCCGAGTCAGCAATGACATCGTTTTCGTCGTCATCATCGTTGGAGAAATCGACCAAGAGGTCATCGACGGCGAAATGATCCGCTGTGTGGAAGAATTCATGAGCTTCTTCTTCCATGGAATTAGAAAGGTTAATTTTTTCCGGTGGGGTTGTTACGGTGAACTCTCGCCGGAGCTCTGTAGGGAGAGAGAGAGAGAGAGAGAGAGAGAGAGAGGAGAGAGTGGAGTGAGGGGAAATGTGAGTTTAAAAAGGAGTAAAGTTTAGAGAAAGTTATGGTTTCTGTAGAAAGATAAACATTTATTTCTATTATTGTTTTGTTTGTTTTATTTTTATTTCATTTTTATTGCGCTTGAAGGGGACAAGAGAGACATGTAAATCGGAAGGTTTGACGAGGACAAAGGAGATTTTACTGGGAAGCTTCCTATATATTTTTCGGTACACTATTAATCTTCCTATTAGTATTTTTTTTCTAAATTATAATTGTATTACTGATATTGTTAACTGGTTTGGACACAAAAAATATTGTTTACATGTACATGCACAAACCAAAAATACATGTTTAGCCACGTTTTTAATAGAACTCTATTTTATTTCTAATTTAACCCAACACTTAAGTCTCTCAATGAAAAAAACATTGTTTTATGGATATTTTGATATTGTTAAATATTGGTTAAATTCTTACAAGTATAGTCCAGATTCATATTGGTTAAATTCTTACAATGAACAAATATTGGAGTATCATTTTATAAAATATAGTGAAAAAAAATTATCGAGAACTAAATGATTGGTTTTAAAATTTTGAGATTTATGAGAAGGTAATTAATGCTTAAATTTGCAGGAAAATTAGAATCTCCGTAGTTGACAAACAGAAAGGTGGAAAATATTTTTGACATAATTAAACGATTAATGAATCAAACATGTGCAATTGTGGTATTAGTGGTGGGGCTAACTTTACTAATAGGGTCATAACGTTGCTTCAAAATTACAAAAAGTACCCCTCACGTGCATGTGTTGGATGATGATCACGCCGTTGATTATCAACACACTCCATATATAAGCGACAAATACGAATAGGAGAAGTTGAACCGGTTCGGTTATGTACACGTTATTTAAAATAGTAAAATGTATCCTAAACCGGACTGAGTCACCGGTTTTGGGAATCACCTAAATGATAAAGTTATCAAAACATATACATTACTGTATAATTGTCCGCCCAAGCGCCTAATGATAATCTGACAACAATCAATCGGGAGTATACAATTTTCAAGAGTTACATTTACAAAGAAAAGAAATCGGCCTTATGTTAATCTCTTTCTCTTTATATTAGGTCAAATTCAATGAACAATAGACTTCCAATTCATATTATTGACAGATGTGATTACTGATTAGTAATATCTACTATACTATTGTTGATTGCTATATCTAACCGCACAGTGCTTGCTTGTTGCTACAAACTCTTAATGTAACGTGAAAAAAACTAACACGCCCCTAATCATATTTGGACCAAGAATAGTACGTACTACTAATTAACTATAAAATCAGTAATAACCCAAATGGGCGACCAAAACAAAGTAATTAACAATGACAAAAAAGGAAATCGAAAACAATTTAATTTTGCAATATCAAGACATTCTATTGGCCGATTCGATCATCTACCACATCGAACAATATTCCTCGGGACTTGTAGAAGAATATCTCAAGAGTTGAAAAATCTTTAGCTATTGTTAATTATTTTAACTACACGTTAACCCTTCTTCCTAATCCCATGTTAAAACTCTTTATTCCTTTTTCGATTCCACTTTTAGGCACGACAATTTCCAGCTCAGACAATGCGAAAGAGTGTGACCGGTCTTAAACTCTCTCTTTGCTTTTATACCCTTACTTTTACATCTTATTAACCTAATTATAACCTTTAGTATTACAAATGCGCAAGCCATAATAGAATCCAATTCTGTTACCTGAGAATCAGATATTGTAACCATCTTCAAAATTTAGTGGTCCGTCATTTTTTAAACTAAAAACGAAATGATAATTACTAATGTAATCTCTGTAGCGAATAGCTATAGCTAGATAACTGACACAAAAAACTATCTATATCTAAATAATCATGGAAATGGGCGATAAGTGTTTGAAACGAAAACCATATACAATGAGCACAATGGCCTGTAATAAGATCGTTCTATGGTAGAAGAAAATTAATCTTTTGAGTTTATAATGGGATGGTGTTGGAAATAAATAATGGGATGGTGTTGAAAATAAATAATGGGATAGTCTTGTCAGTGGAGCTCGTTGTATAGATATATACCTGGTCAAACTACAAGAACGTTCATAAGTTCTAAATAAGTATATAAGTATTATCAACTCGAATACAGCTAAAAGAGAAGATCAAAACACTTTTACTTAACAAAGTTTGAAGGGAAAATAGTTTTAACTTGTGATCGCATCTATATACTGATCACTAATACTGCGCATTAACAATCTATTATATGCTAATTAATAATTGTATGTGAAATCATCTGCGTATCTTTAAGAGTATAGAAATATCTCTTCTTTTTATCAACAACACTAAAAATATAGATATATCTATACGTACGTGAATATACGTGTGTATCTATATTTATGTATGGAGATCCGTGTAAAATAGGTATTTATGTAATAAGTATAGTTCAGATTATGTTATAGGACTTCACTTAATTTCATATATATATATATATAATTTATAAATACATAAATATGTCAATATATATCATATAAACAAATATTAGCTTTATGTTGAAGATAAATTTTGCTCATTTTGTAATGAAGAATCAAGTTACCATATGTAGATATCGAATCAATATATACGAGACTTCTTGGAGACCGAACTCCGGCATCAATGTCTCATCCAGAGTAACGCTCTGCACCATCTAGCGAGAAGTACATAACGAGACACAATACGATTATCTCCCAAACGATACATGAGCCATTTCTCTTGTCTTTAAATATCCATCATATAACGTTTGCTTTGATATTTGCGGTTAGTCATATCGAGTTAAAACTCGAAATAGTAGTTATCAATAATTTTTTTTTTTTTTTTTGGATTTGATTGGTAAAGGCGTTTATGAGTTTCTCGGCAACGGGAGAAAGATAAGAGATAGCAGAAAGAAATTTGACATCCGCACTCCACTCGTATAACTTTTAAACATTCGTTTCAACTAATTTTGGCAACTCCTCGTTTCAACTAATTTCTATCCGAATTGTATTACGAGTTGCGTCTAACCACGAAGGCAAATGTTTCCAATGAATAAGCCTAGTCTTCTTGAGAGAAGCGATCCACATGATTGTCTGCTTATTTCAGACACGTGTCTCGAGAAGACCCTAGTTCCGTGGGACCCGGCTTTTAATCTTGGGCCAACCCCTACGCGAGCGTCCTTCGAAATAACTTGCGGATAAGTTTTTTTTTTTTCTGCCTTTAATTCTAGTTCTTCACTATATGTATTTATATGGGATCCCGTATTTACATTATTACATCAGTGATCGCTTGAACCATACTCTTGCGTCATTTTGATAACACATCATCCAGTTTTATAATAGATTGTTATTAATCTATGTTATCTTCTTAAATATCTAGTGAATAATGATAACAGATCCTGAGAAGTACGTAAAAGTGGGGAAAAAATGCGTAAGGGTGCTTCTCACGTGTCAAAAGCGAAAGACACGCGGTGCAACATTTAAAAATCAGGCTAAAATAGCCCTACTCATGGCTCAGATAAGATGCTTCTTTGAAAGCAAGCAAAGCCCCAAAGCCTCTGCTGTCTGCTCTAGAGAATCGCTTTCCGTGTATAACGTGTAGATACAGCGTCACGTCAGATTTTCTTCAGTTTGTTATGTGTTAAGGTGTGACTGTTCTTGACCTTCAAAATATGGTTTATGTGGATCCGTAGACCATTATTAGTATTTCAGTGGAATGGACTGCTGAATTTGATCCGTTGACTTAAACAAGACAGGCGTTTCCCCAAGCTACTTCATATCGAGCAAGTAAGAGGCTTGAGCTCATACATGGAGACCTCTGTGGACCAATTACAAACCAAGCTCATGTATTCAAATACAGAATCACAAAGCCAAGATTTTAATGGAGAAAACAGAGGCAGGGGACGCGGCGGACGATTCTCAAGAGGAAGAGGACGTGATCGGTCTAATGGAGGAAGAGGAGATCAGTCAAGGAATATTGATCTTTCAAAGATCACATGCTACAGATGCGATAAGCAAGGCCATTATGCATCTAGTTGCCCGGATCAACTACTCAAGCTACAAGAAATTCAAGAAAACAACAAAGATGAAACTGAAGACGCAGATGAACTCTTGATGCATGAAGTAGTCTACTTGAATGAGAAAAACTGCATACCAAGCAACTATGAAACTGCATATCTTGACAATGGAGCTAGCAATCATATGACAGGGGATTAAAGATACTTCACACAAATCGACAACTCTGTTACTGGAAAGGTTCGATTTGGTGATGACTCAAGAATAGACATCAAAGGGAGTGTGTGGAAAACGAACAAGTTGAAGTGCAACATGTTCCTGGAAATGAGCAGAGAGCTGACATCCTAACAAAAGCTCTTGGAAGGATCAAGTTTAAAGAAATGAGGGAGCTCATTGGAGTCCAAGATCTTGAGATAGATGGTGTCAAGCTTAAGGGGGAGAATGTTGACTTAAGCTTGAAGTTAACATTCTAGAAGCTAGTATTTCTTATTAGGATTAGAAATATGTTTAGGAGTTATCTAAACATATTTAGGAGTTATCTAAGAAAAAGGAAATTAATAATTCTATTAGGAAAAGGTTTTATCTACTATATAAGGAGATGCAAGGTTGTTGCATAACTTATGAGTTTGAGGATTTGAGAGCTTTAGTTTTTGAGAGAGTTTTCTAAAGCTAATAAAGAAAAGTGTTCTTTAATCTTCTTAAAGTTCTTATTTGCATACTTTGAATTCTAGATTGTTATCATCAAAGTGCTTTTATACTCTGGTGGTTTTGTATTTTGGAAACTATCTAATCTTTCAAAGTATGGACTATCTCTCTTACCGGTAATATATATAGTCCTTTACAAATTTCTTATTTTCACAAAATTTAGACAAATATGCATAAATCATGTACACAGGAAGATGCATATTATGATTCGTTTTTCTTATCCGTTGATCACAAATATTTTAGTACTAGTGAGAAGAACGTCTGACTATACCTTACACGGGAAAAAAAAAACACTATACACTGAAAAACTTCCATCAATTTAATCACTACATGTAACTAAGTAACTAACGTTACACCCTTCTCCCGATCTTTACACACAAGTTTATATATCTTTTTATTTATATTATGAACATAGTAGCATGCATAAAGATAAAAGTGAGTGTTTAAATAAACTAATTAACCAAGGTACGATCTTTTAGCTCCTTGGCCAAAGCAGGCATGCAGCTAGAGCTCCTAGTGAGGCCACCTTTTTCAGAATTGGTAGACTTGGTGGCTCTAACCATCTTCTTAGACCTCTTCTTCAGAATCTCCTTAACCGCCTCGGCTTGGTACAGCGCCGGATAACTCCGGCCTAACCTGTTGAACCGGGCACATGCGCACATATGGGCCTGTACTGCCTCCTCACGCCGGTTCTCCACCACCACTTCACTGTTGTTCATCTTCTCTATCTCTTCCTCCACCGCCTCTGCGCACAACCCGCAGATCAGCTTCCCTGAGAACTTTGAACGCACACGGTTTATATACTCTGGCGTGCACTCTTCAGACATGCCACAACACTCGCACTTTGCATCTTCCACTTCGGATATCGCTGCCAAGGACAACAAAGTTGATGTGGTTGCGGTTGGATTTGACTCTTTTGTTAGACTGTTGTCTATGGATATTTGGTGTGAGATATCCGATAAAGTGCGTTGAAGGCGGTCCATAGGAAAGATTTGTCTTATGGTGATTTGTATAACAGTATAACTTGTATATATGCTTATTTGTTGTTACTTGCAATAATACGTATTTATAGTGTTAAGAGAATGGTCTCGAGGGTTCTGTTTCCCTATCTACTTTTGTGTTTCACCTGCCAATAAAAGCATGAACAAGTTAGCTTTTATTTAATGAGCTAAAAAGGATCAAATTCTCATGCATATCTTGAGCAACACGGTAAAGCCAATGAAAAGTTTCCCCTTTTGTTAGCAGGAAAGGTGAAAGATTATTGATAAGAATTTTTGTTTTTATCGTATAAGTTAAGGCTCCAACTATTGTATAAAATATTAAATTTTAGGAATGCGATATAAATATATATAAGATAATGGTAGTTAGAAGAATAAAATGAACATAGCTTTATATATATTTAGTTGTTTGTAGGGAATAGAGGATAATGGAAATAAATATAATTTAATCTAAAATATTATGGAAAATTGTAAAGATTACAAATGACAAATGTATACATCAACCAAATATATTTGATTAAAACATTCAATAAAAACATGACGACAAAATTAACTTTAAGATATGGCATAGGACAAAACTAAATGTGTATCTCTCTGAAGCAACCAGTAAAGTCTTTACATTTTGACTTTTTTTTTTTTTGAACATCGACTTTGTTTTGAAAATAATGAATATTGAATAGCAAATGAAAAAAAAGAAAGAAACCAAGCAGAGAAAAACTATAAAATCATTAAAAACCATAAATATCTATTTCCTCTTATTGAATAAAAGAGAATCAAGTTGCGCACCTATTCATTCATTGGCATTCAAACGACGTGATTTCTTTCCCACCTATTTTCAGCAAAAACCAGCTGATTGCTTTGTATTTCAAATTTCACTGCTGCCTTCTTTACAAGATCACGCAGGGTGATCCTTTCATTTTTTTTAACCCATTTTTCGTGCATGCAACAACACTCCTAAGTCCTAAATGAGTTTAACTTCAAGGAAACATGTCAATTGTACTAAATATATTATATGTAGAACCGTCTGTTGTAATCTACGTGTTCTAGGAAAAACTGCCATAGTAAAATGGTCCATAATACCGTTCCTGTCCATCCTGTGATAGCCTGTTATACGATTATTTGATCATCATTTTTTTTTTTTAATTTCATGAATTAATCATCTTCATAATAATAAATTAATATTTAATATCTCAGATGATGAAAATAAACAATCAAATCTGGAAAACTCATCTATCGATCCCTATGTTTTAAGAGAAAAAGACAAATTGAAAATACATCTTAAATATAAAACTCACGTCAATTAAAACATTAAGAAAAAAAAGAAGGTAATTTCCATCTACGACAGATTTCCCAGCTGAGTGATCTATATTTGCAGCTGAATTTGGAGATTTCAAAGCTATGTTTTCCCAATTGAGATCTTTTAAATTAGTTTATATTTCTCATATTTGTAACGTTCCTGCGGATAAACTTGCCAGGAGTGCAAAAACACGAGGTTTAAGATTTTCTTATGTAAATTTTTCGGTTTTGGTTTAGCTTTTTTTTTGAGAAGAGTATTTTACCGCAAACTTAATATTAATAATACGATGTTTTTGTTGGAGAAAAAAGAAGGTAATTTCCATAAGAAAGTAGAAGACCAATAGAAAAAGTATGAGACCATATTGTCCGCGTTTTCATTTCTCCTCATCTTTGACAAATATACTTACAGTGAGAAGAAATTTTCAGACTTTGTCCTCCTACATAATCGCCGATTATTAATCGGCATTGTCCTCTTCTGGGTTTTGATCCACTTTATTCTCTTTCACATTTTTCCGTCAAAAGCTTCCTCATTTCTCTTCCCCTGCCTTCTCTGCGTTTGTTAGCCAGATCGGAATCGTGAAAAAAAATGTCCAGCAATCCGACTCAGATCTCCGAAGATTATGTCTCCGACAACAGGTCCGGCGTCGGCGGCGGAATTTCTGATGTTTACGGTGAGGATATCGCCACATTGGATCAGCTCGTTACCCCTTGGGTTACCTCCGTCGCCAGGTCAGAGAGAGACCCACACACGAAATTTTTTGCCACATTTCACTTTCCTATTCAAGTTTCGCTAGATCCAAAATTGTAGTCAGAATTGCTTTGATTTGGATTCTTCTGTTTTGGATGAAATCGCTTTGTTTATTTTATTTTAATGACAAAAAGTTCGGATTTTTATAATAAGATATGTTTTCAACCCATTTTGTTTCTTGTTGTGGAAGCAAGAGCCAGTTTCTGTAACAATGTTGGTACTAATTTGTAACTATTTTGTGAGAAAACTACAGTGGCTGTACTTTGATGCGTGATCCTCGCTACAATAAGGGGCTTGCTTTCACTGATAAAGAGAGAGATGCTCATTACTTGACTGGTCTTCTTCCTCCTGTAATTTTATCTCAGGATGTTCAGGTGATTTGTTTTTTGAGATTGATGATTAGTATGATCTCTATCACAGTAAAGTCTCCAATTTTGTTGTTTTGAGGTTATGCTGATTTCAGTTTGGGTGTGTGGCTAATAGGAGCGGAAGGTGATGCACAATCTCCGTCAGTACACGGTTCCTCTGCAGCGTTACATGGCCCTCATGGATCTTCAGGTCATGATTGTTATCTAAAGATCTGTTTTGGTTAATTTCTTTTCAAAAATTCTGGAACTGGGAGCTGATGAATCTATCTGAATCTTTCAGGAGAGGAATGAGAGATTGTTTTACAAGCTTCTGATCGATAATGTGGAGGAATTGCTTCCGGTTGTGTATACACCGACGGTAGGAGAGGCTTGCCAAAAGTATGGGAGCATTTTCAGGAGGCCACAAGGTCTTTACATCAGCTTGAAGGAGAAGTGCGATTTTAATACTTTTCATCTCTCAATCATACCGTTTCCATTCAATTATTTGCATTTCTAAAGTACAATATTGACATTCTTTAGGGGAAAGATTCTTGAAGTATTGAAGAATTGGCCACAGAGAGGGATTCAAGTTATTGTTGTCACCGATGGTGAGCGTATTCTGGGTCTTGGAGATCTTGGTTGCCAGGTAAACAGAGTTTTTCACACTTTGAAAACTTAATCCCTTTTTGTGACATATGCCTTTATCTTTTCTTGCTGTGGAAATTCCACAGGGAATGGGAATCCCAGTTGGGAAGCTTTCTCTTTACACTGCTCTGGGAGGAATCCGTCCATCGGCTGTAAGCACCGAAACAAAAGCTGCTGAATTCTCATCTAGGAATTCTGATCTTAACATATATCCAATTTTCACATGCAGTGCCTTCCAATCACCATTGATGTGGGTACAAACAATGAGAAGCTCCTGAATGATGAGTTTTATATTGGACTCAAACAGAAGAGGGCAACTGGCGAGGTTTACTACTACTATTTTCTGGTTTTTCTCACACTTCTTGTGTTTGAAATATTCATGTTTCAGAAACTTAGTATTGTCTGGTTGCTTTTGTTATTCAGGAATATGCAGAGTTTCTGCACGAGTTCATGTGTGCTGTTAAACAGAACTATGGAGAAAAAGTGTTGGTGCAGGTAAATCATCTGTCCGATACTGCTTAAAGCTTGTTTTTTTTAATTCCATATTGTGTTGATATAACAATCCAAAGTACTCTTGGTTTCAGTTCGAAGATTTTGCAAACCACCACGCGTTTGAGCTTCTCTCCAAGTACAGCTCCAGTCATCTCGTTTTCAATGATGATATCCAAGTAACTTCTTGTCTTCCACATCGATATCAAATGACTTGTCCATTTTTGTGAGTTTTCTAAAGCTGACTAGCAAGATGTTCTTTTGTCTGTGTAAAATTTCAGGGTACTGCATCCGTGGTGCTTGCTGGGCTTATTGCGGCTCAGAAAGTACTTGGTAAAAGCCTAGCTGACCATACCTTTTTGTTCTTGGGTGCTGGAGAGGTGAGAGACCTTAAAAACATATACCAAATAAGTTGTCCTTTTTGTCTAGTTTGTCTTTGCTGCTAAAGCTTTTTATCTCTTTGAAGGCCGGAACCGGAATCGCTGAGCTGATTGCTCTTCAGATATCGAGAGAGGTTAGATTATCTGTTGCCTTCCTCCCATTTTTTTGGATATATTTGCTCCAGTTTGCCAATAATCTGTACATGTATTGTTTTGCAGACTGGAAAACCAATCGATGAGACCCGGAAGAAGATTTGGCTTGTGGACTCAAAGGTATTGTTGATTACATCATTGTTACTAGCTATTAATTTCATCTTCATTTACGCAACATCATTTGGATTATCTTGTAGGGACTGATTGTTAGCTCACGCAAAGAATCGCTTCAGCACTTCAAGCAGCCATGGGCGCATGATCACGAACCTGTCAAGGAGCTCCTGGGAGCTGTTAATGTACTTTAAAAAGCTCATCTCAAGATCTCTTCATGAGTAGATGACAAAAGTTTCTAAGATTTTTTTATTCTTATCTTGAATCAGGCAATCAAGCCAACCGTGCTCATTGGAACCTCTGGTGTGGGCAAGACTTTCACAAAGGAAGTAGTGGAGGCCATGGCCACCTTCAACGAGGTTTTGTTACCTTCTTTTGATGCTTTTTCTCGGTTTTGTTTCCCCTGATGCTCATATTTCTGCGGTGGGTTACAGAAACCCTTGATTCTTGCTCTCTCAAACCCAACATCTCAAGCCGAGTGCACGGCTGAAGAAGCTTACACATGGACCAAGGTAACGATCGAAGGCCTATTGATACCAGACAAGTGACTTGGATTTGATGCAACTAAAAGCAGCTTCTGTTTGATTATAGGGTCGTGCAATCTTTGCAAGTGGAAGCCCGTTTGACCCTGTTGAGTACGATGGCAAAACATTCCTGCCTGGCCAGGTTCGTTCGTTGTTTTTTTTGTAATATTTTTATCCACAACCCACACGGCTCATGTTCCCTTTTTTCAGGCAAATAACTGCTATATTTTTCCGGGTCTCGGTCTTGGTTTGATCATGTCCGGTGCCATCCGTGTCCGTGATGATATGCTTCTAGCAGCTTGTAAGTACACTACACTCCTTTATAACTGTTTCAAGACACTGTTGCATTGTTATTATATACATAATTATTTAGTTATTCCGCTGTTTTAGACCATTTGTTTAATCTTTTGGAAACTGAGTTTCATATCTGTTTTATTAGCGGAAGCGTTGGCCTCGCAAGTGACGGAAGAGAATTTCGCCAAAGGACTGATCTATCCGCCATTTGCAAACATCAGAAAGATCTCTGCTAACATTGCAGCCAGTGTGGGAGACAAAACCTACGAACTCGGTTAGTTTCATAAGTCTTTCTTTATAAAGATGTCAAAATATTTCCTTTGCAAAATCTGATATCATGTTGGTTTTGCAGGACTGGCATCGAACCTGCCTCGTCCTAAGGACCTGGTCAAGATGGCAGAGAGCTGCATGTACAGCCCTGTCTACAGAAACTTCCGTTAAAAGATCCTTTGTCCATTTTGCCTCCTCATCTCTTTTTTACTTTTTCCTTTCATTGGTTTTGATGCTTCATTATAGGACAACTTCTCTCCTGTTTTAACATTTTTTTTCCTTCTTAAAACTAATAAATATAACGATTTAGTGAATAGTAAAAATAAGTCAGGATTCATTTTTGTCGTACGCGTTTGGTTCTTTCGATGTTCAAAATTTTGGTAATTTTATTTAGACGCTAATACTTACCTCGGACAAGATCTAGTGTCTACTCATATCTTATTATTTTCATTAATAATGTTTACTTGATGTAATAAATTAAAATATAATCATTTTTTCCATATATAGCATTTTATAAGTTTGTTTTTCCAAACTAATATAATTTTGACAGTTCTACGACTGATTAAGATCACTTTAAGAAATATTAAAAAAGGAAGATTCTACAGTATTTTTGAAACAGAGTGAAGATAGTAGAAGCATCAAGCGAACCAGCTGGCACTTTCTATGGAAGTTCGATAACTGACGTTCATAACCCAATCTCTTAAAAAAATCTATGAATGCATTTGATCACTTAAAAGTTAAAACCATCTTGTTGTGGGTGATCGGTGTGCATTCCAAATGCGGCTCACAAAAACTATATATATAAAAAGTTAATTCCGCATTTCGTCATTCTGTATAGCACCACAAATGAAACAAGTTTTTTGAACGGTGAAACAAAATGAAGATAGTACGATTAGATAGCATCGCACCACACTTTCCCATGTTACCAGTATATTAATATGACAAATTCTTTTTTTTTTAAATATGACAAATTCATCGTTGATATCTTGCTAAATATCACCATTTTGTTGTAATAGAATGAAATGATTTTCAAATATATTACAAGAAGAAAGGAATAAAGCGAAAAGGAGTGTTAAAAGAGAACATTTGAAGTGATTTTGGGCCTGAAATAATAATCATTACAAAGTCAATGATCCCATCCATCATATCTCAAAAGTCTAGAAAAGATAAATAAATAATATAAAGGGAAAGATTAAAAAAAAAAAAAAAGAAGAAGTAAAATTGTAAGTGGTGGCCCTCCATTAGTGGCCTAGTTATTTATGATAATGATGATTGCATTGATTTCTTTGTTAAAATGGTTATACATTCATTGAACATCTATGTGTTTAGTTGTCCTAGCCTTTTTGCCTGATAACTTTTATTTAATATAAAATGATAGGCATGCCTACATGTGTATCGAGCATTGCTATCAAGATCTTCATAACTCCATCTTTGCAACACATTATTATCAGTCTTTTCTTCAATTGTTTTTCTCCTTCGGTGATCAATGATAAGATATATATGCACTTACTCGTATAATATTACTATTGATAAAATGTTGAAATTAATTCAAATGTTTAATAAACTCTGGCTAAACAATTTTCTAGCCGTTAAGATTTATCCCTTCTATCCCAGCTTCTAGCGATACATCCTTCCTCCCTAAACTTGTTGAAAATCAACCATACTAAACTAATCAGATAATTTTTAATTATTTTTATCTTATAGAATAATTTTTTTTTTTTTGTGGTTGGACAGAGATAGGATCGGCTAATCCGATTCGCAATACAGTTGTCCACTCATTAGTATGATTATTTTTTATGGATCATCTACAACTGACGCACATTTTATGAAAAAAAATTAGAGTTATGACACTGCAACAAAATTAATACAAATCATTATACTATAATTAATGTATATTGCTGATTTCGTTAATCAAGTGATATACTTATTACTATAACTAAATGCGTACTCGCAAATCGTGGCCAATGAGCCAAAACTGGCCACAAAGTGTAATATGCCGTCTGTGGTTGTACTTGATTATCGTCATATCAATAATAGCTTTAAGATAGGCCCTTTTAAATAAAGAAATCAATAGCTTTAAGATATTTGTTCATGGGTTGATAATTTCGCTAAACCAATCAATTATGTAACTTGAAAAAGAAACAAACATTATGGAGGCAAATTGTATATAAAAAAAATACAGAAAAAAAAAATTAAGTTAGTAGTGGAATTCTAGTGAAAAAAATAGAGAGTTTAGTAGTGGAATTCTAAGTATACATACATTTAATATACATATAAATAAAAGTAAACAGAGGAAGGTTTGTAAGCGAGAGGAAGAAACGAAAACCTACTACAGTGCTACTTTTATTGGTAGGCACTCATTTAAGCATGCTTAGGAATCTCTTTACTCTTTCCTTTTCTTTGTCGGCCTCCATCCTCCAATTTTTATATATACAGCAAATCGATGGTTACGGACGATGTTGATCATCATGCATGATACATTGATACATTTATTTCTCTCATGTACTCATGACTTCATGATATATGTTTATGTAACCACGGATTTTCAAATCTTAAGTGTCAAATATCAATTTTCTGAGATGCATGTCTTACAAAATATTTCGATCTTAAGAAAACTCGCATCGCAAATGTCATGATACATAGGAGAATCAAGTGTAGATACATTTTTAGGTTATAAACATATAATTTTCGTTTTTTAAGTAAGATCGCATTTTTAACTCGCTAAAAGTAAGAACAGTTTTGATAAGATTTGTGTCTTGCGTTAAAACCTAACATAACCAATAGTTTGGTAAATTTTGTTTTATTTTATCAGATAAATATTGTTTGAATGTTTTTTTTTTCATAATCTTTTACAAGTATGTGTAATATTCTACCCTTTATTTATGAGATTTTTTTTATGATCATCATGGTATAAATCACTGATTATACATAGAAACACTACTAGTTTTGAAGTTTAAAAGAAAAACACTACTAGTTGTACAGTAAAAAATATGCATAGATATAGTAATCGACTAATCGATAGTTATATATATACAGTATATAGTTATATATATACAGTATTTGTATACTGTATCAATAATCAGTCCGTATCATATTCATACACGTATGAAACGCATCTTGACATTCGGAATCCATACAAGAAGGATCTGTTAGGTGATTATTTATACAACATAAAATCTCTTTTTCTTTTTAATAATTTGAAGATAAAAGAGGCTACTTATATAAAGATTGGAATTGTAGTACCTTGCCAACCACACATATAATACTCCTCAACACCCAAAAACACAAAGACAAACTTAGAAATGGAAGAAGAGAAGAGATTGGAGCTAAGGCTGGCTCCTCCCTGTCACCAACTCACTTCCAACAGCAACAACAACGAACCTAAACAAAGAAGCTTCACCAAAGAAACATCATTTGCTTCCAATAACAGGTTCTCTTAATTCGTTCCACAGTCTCATCAATGGTTCGTAACCTTTTATTAATCGATTCAAATTATGGTTGGCCACTTTAGATACTTTATATAGTAAGCTCTGGTTATACACAGTATTCAGTTATTAGTATATGGATTTTGGTCTGGGATCTTGGTTATTTTTTAAAAAAAAATTGTTTATCGATTTACGATTGTTGGTCGTATAATTGAGTTTAGTTATGTTAATTATACAAACAGTTATACAGTTAGAGTCAAAGGACGTGTGTGTCTATGTGTCAAGAGTCGTGTCTTGTTAGTGTGTCAGTTATGTCCAAATAGAAGAGTTGCATCTCTTCACTTAGTGTCTGTTGTTTTAGTTTATAAGTATAACGATGTCGTGATGTAAAAACACAAGTTTGATATTCAATAAAGTCTCTGTTTCTTTACATACTCTGTTTATCAAACGATTAACATGGTATCAGAGCCCTACTGATTCAAGGGCCAAATTCAAGTAAAAAAAAAAAAAAAAAAAAATCAGAGAGTGATGGAGATGATGTCGCATATCGTGACACCAATCTTCAATGGTGAGAATTATGGATTTTGGCGTATCAAGATGAAGACAATCTTCCAGACGAAGAACCTGTGGGAAGTTGTCGAAGGAGGAGTTCCAAATCCACCTGTACAAGGTGATCACAGTCCTGAAGCAATTTTACAGAAGAATCGAAGTGATGAGGCAGTTCTACAAGACTTAACTGCATTACAAATTCTTCAAACAGCAGTCTCGGATTTCATATTTCCTAGAATTGCTCCTGCATCAAGCGCAAAAGAGGCTTGGAATGCTTTGGAGATGGAGTTTCAAGGATCTCCACAAGTAAGGATGATAAAGCTTCAATCACTGAGAAGAGATTATGAAAATTTGAAGATGAACGAAGATGATAATGTCAAGGTTTTCACGGGAAAGTTAATTGATTTGGCAAATCAATTGCGAGTCCATGGAGAGGAGAAAACAGATTATCAAATTGTTCAAAAACTTCTCATCTCTCTTCCTGCAAGGTTCGACAGCATCGTGGCTGTGTTAGAACAGACGAAGGATCTACAAACATTGGCTGTGACAGATTTAATCAGCACACTTCAAGCACAAGAAAATCGTTTCTCATTACGATATGAGAATTCAACAGAAGGTGCGTTCAATGCACAATCAAGAGGAAAGAAATCTGATTTCAAAAGGGAAAACAGATTTGGTGAAAATCAAGTAAAAGAAAAATGGTGTGATGTCTGCAAGAAAGACAACCACACAGAGGCAGATTGTTGGAGGAAACAAGGTTCAAATGTTCAAAAAAAGGGTTCGAAGAAGAAGAAGAGATGTTACAACTGTGATAAGACAGGACATTTCTCAAGGGATTGCCCTCTAAAGAAACATGAACGAGCACACATGAGTCTTGAGGAAGAAGACGATGAAGACGAAGGTCACATGCTCTTCAGTGCAAGTGAAGAAACACCAACAATCACCAAAGAAGAAGTATGGTTGGTAGACAGCGGTTGTACCAATCATATGACAAAGGAGGAGAAATACTTTATCAAATTGGATAGAAGTATTAAGGTTCCAATTAAGGTTGGAAACGGAGAAGTTGTAATGACAGCAGGCAAAGGCGACATTGCTATCATTACAAACAAAGGAAAACGAGTCATTAAAGATGTTTTCCTTGTACCTGGATTAGAGAAGAATCTACTAAGTGTTCCACAAATAATATCTCATGGATACCGTGTCATGTTTGAAGACAAGCGGTGTATAATCTTAGATCCTATGGGGAAAAAGATTATGGAGATTAAAATGGTTCACAAGAGTTTTCCAATAAAATGGAATTCTTCTCAAGAAAGTGCTATGAATGCTCGTGAAGAAGAAGACATGGAGTTATGGCATAGGAGATTGGGTCACGTGGGAAATTCAAGAATTCAACAAATGCAAAAGAAGAAGATGGTGGATGGCTTACCAAAATTTCAAGTGAACAAAGAATTGTGTGGAGCATGTAAACTTGGAAAGCAAGCAAGAGATGCGTTTCCGAAGGAGTCTCATACAAAAACAAAGGAGAGACTTGAACTTGTTCACACCGACGTTTGCGGTCCGATGCAAACTGAGTCACTTGATGGAAGTCGATATTTCTTATTGTTCGTAGATGATTATACTCACATGTGTTGGGTATATTTTCTCAAGAACAAGTCTGAAGTTTTCTCGATGTTTAAAAAGTTCAAAGCCTTGGTGGAAACTCAATCAGTTTGTAAGATCAAGAGACTTCGATCTGATGGCGGCGGTGAATTTACTTCAAGTGAATTCATCAAATTCACTCAACAATGCGGAATCGAGAGACAAGTAACAGTGCCGTATTCGCCTCAACAAAATGGTGTAGCGGAACGTAAAAATCGTTCATTGATGGAGATGGCACGGACCTTAATTACGGATCAAGGACTTCCATATAAATTATGGGCAGAGGCGGTGTATACGTCGGCATATTTGCAGAATCGATTACCCACAAAAGCCATAGAAGATGACATCACACCTATTGAAAAGTGGAGTGGTCATAAACCGACAGTTGGACACTTGAAAATCTTTGGAAGTTTATGCTTTGTACACGTGCCCAATGAGAAGAGAAGAAAATTAGATGAAAAGGCCAAACGTGGAATCTTCATTGGTTATAGTAGCCAATCAAAAGGCTACAGAGTTTTCATCTTAGAAAGTGAGAAAGTGGAGATATCAAGAGACGTGGCATTTGAAGAAAGAAAGAAGTGGGATTGGGATAGAAAAGAAGAAATCAAGAGAAACTTTATCGTACCCGTGAATAATTTACAAGCACAAGGAGATCATGTCGAAAATATCTCCAGCCCTGTTTTATCTCAACTTGGTAATCAAGATCACGATAATGAAGAAGACGCCTCAACATCTCCTCAACCGCCAAAGAAATTCAGATCCATGACAGAAATAATGCAAGTCGCACCTATGGTGGATCTTGAAGAAGCGGCTCCAGCCTATGAAGCATGCCTTCTTGTAACAGAGGAACCACAAACCTATGATGAAGCCTCAGAGATTGCAGAATGGAGACAAGCCATGGAAGAAGAAATCAACATGATCGAAAAAAACAGAACATGGCTACTTGTGGAGAGACCAAAGGAAAAGAACATCATTAGCGTGAAGTGGATATATCGTCTCAAGACAAAAGCTAATGGTGATCCACTTAAGTACAAGGCAAGGTTAGTTGCAAGAGGTTTCTCTCAAGAATATGGTGTTGATTACCTTGAAACTTTTGCACCAGTTTCAAGACATGACACAATCCGGGCAATCCTTGCTCTCTCGGCACAAATGAAGTGGAAACTTTATCAAATGGACGTGAAGTCGGCGTTTCTCAATGGAGAACTTGAGGAGGAGATCTATGTAGCACAACCTCCTGGATTTGTGATTGAAGGAGAAGAAAGAAAGGTGTTAAGGCTGAAAAAAGCTTTATACGGCTTAAAACAAGCCCCTAGAGCTTGGTATGGAAGGATAGATTCATATTTTCTTCAACATGGATTTCAAAGAAGTATGAATGATGCAGCTCTATATGTGATGAAGAAAGGAAAAGAGATCTTGATCGTGAGCCTGTACGTAGACGATATCATCATCACGGGTAACAATTCTCAACTCATTGAAAAATTCAAAGAAGATATGAAGATGGAGTTTGAGATGACCGACTTGGGGCTGCTAAATTATTTTCTGGGAATGGAAATAATTCAAGATGAATATGGAGTTTTTCTGTCACAAGAAAAATATGCCAATAAGCTTGTTGAGAAGTTTGGAATGAAAGGATGCAAGAATGTAAGCACACCACTTACACCAAACGGCAAGAAGATTGAAGATGATGAAGAATATGGTGAACCAACAAAATTCAGAAGCATCGTTGGAGGGCTGTTATATCTTTGTGCATCAAGGCCAGATATAATGTTTGCAAGCTCTTATCTCTCACGTTACATGTCAAAGCCGCTGAACAAACACTATCAAGAAGCCAAAAGAGTTCTAAGGTATGTCAATGGAACGTCTCACTTTGGAGTTCAGTTTTCAAGTGTCAAGTATCCAGAACTGCAAGGATATTCAGACAGTGATTGGGGAGGATCAAATGAGGATAAGAAAAGTACATCCGGGTATGTTTTCTCTCTCGGATCTTCTGTCTTCTGTTGGAACTCTAGTAAACAGCAAACAGTGGCACAATCAACGGCGGAAGCAGAGTATATCACCGTGTGTTCAGCAACAAATCAAGCAATTTGGTTACAAAGACTTATGGAAGATATAGGCTTTGATTCTCAAGAAGGAGTTCCAATTTTCTGCGACAACAAATCGGCAATTGCCATTGGGAAAAATCCTGTTCAGCATCGAAGAACAAAGCATATCGAGATTAAGTATCATTTTGTTCGTGAAGCTGAACACAAAGGTCTTATAAAGCTCAAGTATTGCGAGGGTGAAATTCAACTTGCGGATCTGCTTACTAAAGCACTTAGCAACAGAAGGTTTGAAGAACTAAGGAGCAAGCTTGGTGTGGGACCGAAACTCAATTAAGGAGGAGTGTTGGTCGTATAATTGAGTTTAGTTATGTTAATTATACAAACAGTTATACAGTTAGAGTCAAAGGACGTGTGTGTCTATGTGTCAAGAGTCGTGTCTTGTTAGTGTGTCAGTTATGTCCAAATAGAAGAGTTGCATCTCTTCACTTAGTGTCTGTTGTTTTAGTTTATAAGTATAACGATGTCGTGATGTAAAAACACAAGTTTGATATTCAATAAAGTCTCTGTTTCTTTACATACTCTGTTTATCAAACGATTAACAACGATATGGCTAAAATAGGGTTGAGGCAGCTCCGGTGGTGGGATGGCCGCCGGTGAGATCATCCCGGCGAAACATAACGGCACAGTTAAAGGAGGAAATGAAGAAGAGAGAGTGTGATGAAGAAAGAGAGTTGTACGTTAAGATCAACATGGAAGGAGTTCTCATAGGAAGAAAAGTCAACCTCTCCGCTTTTAACAACTACCAACAGCTTTCACATGCCGTTGACCAACTCTTCTCTAAGAAAGATTCGTCGGATCTAAACAGACAATACACTTTGGTCTACGAAGACACCGAAGGAGATAAAGTTCTGGTCGGAGATGTTCCTTGGGAGTAAGTTTAATCAAATAAATTTAATTCAATATTGACTTACTTTTACCAATTGAAATTCATTTTATACTGGGTTTTTCTTTCATATTATTTATTTTCTAAAAAGGTCGTATTTTTGGGGTTGTTTTCCTATCATTACTAGAATTGAGTTTGAAATACATCGGATAATAATTTATTCATTGGACAAATTAATGATAATAGTTTCGTTTATTTCTTAGGATGTTTGTATCGACAGTGAAGAGATTGCACGTTTTAAAGACCTTCCACATCTCCTCGCTCTCACGTAAGATTATCTTTCTTACGCAACCTTTTCATGGCATACCGCATACGTACATCTCACTAACCTAATGCTTTTGTGTTGTTTTTCCCCAGCTAGAAAACGTGGCCAGGAATAGAGTGAGGTTCGCCATAATCATCAGTTCGGTGATTTGTTTATAATTGTAATTTATGGAAACTAATGTGGTTTGGCTTGATTTACTGAGTTTTTTGTTTGTCGTTGTTACTTAGATTTTTTTTCTTTCTTTTCCAACTTATGTTCTAGGTTTTTGCTATTGTATGACGATTTTGTCTAAAGATGCAGTTTGTTTAAGTAAGCGGGGTGGTATAAGTGTTATCGTTTGTATAAAATGAAAATAAAATAAGTGTAACTGTGTAAGCACATACTTATAAAGCCTGATATACTTCATGCCATCTTATCGTTTTTAAAGTAAAGAAAAAAGAATATATTTAGCCCCCTAAGGTAAACCAAACCGATTCAACAAAAAAAAACTTCATATATATGGCATCAAACCATATTCTAGTTTTGTAAAAAATCTATTTTTCTATATACTGAAAAATCAAAATTAACCAGATTTAAAATAGAATAAATGAAATGAATATTTTTAAAAATATTTGATATTTAAAATAAAAAAGTTGAAAAAAGCAACAACTTTGTTCATGGAACAAGAGTAAATCAATGTTGTGGAACAAAAAGAACAAGGGGATAGGCTGGAAAGAGCTTGGAGTTCAAGTTTGACAGGGACAAATAGAAAAGACTGTTGGCTGATGTGACTTTTGAATGTATTAAGGAAGATTTCGAAGTTCATACTGTATGTATTTTAGATATGAACAACATGATGACTAAGATATATTTACTCTTATGTGAATGTAGGCCAAAACTAATGAGTGTTTACTATCTATAAATACATAAATAGGGATTAAAACTAGATTAGTTCAACTATTTTGGAGAAAATCGATAGCTTGAGACAAGGGCAATCACGGGTTGTTCTTCAACATCTACCATTGTCTCACTCTTAGTGAGCAAGAGCATCTCTTTACTTTCATGAAACGGTGAGTTTTTGGTTTTTATTTTTCCGACTAAAAAACCAAAACCAATTCTGGTTTGGTTCAGTACGTCTAGGGTTATATCCGGCCCAAAATTCATAAATTCCATTGAAAGATGAAACGGTGAGTTTTTAGCGTAAAAAGTAGAAAACAAACGTGTCGTGTCACAAGATGAGATAGGAAAATGGAACAGCAGGAGGAGGATCATAGAACAGATACATGTCTCATTGAAATCGGAAATTGGCAAAATCCAAAAACACCAAATATAAACTTCCAAACCAAAAACGCCAATCAGAGACAAAACTCCAAACTTTCCATTCTCTTGACTTCAAAATGAATTCACCACTTCATCATTTTCTTCTCTTTCACATAAACACACCAATCACACTCCTTCCATGGCATCCATGATTTCGCTTCTCCTTGGCTTTGTTGTCTCCTCCTTCCTCTTCATCTTCTTCTTGAAGAAACTGCTCTTCTTCTTCTCCAGACACAAGATGTCGGAAGTTTCTAGGCTCCCCTCTGTCCCAGGTAGTATCTTTTTCTTGTCCATTTTTTTTCTCAGCTTTCTGGGTTTATATACTAATCACTTGTTTGGTCTCTGATTTTAGAATCTGGGTTTCATTTGGTGGTTTCGTGATTTAGGGAACTAGTCTAGTTAGCTGGATTGTCATCAATCATCAATCATCAATCATGAGCTCTGATTTTTAAAAATGTTTTTTTTTTTTGTTTTGTTTGCAAACTCTGAAAGTTGGTTGATGTGTGTTTGATGCAGTAGTGCCAGGATTTCCGTTAATTGGGAACTTGCTGCAACTAAAAGAGAAGAAACCACACAAGACGTTCACTAAATGGTCAGAGCTTTATGGTCCAATCTACTCTATTAAGATGGGTTCTTCCTCCCTTATTGTCCTCAATTCAATCGAAACCGCCAAAGAGGTTAGCTTTCGCTATCTGATGTTGTTTCTGTAAAATGTAAGGAATGTACAAACAACTCCTAAGACATTATTCAATGGTTGCCTGATAGGTCTGTAAGCTGATTCCTGATGAAATGTAATAAAAATCCATCCTTTATCGATCTTGAATTGTCTCAAGAAGTAGCTCAATGTATCTCGGAGATGTGTTGAAGAGAAGATTATCTGTCTCTTCTTTATTTGATGCTAATCTGAACTTTTGGAAAGCGGAGTTGATGCACTCTCTGATAGTATTCTCTCTTCATGTGTTTGTTTTCAGGCCATGGTAAGTCGGTTTTCATCCATCTCAACAAGAAAGCTATCGAATGCGTTGACAGTCCTCACTTGCAACAAATCTATGGTTGCTACAAGTGATTATGATGATTTCCACAAATTCGTGAAACGGTGTCTCTTGAATGGCCTTTTAGGTGCAAATGCACAGGTGAGTTCACAGTTTATTTACCCTGCAGCTTCTTCTCGATATTCTTTGTGGCAAACTGAATCAAGTTTTACGTGTTGTGTGGTTTCTTCTTTTTCTTTCAGAAACGAAAAAGACACTACAGAGATGCCCTCATTGAGAATGTGACTTCCAAGTTGCATGCCCACACGAGGAACCATCCGCAAGAACCTGTAAACTTCAGGGCTATATTCGAGCATGAGCTTTTCGGAGTAGCCTTGAAGCAAGTGAGTGTTTCGTTTACCCTTATACTTTAGGAAACACACTTTTCTATTATTTGTTCGTCAAGTGAAAATATGAAAATGGTTTTTTTCTTAAATAGGCCTTTGGGAAAGATGTAGAATCCATTTACGTCAAGGAACTCGGTGTGACTTTGTCAAGAGACGAGATCTTCAAGGTTTTAGTACATGACATGATGGAGGGTGCAATAGATGTTGATTGGAGAGACTTCTTCCCTTACTTGAAATGGATTCCGAACAACAGTTTTGAAGCAAGAATCCAGCAAAAGCATAAACGTAGACTCGCGGTGATGAATGCTCTGATTCAAGATCGACTGAATCAGAATGATTCAGAATCGGTATATTGTATTTGTTCTATTGTCTTCATTTATTGCCTTACTCTTCTCATCTGATCTCTACTAATATAAACAGGACGATGATTGCTATCTCAACTTCTTGATGTCGGAAGCAAAAACACTAACCATGGAGCAAATCGCAATCTTGGTTTGGGAGACGATTATCGAGACAGCTGACACTACTCTGGTCACAACCGAATGGGCGATGTATGAACTCGCAAAGCATCAAAGTGTCCAAGATCGTCTGTTTAAAGAAATCCAAAGCGTCTGCGGAGGAGAAAAGATCAAAGAAGAACAGTTGCCTCGGCTTCCTTATGTCAATGGAGTCTTTCATGAAACGCTTAGGAAATACAGTCCGGCTCCTCTTGTTCCCATTCGCTATGCTCACGAAGATACTCAAATCGGAGGCTATCATATCCCTGCAGGAAGCGAGGTAAAGTCTCGTTCTTTATCATAACCAAAACAGAGTCATTTTCACATATGAAGTTGAATTTATAGAGTCTATTTTGAAATCTCAATGTGTAGATAGCGATAAACATCTATGGATGCAACATGGATAAGAAGCGTTGGGAGAGGCCAGAGGAGTGGTGGCCGGAGCGTTTCCTGGAGGACAGATACGAATCGTCGGATCTTCACAAGACAATGGCGTTTGGAGCGGGAAAGAGGGTTTGTGCTGGTGCACTTCAAGCATCTCTAATGGCAGGCATCGCCATTGGGAGATTAGTACAAGAATTTGAATGGAAGCTTAGAGACGGCGAAGAAGAGAATGTGGATACATATGGGTTGACCTCTCAGAAGCTCTATCCTCTCATGGCTATTATCAATCCAAGGCGTTCTTAAGAGATCTTTCCTTATGTTAAGTTTTACTTTTGTCTGTTTTATGAACAGAACAGTCCAAATATTATTATGCTTGAATGTTTTGTCATACTTCAAACGTTATTTGGGTCATATGGACATGTACTCTTGTGGTTTCTACTAGTGATGTTAAGATCTTGGCCTGTAAATATAATATCTATGGGCCAATATAAAGAAATATTTGGTTTTCTACCAATTTCAAACAAATTTATTTTTTTGTTGAAAATTGACTAATTATCGACTTTAAAGAAGTTTTATTTTTTTTTGTTAAAGAGAAAACATTAGAGAAGTTTTATTTGGGCATCTAGATTATAGTATAATTTGTTCTAGTAGAGGGTATTATTTAAAAAATCGCCCCCGGGCTGCGTTATCGTAGGCACAGCGCTGGTGACGTTGCCGCATTACCAATTTACCAATTACCACCTAGAAGAAAGAAAAATTATACGAAGCTAAACCGAAATCTCAAAGTTTGTTAATTTTTATTTATTTTTATTGTATAACACACTACAAAGTACAAACACCTAGAGGCTAATGGTGGTGTCATTTTCTCCAATTACTCTTAAAAGAATAAAAACAGAATTTCACAAGAATACAACCATATTTGATTCGAAGTGTGACATTGACACGTTGTGGACAGACTAATATCAAGAACACAAGGGCTCCCCGAATCTATATTATCTCTTCTCGAATTTCAGACCGTAGAATTGAAGAGTCAACGTTCAAAATCAGACAACGTGAAAAAAAAAAAATCAGACAACTTGTGTAAATATTCAAACTATATAATTAAGGTATCACGCACAGACTTTAAGAAACATACGCACGTTCCAATATAATTTTGTTTAATTTAAAAAGGAACAGAAAATTAGTACTACGTGAATAAAATTAGATAGTGAAAAACTATTAACTTTTCAATAATATACGGGAAGAGTGAATCTATTTTTTGTTAAAAGAGTATAAGCCAACAAAATGAGAGGAAGTACAAAATTTCTCACATGAAAATAAAAGATATTGAAAATGGTAACCCAAGAGTGATTTGGTGAGTATAATTATAGATGACTTTGACTTTACTTCCTGACTTTTCAAATGGCACAAGTTTCTTGGCAATATTGTTCAGAGAAATGGGTGGCCAAATATTAAATTACTCTTGAATATTTAAAATGCTCGCGTGTTTGAATTGAACGCCCCTAGATTATCAGTATATTAGCACTTTAAGCGCACTTCAACTTTCCAGTTCTAGAAGCACTGAATATTATATGAAGACTAACTGGTGCTTAAAATAGACTCTCTGCTTTTGCCAATTTGAATGTATTCGCTTTAATCTAACTGAACACTCATAAAAAATAATTGATCGACTTATTATATAACTTAATCAGATTTTAAAAGCACTACTATTATAAGTTCTCGAATGAGTTTCAACTAAAGGAAATAAACAAAAAAAATAGATATTTCAGCCAGTGCCGTGCATATGACTATATAAAAAAGGCATTTGCCCCAGACCCCTTAAATTATAAATATTTTGGAGTCCATAATTTCCAAAAATTAATTTTAGTGTAATGATTCATGCACATTTTTTGTTGAGTCTTTACCTGAGTTTGGTTCTTCCTATTGTTAAAAAATGGTTTTTTTCCCTCCAATTAGTTTGATTAGTTTCTAACAAAAGTTCCAACTTTCTAATTATTCTTTTTTAAGAGCCACTAACATCTCGATCCATAATTTTGACCTTTCCTTTTATGTCATAATTTCAATTCTATTTTGTAATAATCCGGAGACGTTTTTATAGATAGTAATAATTTTAAAAAATACATTATAGAGAAAATGTAATATATATTTTTTTATAACAGTTTAAGTTTTATCTATCATTTATTAGTTTTTTAAAATTATGTCGATTTTTTTAAATTCCTCTCAAGCCTCCGGAAGTCTTCGCACGGCACTGGTTTCAGCACAAATGAGAACCTTTTGAGAAACCTTCAAGTATTAATATACACTCATAAAGATAGTTGACTGCCTTGAGGCATTTTGTGATAATATTTGATAACGTAAACAATTTAATCTCATCGGGAAAAAAAATCTTTGTTAAAGAAATCAGGTACAAAAATAAAAACACCATAATTCATTTTGTCAAACGTCTAGATACAAAATTAACCCGGTTAGACGCCTGATAGTGATAAAAAAAAGGACTTAATGACGTAACGAGTACCCAAAATTCAAACAACTTTTTGGATTAAAACATCTCATCGATCTTCACCTCTATATAAAGATGAAAAAAAAAAACTACAATTTCCTCGAACGTGTATCAATTCACAGTCAAACTCTGTTTGCCGAATTTCCCGGCAAAAACCTCAACAACCAAAAATTAGATGACGATTTTACCCTTACCCTTTATCTTCTTCTTTCTCACATCAATGCCCTTTGCTGTAATTTCGCAGCTCGACGAACGGTCAACGCTTCTCAAACTGAAACGCGAACTCGGAGACCCACCGTCTCTCCGGCGATGGAACGACAGATCTTCTCCCTGCGATTGGTCGGAGATAACCTGCGTCGCCGGAAACGTCACCAAGATCAATTTCTACAACCAGAACTTCACCGTGACGGTTCCGACGACGATTTGCGATTTCCCAAATCTCAGTTCCCTCGATTTGTCGTATAATCTTTTCTCCGGCGAGTTTCCGACCGTTCTTTACAACTGCACAAAGCTTCAGTATCTCGATCTCTCCCAGAACTACTTCAACGGCACACTTCCCGCCGACATCGACCGTCTCTCACGAGAGCTCGAGCATCTCGACCTCGCAGCTAACGGCTTCTCCGGCGATATCCCTAAAAAGATCGGTTTGCTTTCGAAGCTCAAGGTTTTGAATCTCTACATGAGCGAGTACGACGGTGCGTTTCCGTCGGAGATCGGGGACTTGTCAGAGCTCGAAGAACTTCGTTTGGCGTACAACGATAAGTTTTTGCCGGCGGAGATTCCGACGGAGTTTGGGAAATTGAAGAAACTGAAGTATTTGTGGTTGACGGAGATTAATTTGATCGGAGAAATCCCAGCCGTTGTTTTCGAGAACATGACGGATCTCGAGCACGTTGACTTGGCGGCTAACAAATTATCGGGTCGGATCCCAGACGTCTTATTCGGGTTGAAGAATCTCACCGCTCTCTATCTCTTCGCAAATGACCTAGTCGGAGAGATCCCCAAATCTATTTCGGCGACAAACTTGGTGGAGCTTGATCTCTCCGCGAACAATTTGACCGGTTCGATTCCGGAAGCAATCGGTAATCTGACGAAATTAGAGTATTTGAACCTGTTCAACAACCAGTTAACCGGTGAAATCCCGGCGGCTATCGGGAAATTACCGGGATTGAAGGAGCTGAAACTCTTCACCAATAAGTTAACCGGAGTAATACCGGCGGAGATTGGGTTTAATTCAAAGCTAGAGCGGTTCGAAGTGTCAGAGAATCAGCTAACCGGAAAATTGCCGGGAAATTTGTGCAAGGGAGGGAATCTTCAAGGCGTGGTTGTATACTCGAACAATCTCACCGGAGAAATCCCGGAGTCGCTCGGGAATTGTGGGACCCTCCTCACTGTTCAGCTACAAAACAATGGCTTCTCCGGTGAATTTTCTTCCCGGATCTGGACTGCTTCAGGTTTATATAGTTTACAGGTAAGTAACAACTTCTTCACCGGGAAATTACCGGAGAAAGTTGCTTGGAACCTTTCGAGGATCGAGATAGATAACAACGGATTTTCCGGTGAGATTCCTCAGAGCATCGGTACTTGGTCTTCTCTAGCTGAGTTCAAAGCCGGAAACAATCGATTCTCCGGTGAGATCCCGAAGGAATTGACGTCTCTTTCAAATCTCATATCAATCTTTCTCGATGCGAACAATCTCTCCGGCGAATTACCAGATGAAATCATCTCATGGAAGTCGTTGACAACGATAAATCTATCAAAGAACAAACTTTCCGGGAAAATTCCGAGAGCTCTAGGATCGTTGCCACACTTGCTCAATCTTGACTTATCGGAGAACCAATTCTCCGGTATAATCCCTCCGGAGATCGGGAATCTGAAGCTCACAACACTTGATCTGTCATCAAACAGGCTCACCGGGGAGATCCCAGACCAACTTGATAATCTTGCATACGAGAGAAGTTTCTTGAACAACTCTAATCTCTGTGCAGACAAGCCGGTTCTTAGTTTACCGGATTGTCGGAAAACTCTTCCGAGCTCAAAAGGGTTGCCGGGAAAAATCCTCGCCATGATTCTAGTCATCGCCATTCTTCTCCTCGCCATCACTCTGCTTGTCACATTCTTTGTGATTCGTGGTTACACTATGAAACGAAGAAGAATGAGAGGCTTAGAGACGTGGAAACTAACTTCGTTTCACAGAGTAGATTTTGCGGAATTCGACATCGTGTCAAATCTGACGGAGCACAATGTGATCGGAAGTGGCGGATCGGGAAAAGTTTACAAGATATTCATCGAATCCTCAGGACAATATGTAGCAGTGAAGAGGATATGGGACAACAAGAAAGTTGACAAGAACCTTGAAAAGGAGTTCATTGCAGAAGTTGAGATTCTAGGAACGATCAGGCACGCGAATATAGTGAAACTACTGTGTTGTATCTCGAGGGAGGACTCAAGGCTTTTGGTGTATGAGTATATGGAGAAACGCAGCCTGAATCAATGGCTACATGGCAAGAAGAAAGGTTCTGTAGAGGCTAATAACCTGAACTGGCAACAGAGGTTGAATATCGCGGTCGGTGCAGCTCAAGGACTTTGTTATATGCATCATGATTGCACTCCCGCGATCATACACAGAGATGTCAAGTCAAGCAACATCTTGCTTGATTATGAATTCAACCCCAAGATTGCAGATTTCGGGTTGGCAAAACTGTTGATTAAGCAAAACCAACAACCTCATACAATGTCAGCTGTTGCTGGATCCTTCGGTTACATTGCTCCAGGTAAAAAACATTCTTCAGATAGATCTCAAAACCAATTGATTGGAGTGGTTCATGTCCTGATATATATAGATCATGTCTCATATGTATACGCGTATAACATTGTGTGGTCTCTAACGTTTTTATGTTGCAGAATACGCATATACATCAAAGGTGGATGAGAAGATTGATGTGTACAGTTTCGGGGTAGTTTTGCTAGAGCTGGTGACTGGAAGAGAAGGAAACAACGGAGATGAACACACAAACTTAGCAGATTGGTCATGGGGACATTACCAATCTGGGAAACCGACAGCGGAGGCGTTTGATGAGGATATCAAAGAAGCTTCCAAGACAGAGGAGATGACAACAGTGTTCAAGCTAGGTCTCATGTGTACTAACACATTGCCTAGTCACAGACCTTCCATGAAGGAGGTTTTGTATGTTCTTCGCCAACAAGGACTTGAGGCGACAAAAAAGACTGCAACAGAGGCACATGAGGCACCTCTACTCGTTAGTTTATCAGGTCGGAGGACAAGTAAAAGGGTAGAAGATGAAGATTTAGGTTTTGTATAATCAATAATCACACAGCTTTGAGTGTGTGTATGTGTTTTTTTTTTCCTTTTTTTAGGAGATGCAGAATGTACAAATGTATTTAGAAACCTTTTAGGTTTATTTTTACTCAGATGTGTTTAGTAAGCAAAGCAAAGTTTTAGCACAAAACTTTAGGCTTATTAACTAAAAATATCTTAGCTTTTGTCAAGAGTATATAACTGCCTTCCTGTAACATATTTGAGATAAGTCGTTGAAAATAACTGAATGAGAATGGTCTTTATAAATCTACTATTCCTTGTAATTGATCTTATTTTGAAAGAAAGACAAAATGCATAGAGAGACAGAGAAAGATGTGTGATTAATTGAGCTACACAAGAGGAATTTATTTAGAGTCTTGCTGAGCTTTCTTTAACTGAGCCTCGGTGTTTCTCCTTGCGCCTTGTAGAATGGTTTTGTCCGCAGTTATGAAGAATGCAGCGATGGATGCTGTTCCGATGATCACCATTTCACAAGATTGAAACTTTCGTGGGTCAGCAATCAGAAGAAAGTAACACAAATCTATCGAAAAGAAAGCTGACAGAAACCATTTACTCATCAATGCTCCCTAAACTCAGATAGATTTGGTGCCATTTTTCAAAAGTTCCAAGTTTAATCGGGAATACCGAGGCTTCTTCAACAATGTTCATTCAGGTTCAAAGCTTGTATTATTTTCTACTTAGTTCCTGGAAGATCATAGAGTTAAAAGAGCTAACCTGCAGATACAATGAGTGCCTGAGCAGTATAGTTTAGGTTTGCCTTGGCCCATGGGAACACACGAACCGCAGCTATCTGTTAGGAAAGCGAGCCGAGCTCAGTTTTTATATTATACACACATCTAAGACAATGTGACTCTACTTATAAAAACAGATTCCACTAATCACAAAATACATTATAAAGAGAAGAACAAGACTTATAAAAATTATCGAGTCCCGATGTCATAAAATCAGCAACAAAGAAACAGAGCAACCAGATCAGAAATCATTTAAAGATCTCAACTTCGAACAATGTATAGCCAGAAGGTAACACTTCAATGATCAAGTAAAATTTGGGAAAGTGATAACAAAATGTGGGAGATGAATGAGGAGAAAAAGCCTCTGCTTTTAAGAGATCATGTGACAGTGAACAAAAAACTAAACTAATTAGGTCACTAGAAGGAAAACAATTAGATAAGAGCTGATTCAGTGAACCTCTAATTCCTTGATATAGCGGTATGACGAGTGAGATGAAAAAGATTACCGTGGGGATAGCACTAGCCACGGCGGCGACGGCGGCTGCTTTAGCTCCGGCAATAGCTCCGGCTGCACCAAAAACATCCAAAATTAATTTGGTGATACGAATTTTCAGGGAAAAAAGAGAGATAGAGAAAGAATAATAAAAAAAAAGACACCTTGACTGGAAGTTTCAGCTCGCCTGATCTTATCAATCTCGTCCGGAGATGCGACGACGAAGAGATTCTGCTGCCTCCGGTTACCCATTCCCGACCGGTTTTCCATCGGATTTTGCGTTTGATCTTTCAATTTTCAGGGGAGAGAGAGAGAGAGAGAGAGAGAGAGAGAGAGACGGGTCGCGATTGGTCGTTAAATTTACACGGTGAAATGGAAACAGATCAATCTTTGGGCTTCAATGACTTTCCCTTGTTTTTTATAAAGTTGTGATCTTTCCCCCAATGGCCCAATGTATTGAAACGCCCACAGTTTTTATAATTTTGATATTTAAAAATCAAAATCTCTATCGAATTTCTTAATTTAATCTTAATAAACCCAATTTCTTATTTCTGAATAGGAATATTGTTGTTCTTTAAATTAAAAAAATATCAATTTTCAAAATTAAGTTAATTTATTTATTCATTTGACGACAACAAAAAAAAAAGTTGATTTATTCCATTTTCTGCTTTTTTTTCTCTATAAAATCCGACTTTTAAATTCGTCATTAGTCTTTCTACATTAATTCATCGTCAACGATTAGTATTGTACTACTTGTGTGGATTTGGTCAGTAAAATTGAACTCGTCCTTGGTGTTTGATAAATTTCTTAGTAGGATTTTTAGATTTAATTAATATATAAGCTTATAACTTAACAATCCTTTTTATTCTCTCTCTATGAGCAAAAACTATGAGAAGAAACGAAGCTTTATAAAACGATGAGGTCAAGGGCAGCGAAGACTCTGGCCAGGCCCTCCGAAGAAAAAATGCGGCTCCGACTCTTCTGTTCTCTTGTGGAGAACTGTAGAATAACAGTCGTACTCATCCGAGAACTCGATGGGACGCTCAGGATACTTGAGCTGCAAGGAAGAGTCCTTGATCCTAATGTTGGTGTGGTAACAAGCGCGGGTATAGAGGTTATATGGCCACTCTCCACTTCCCATTGGAGTTTTGGTGTGTGGCTTTTTCCTCACGTTAGGGCTATACACTTCTCCACCCCACTGCACTGCGGTCGCGTTTTGTCTTAGGTGTTTGAAGAGTGTCCCTGGCCAGTATCCCAAAACGAAGTGTGGGGTTGATAGCCACCAATTCCCTTTCGGATCCTTGAGGAAACAAGGTCAAAGATATAACATAAGATGAAATTAATCGGACACTTGGACCAAACTTTAATATCCGATATGCTAAATCTAAAACAATACATAAGTTAGTAGAATATTTCGAAGGGTGATGATATAATGAATCAGAAAACATTACCAGAAAGATGCTAAGGGTTATGTGATATTGCTTAAACAATCTACTCGAAATATGTTTTAAGGTTGCACCTAGGGCTATCTGAGTACTTGTTTGCACGAAGCCTGAGCATAAGAGGTTCATGCAACCTGTTTTATGGTATGCATCCGTCTTGCAAACCCAATTCCAAAGAGTAGTTGTTAGTTCATGAAAGTGAATTCGATGTTTAGATAAGTCATGTCATCATGATGTTACTTACAGTCCAATAGGTGAAGAGTCGTGTGCGGTTGTCTCCGAAAACGCCTGGATTCACCTGAAATGGTGCATGGAAACCTTTTTAGGGAGACTAGTTAACGGTTTACTTCTGAAGCAAGGTATATGAATTTTTTCTTACCACCCAACCAGCTTCTATGGTCTCAGATATTTCCGGGAGACCAGCAAGCAGCCAAATTTGCGCGGAGCTGTAGTCGTTTTTTTGAACTCCTTGGGGATTCCAAACATTTATCTTGGATTGAGCACCGAGAAAATTGGACCCTACCGCAAGAAGAAACGCCTCCTGCATTGTCATCATCAAAGAATTTCTCGGTTGGCTAATATATAGTCCAAGATTTAGGCCTATAAATGTAGATGTGTAGTTTGGTATATGAAAGCTAAAACCTTATTCAGTCATCTATTCGACTTATTTTTTTAAAAAAAATTGATTTCCTTAAACATGGAAAACTAGCTTTTCAAATGATGTGAATCAAATCATAACAAGACCATAAGTTATATAAAATATTTCATAAATCATAAATTCCAAAACTAAAAAAAAAAGACTAGAAAATGTTCAATCCATTTTTGACATCATATAGTTTTACATACCGACCGGTCTTGTGGACGGGGATTGTGTGGTTTTTCAGCGGTTAAATTGATATTAGCCTCGTGTTGGTGTGCTTGGTCGAGAAATTTGTATATGTGAGGAGTTTTTCTTCCAAACCGAGACGGTGAAGAGGCTCTGCTTATGTCTTCTCTACTGACTCTACGAATCGGTATTGTCCCTACCGGGCATCTACCAGATTTTGACCAAATCTGGTATGTAACGGGTTTAGAAGAACCGCTCTTTGGAATATTACTCTTCTTTGACCCAAACTCCACACTCGGTTTCATCTGCATGCATATATAAATGTAGAACGAGTAAAGAAACAACTTGTAGAGTTGTTGTAGTATGTGATTTGTTTACCTGAATCTTGTGATTTGCTAAGGCGGGATGATCAAAAGCAGGTTGTTTATAGATATCCACACAATCTATTATATCTCCATCTTCGCTCTACAAAGTAAATGAACAATCGATTTGAGATATCAAAAACAAATAAATATACGCTACAGTAACATTTCTGAATTCTCAGACTCCATCCATACTTTGATCGTCTTTAATGCAGGTTTATTAAGAGTGTTTAACATCATATCGATCTCTTGGGAAGCTGTTCCGTAGACTCCATTGTAAAAGACACTTGCAATTGCAAAGGTTAAGAACATTGTCAATGCAGCTTGTCTTTCCATTTCTTTTTCTCGGTTCAAAAAAGGGATTTACAATATAGGTTCTCTTATTTCAGATCTTTAAATGCTTCCTAGTACTTAAAGAGCTTACAAAGCTATTTTACTTTTTATTTCTCAACAACATTTTAGATTTTTCTCTGTCCCTTTTTAATTAACAAGAAGTATAATAAATTATAAATTGAATGGTTCCTACTACTTATAATGCTTAAAAACCAATTTGTTCTGGTGACAAAAAAAAAAAAAAACCAATTTGTTCATTGTCTTTACTTTTTCATTCTTCGGTTATTAATTTTATAAGGAACACACACAAAAAAATCGAAAAAAGTTATATATTCAAATTAATACTAAGAATCTGCAGATCATAACTGTCAGGTCAACTTACCTACGATGGATTCTGCATTAACTACCATATAATGTTGGTTAAATTTTCCAAATTTTAGTTCGTGAAAGATGGACTTACGAAAAAGAATAAAATTTAAATTTTGTAGATTTATTACTATATACAGTGATTATGCATTATGAAGAACAATCTAGTACTCCCTCTGTTCAGAATTATTTGATGTTTTAGAAGGTTTTTTCTGTTCAGAATTATTTGATATTCTCACTTTTCAATGCAAAATTTAATGAATTTTTATAATTTTTGACTTTTTATATTCTGCAGATAATCTTCTTATTGGTTGAATGATATTTAAATGAATTATAAATAATATTTTTAGTATAAGAAAAATAAAAATTAAATGAATCCTTAAACTGTGTGCAAAAACCTTAAACATGCTTGCTTGTCTATATCTTTATAGTGATTATTTTTCTTCTTTTTATACGGTTGCAAATGTCATCTGAGTAAATATGAAAATCTTCAGCTGTGTCGCTTTCGTCTTCGATAATATCTAAAGAAAATTCATTATTAGTTATTTTCTTCTTCACGATTTAATATTTCTAGGAAAATTATATTTCTAATTCTTTGTTGAGCATGCAAATTCATAAATTTTTATTTTTTATTTTGCATTTAGGTTGTCTTATATGTCCTATATATAAGTTAGACATTTGCTATTACAACATATAGATTGTGACTGACAAAAGAAAGAGGAGAATTAACATTGAGAAACATCAACATGAGATCAAGGACAGAAACGATTCTGGCCAGGTCCTCCAAAGAAAAATTGCGGCTCTGACATGTACGTTTCCCGGTAGAGCTTTGTAGAATAACAGTTATACTCATCAACGTACTCGGACAGATGCTGAGGATACTTGATCTGCAAGGAAAAGTCTTTGATCCTAATGTTGGTGTGGAAACAAGCATAGCCCAAGAGGTCATATGCCCAAGCTCCACTACCCATTGGCGTTTTGGTGTGTGGCTTCTTCATCACGTTAGGGCTATAAACTTCTCCACCCCACTGCACTGCGGTTGCGCTGTGTTTGAGGGAGCTGAAGAGTGTACCCGGCCAGTAACCCATCACGTTGTCTCCGCAAGTTAGCCACCAGTTCCCGCTGTTTGGATCCTGCCAGTGCCAGAGAGTATACATGCCACAGTGCATTTTACAACCCAAAACAATTGGTAATGTAAAGGTTTGTGCCCATTATATACTATATTAATGTTAGATACAACTTTACTTTCAATGTGGGACATTTTACCACATAGCTTTAGGTTTCAGATTTTTAAAGCCAATTTTTGGGCGGATATGTTTTCTACATTAACCAAAAGAGAGAAAAAAACATAAGGAAAAACAATATTTTTAAAATCTTTCGCGGGACAAGATATATATTATTGTAATTGATTTTTACAGAATGTGAGGGATGATGATCATATATAAACCAGAAATTGTTACCAGGAACATGCTAATGCTGATGTAATATTGTTCATGAAAACTCGAAACGGGATCTATGGCTGCACCCAATGCGAACTTAGTAGTTGTTTGCACAAATCCGGAGCATAAGAGGTTAATGCACCCTGTTTTAGTGTATGCGTCTCTCTGAAAATTCAAATATAGAAAGACTAGTTATGAACTGATGGAGGTGTTTGAGATATTCCAAAGTCAGGTAGTCATGTAATGATGTTACTTACAGTCCAGTAGGCAAAGAGACGTGTGCGAGAGTCTCCGAAAACGTTTGGATTCACCTGAAATAGTTTTATAGAGAACGGTTTAACGGTTTAGTAGTTTACTTCTAACGCAAGGTATAATACTTCTAGCTAGAGTGAAAAAAACGTACCATCCAACCAGCTTCTATGCTCTCAAATGTATCTGACAAGCCACCAAGCAGCCAGATCTGAGCAGAGCTGTAGTCGCCAGCTTGAACTCTCGGAGGGTTCCAGACATTTATATCGGATTGAGCGCCAACATAATTGAAACCTAGAGCGACAATGATCGCTTCCTATATTTTTTTCCGGTTAACTAAACCATTTTAGTTTTGATGTGTCTGATTTCTATTTAATGTTAAATACTGTACATACCGATCGGTTATTTGGGCGGGGCTCGGTTAGTTTTTCAGCTGTTAAATTGAAATTGGCCTTGTGCTGAAGTGCGTTGTCGAGAAAGTTGTATCTACGAGGAGTTTTTCTTCCAAAATGAGACGGTGAAGAGGCTCTGCTTATGTCTTCTCTACTGACTCTACGAACCGGTATTGTCCCTATGGGACAGTTTCCAGATTTGGACCAAATCTGGGACGTGATTGGTTTAGCAGAACCGTTGTTTGGAATATTGGTCTTTTTTGTATCGAACTCCACACTAGGTTTCATCTGCATGCATCAATGTAGGGTTGGTGAAGAGATAATTTGTAAGGTTTATAAAAATAAATCGTAAAAATCCGCTTTTATCCATTTATCCGTTTTGATCCGACTCAAAACATCCAGATAACTGTAGTGTTCACTCTACAATTTGTTTAAAAGTGGCTGTGTAGAATCTTTTTACCTGAATTTTGTGGTTCCTTAAGGCGGGATGATCAAAAGCATGTTGTTTGTGGATATTTACACAATCTATTATATCTCCATCTTCACTCTACAAAAAAATTCAATTGATTTGGGAACTCATAAACCAAAAAAAATATATACACATGAAATATTATATTTTGCCTTCAGATTCCATACATACCTTGATGGTCTTCAACGCTGGCTTATTAAGAGTTTTCAATTTCATATCTATATCTAAAGAAACTTTCCCATAGGCTTCATTGTAAAAGCAACACAAAATCGCAAAGGTTAAGTACAATCTCATTGCCACTTTTTGTCTTTGTTTTGCCTATGTTACAAAGAATAAATTTAGGATATAGGCAGGACCAGATCTGAGAATTTGAGGACTAGAAACAATTTAAAAACAAATATTTTTTTTTTGTGATTTTGAGCTGAAAAATTCGTAAATAACCAAAGAAAAATTTTTGGGACTGTAGACAGATGTTTCATCAGGCTGTCCCCAGATCCGGTCTGGATATAGGCTTAGAATCTTGAACCTTTCTACTTATAGAGTTTAAAAACAATAATTGCAAAAAAAAAAAAAAACAGAATTCTGATAGATAAAAATTAAAAAACTATCTGCAGATTTGGCTCACATTGGGCCAATTCTTTATGCGATGAAAGAAAGATTACCTTACTAAATATGATCCCAGTAATTACAATATTTTCTAAACTTCATTTTCTTTGTTGCTTTTAAGTCGGTGCAAAACGTCACAAGTTAGCTTACCGTATATGGATTCTCCTTTGACTAACTCTGTTAACGGTTAATATTTAATCCTCTTGCTTGTTTTTTATCCTTCTCAGTCAAAACAAAATTTAACTAACACATTAAATGCGATATATATCATATGGACTCTCCCAATTCAATTTTTGTTTTTTATGTCTACTCGGATGCCTTCCTTCATCGCAAAAGAACTGCCCACGTTGACTAAAAATTCATAATTCTATTTCTATGCTCTTCCGGTTAACCAAAAAAAAAAAAAATTACAGGTCGGCTGAATTTATATATATATATAGAAATTAAAATTCGTTATTCCGCAGTATTACTTTTTAACATATAAAGGAAAATTACTTGAGTTTTTAATATGAATTCTTAATAGTAATATGTCAACACTGTCAAAATCAGTTCTCGTCTTATCTTATTTTTAGTTTTAAGGGTTAAATATAATGTATCTTCAAAAATAAAAATCAGAGACAATTTCTAGAGTTTGGGTACAAAAAGGAGGAAAAGAGAGACAATAGTAAGACCAGAGCAGTTGGTATTTGATTAATTAAGAGCAAGAAGGAGGAAAAGAATAGAAGTTGGTTCCATCTCAGTTTATGAAACCACAGTTTTATTCATTGAAGTTTTTTTTTTCTTTTTTGAACAAATTCATTGAAGTTCAAATTCAGTTTATATAGATTGAAAAGTCTTATCAATTGGATTAAAGAGGTTGAAGTATTCAAATATATGATTTGTTCTCTATTAAAGGTTGGAATCAAGGACAGCGAAGATTCTGGCCAGGTCCTCCGAAGAAGAAAAACGGCTCTGACTTATACGTTCTCCGGCTAAGCCTTGTAGAATAGCAGTTATACTCATCAGCGTACTGGGACAGATACTGGGGATACTTGATCTGCAAGGAATAGTCTTTGATCCTAATGTTGGTGTGGAAACAAGCCTCGGCATAGCGGTTAGATGCAAATGCTCCACTTCCCATTGAAGTTCTTGTGTGTGGCTTCTTCCTCACGTTAACGCTATACACTTCTCCACCCCACTGCACTGCGGTGGCACTGTGTTGGAGGTAGCTGAAGAGTTTCCCGGGCCAGTAACCAATCACGTTGTTTCCACAATGCAGCCACCAGTTCCCGCTGTTTGGATCCTGCAAACTCGGTCGAGGATGAAACATGAAAGTTAGATAAAGATTAATTGACATTTTTAAACTACATATGAAAAAGGCACACTTATTATTTTGTTTTATTTTTGGCTGAGATGAATTTGAAGAATGTGAAGGATAATGATCATAGAAAAACTAGAAAATGTTACCAGGAACATGCTAATGGTGATGTAATATTGTTTATGAGATGTACTCGAAACAGGTTCTATGGCTGCACCCAGGGCGTATTTAGTACTTGTTTGCACAAAACCTGAGCATAAGAGGTTGATGCAGCCTGTGGTAGCGTATGAATCTTTCTGCAACCCAGTTAGAAATAATAGTAGTTTTTAGATTCATCATTCGTCGAAGTGATCAATTGAGATGTTCCAAAACTCGGTATAGTAATGTGACTTACAGTCCAGTAGGTAAAGAGCCGTGTGCGAGAGTCTCCGAAAACGCCTGGATTCACCTGAAAATAGTTTTAGGGCGAACGGTTTACCGTTTACTTTTAACGCAAGGTATAGCACTTGTAGGGAGAGAAAAACGTACCACCCAGCCAGCTTCTATGCTCTCGAGTTTGTCTGAGAGACCACTAAGCAGCCAGATCTGAGCAGAGCTGTAGTCGTGAGGCTGAACTCTCGGAGGGTTCCAAACATTTATGTCAGATTGAGCGCCAACATAGTTGAACCCTAGGGCGAGAAGGATCGCTTCCTATTTCATCAACAAGAGAAGAAGTGTTTCTAGTTAGATGTATGAATTAAGGTTTTAATTTTCTAGTTAGGTAAGATTCTACGATTTGTTTTTTTTTTTTTTAAATTTGCATACCGATCGGTCCTTTGGGCGGGGTTTATTTTCAGCTGACGTTAAATTGAAATTGGCCTTGTGTTGGTCGAGAAATCTGTACACGTGAGGAGTTTTCCTTCCAAAATGAGACGGTGAAGAGGCTCTGCTTATGTCTTCTCTACTGACTCTACGAACCGGTATTGTCCCTGTGGGACAGTTTCCAGATTTGGACCAAATCTGAGACGTGATTTGTTCAGAAGTACCGTTGTTTGGATTTGTGGTCTTCTTTGTACCAAACTCCACACTCGGTTTCATCTTCATGCATAAATTTAGAATCGGTAAAAATAAATTAAAAGCGTGTCAAGACACACGGGGTCTATATGGTGAAATATAATAAAAAATAATAATAGTTGACTTGAAGATGAACAAAAATAAAAGGGTTTAATTCAATTAGTGACATTTAACTACTACACTACGAGCACTTTTATAATTTTTGGGATCCAAAATTTACATCTAAATTTGGGGATATGGACATGTTTCTTTCCCCCCAATTTTTGTCAACAAACATAGACACGCCTTTTGGGTAAAAATAACTTGTAAATAATTTCAGCATGAAAATTACTAAATGACATGCATGTGAAGAATTTGTTTACCTGAATCTTGTGGTCTCTTAAGGCGGGATGATCAAAAGCATGTTGTTTGTAAACATCTATGCAATCTATTATATCTCCATCTTCACTCTAGAAATGAAATAAATGGTGATCAATTTTTGGAACTCTGAAACCAAATAAAAATATACACAAGAAGTAATATCTCTGCTTTTAGATCTCAACCATACCTTGATGGTCTTCAACGCTGGCTTATTAAGAGTCTTCAATTTCATATCGATATCTAAAGAAACTTTCCCATAGGCTTCATTGTAAAGGCAACTCAAAATTGCAAATATTAAGAGCAATCTCATCGCAGTCTTTTTTTCTTATTTTTCTTATGTTGAAAGAATGGATTATGATATAGGCTTTGAATCTTGATTCCTACTTATAATCGAGGTTTTACATAATTACCATATGGTTTATAAATATATAGTAATATACTAATATGATAGGTGCAAATTAAAAAACCAGTCAGCACATTTGGCAACCATTTGGTCAATTCTTCAATATATGAATGTTGGAATTCAGAAAAACTTACCATATATGAATGTTCAATTATTATTATTTCATCTATTTGAGTTGGTGCAACATGTCATCAACATATATGGATTCTCCTTTGACTATTTTTTTGTTAACGGTTTGTGTTTTGGTTAATTCTCTCTTTCTCAAGTCAAAACAAATTTTAACTAACACATTCAATGCGATTTGTTTTATCTTGCTCTCGATATATAAAGCACGGGTTTTCCCAATTTCCGTTAGTTAAATTTCCCCATTGCTATTGAGGTTCTCGTTCCTTCCTCTATCACAAATCAATTGTCCAAGCTGGCTAAAAATTGGCTATAAAAAAATTGGCTTAAAATTCATATTGGATCATGGATCAACATCTATCTTAATCACTCTTTTTTCTATTTTTTATGTCTCGCTCCTTTTCGTTTTCATTGCGCAAAAATTCGAATGCAAGTAGTACAACGAAAATGAAACTCGAAATACAAACTAATATTTAAGTATGATGATAATATTTCGTAGGCTAACCCAACCCTCATAAGACAGGCTCTAAATTAAGGTTACGAGTCAAAAGATTAGTGCACTCAAAAAGGTGGCCTTTTTAATTGCAGTGGTCCGATTCGTCCGAACATCGTTGACACGAAAGACTCTACATAGATGATTTGTGATATGGATGACCCCCAAAGAAAAAAAAAAAGTTAGGACGGCTTTGAAACCTAACCTTCTCTGACCTCTGGAGTCTTCGCTATCGAAATGTCAAAACTCGAAATTTACTGAAAATGGTCACCAAGCATACGCGAAAAGCCTTCACCTTCTTAAAAGCCTTCACCTTTATTTATACTCGAATTCATCCTCTCTCACTCTCTCCACCCTGAATTCGTAAGTTCTTTACGGCCACTGTGATCTCATCTTCCCACGATTGAAAGTTGTTTACTTTCTGTAAGTCTTCTTCTTCTTTTTTCTGGGAACACCAGAAACCTCGGCGGTTTTCTCACGGATTAATTTCTTGAAGTAGCTCTTGCTCTAATTTTATTTAGGAATTTCAAAGCTTTGTCGGAGATTGCTCCTAAATTTATTCGTAGATTACTAAGTGGTGGAAAAAAAATTGGATTTTGGGATGGTTAATGATTATCTTGTGGTTTAGTTTTAAGATCTTTTTAATAACTTTTGATTTCAAGAACTATCAAGGCGTTTCGGGATATATCTAGTGATCCAGAGTGTGTACATTGCTATTATCAAAGTTTTGATTTTTTGTGATGTTACTTTGATGTTCTTGGTTTAGGAGTTTAAGCAGAAACAGAATCTATATAACGCAGACGCCTGTTTACTAAATTTCTAGTGTAGGGATGCTGAGTAGGGCTCTTCAGCTGGAAGAAGGTAAAGACATTCTGGTTACAGGCGGCGCTAGGACAGGGCTAAGTAAGGCGTTTCCTTTCAAGCTGCTTCTTCTGCTAGGGTTTTTTCTAGCTTTCTCTGTTGCTTTCATCATCATTAGTGTATCCACAATCAAGTATTATGGAATCAATACTGTAGTGACCTCAGTTACTTCTACTTTTGTGCCTTGCCGCGAGAAACCAAATGTTCTGAATAAATGGATTAAGCCCCCTCTAGTTCTTATGCATAATATGACCGATGAAGAGCTCCTTTGGCGGGCGTCTTTCGTGCCTCAGAGAAAAGACTATCCCTTTAACAGGGTCCCCAAAATCGCGTTTATGTTCTTGACAATGGGTCCCTTGCCGCTTGCACCGCTTTGGGAGAGGCTTCTCAAGGGTCATGAAATGCATTATTCAGTGTACATCCATTCACAAGTTTCTTCTTCAGCCGAGTTTCCACCTTCCTCTGTTTTCTACCGTCGGCAGATTCCAAGTCAGGTATAGCTCTTTATGTACATACTTTGCAAGTTTTTGTTTTGTTGAAAAACTTGTCATTTGAATGACTTGTTGGGATGCTAATTGCGTAAGGTGTGAGCAGATGTTAACGAGTATGTTTGTGATCAACTTTTAAATTGGTGGTTTATACATATCTGATGGTGATTGGATTGTCTTCATCATTGGGCAGGTTGCAGAATGGGGAAGAATGACAATGTGCGATGCAGAGAGGCGGCTTCTTGCAAATGCTCTGCTCGATATCTCAAACGAATGGTTTGTTCTCCTCTCCGAGTCATGCATTCCCCTCTTCAACTTCACAACTATCCACGGTTACATAACCAAATCAAAGCACAGCTTTATGGGTTCATTTGACGATCCCAGTCCCTATGGCCGAGGCCGCTACAATGGCAACATGTCCCCTGAAGTTTCAATAAACGAATGGAGAAAAGGGTCTCAATGGTTTGAGGTTAACCGGGAGCTTGCAGTTTCCATTATCAAAGATACATTGTATTACCCTAAATTCAAAGAGTTTTGTACGCCCGCTTGTTACGTGGACGAGCATTACTTCCCAACAATGTTGACTATTGAGAAACCAGCGGCCTTGGCTAACCGTAGCTTGACTTGGGTGGACTGGTCGAGAGGTGGACCACACCCGGCTACATTTGGACAGTCAGATGTCAGTGAGGAGTTCTTTGCAAGGATCTTGAATGGTGACAACTGCACTTACAATGGAGGAAACACATCCATGTGTTATCTCTTTGCTAGGAAGTTTTCTCCGAGTGCTTTGGAGCCTTTGATTTACATTGCTCCCAAGATTCTGAGTTTTTGAGCTGGTAATGACACTAACAAAAGTCATGAAATTTACATAGATATCATGAAAATGTATGTGGAATTGGGTATATTAAGCTGAGATTGAAAGTGTCTTTTTATTTTTTTTAAATGAAAATGTATGTACTTTTTTTATACCGAAGCTGACAATTAATTTCCATTTGTATTTCAGCAGATTAATAACAATACACTTTCTATATGGCCATGATCGTTGGTTCTCAGATCTCGCTTACTCGGTTTTCGTTTGTCTTTTGCGCTCTGCTAACAAGATCTTTATCCATAACTATGTATAAGTAGTTTTTTGTCACATCCAAAAGAATGTCTTAACGAGTTATTGCCCAAATGATCTTTCGTGAATGAAGATGAGTAATCGTCAGATTAGTCGTACATGTGTTATTCTTTAAGGTTTAATAAATTCAAGTGTATAAGCTTGTGCATAGGCTATGTCCTCCTCAAGTGGTGCTCTGTTTTTTTTTTTTTTTTTCGGTTGTCACAATTTTATAATCTCAAAATGTTCAAAATTAGTATTTAACATGTGATACGACAAAAGTGAAACGTCAAGTCAGTTAATCAGATCTCCTTTTTTTTTGTCTGTGTTATTTCAGCCTTCTGATCGTTTGGCTCGTTTTGTTTAAATTAGGTTCTTTTTCTCAGGGACCTTGACTTGACATAATGCAGTGGTAAATAATCAAAAGTATTGTATTCATGATTGATATAGATATTGATCCTCCTCTATGGAGAATCTTTTTGTTTTATTTAGAGTACAGTGTTATAGGTGGAAGAAGCTCCTTATTTTATGGAGCAAAGTAGAAAAAGAGTGAGACATGTTGACATGGAAAAAGAGTGTTTCATGCATCTGCGAGCTTCTTGTTCTTGAAGGAGAGGCCTGAGCGGAGGAAGTCTTGTTTGGCAGCTGGAGGTTTGATGGTGGTAACGTTAATGAACTTCTGGAACCATTGGCCAGAAGCCTTGAGGTTTCTATCATTGAGGTCTGTCCAGTTAACGTAACTGAGTCCAAATCTGACAGTAAAGCCTTTGCAGAATTCATAGTTATCACCAAGAGACCATGCAAAGTATCCTTTCACGTTGACACCCTTCTCCCTGAAAAACAGAAACAATCATCATTATATATATATATATATATATATATATAGGCATTGATGATGATCATTTATGTATGTATATAAAGATTATCATATATAGTAGCATCCACTTACTTGATGACCTTACGGAGAAAGCAAAGATGACTGCAGAGATAATCAATCCGCTTGGTATCGTTAACAGCCACCTCGCGGGTTTCGTTACCGAAGGAACTAATTCCTAAATAATTAAAACCGTCATAGTACATGAACAAACATTCCACAATTAATATTAATATACGTGTGTATTTTGAGAGTCATCAATTTCTTAACATGTAACTGAGTACTATATATATATAGATGGAAAGAGATGAACTCACCGTTCTCGGTGATATAGATTAAAGGGTCACTATATTTGTTTTTGAAGTAGTCCATAACGTAATAAATGCCTTTTGGGTAGTAATAGGCGTTTTTTGTTGGGTCGTCCTCTAGAGAGAACTGAGAAAGGAAATATAATATAAATGATCACAAGAATATATTCGGATGGTGTTATTATTTGCTTATATAGAATAAGGGTGGATCATGCATATATACCACAGGACCAATAAATTCACCACGTGAATTGTTATCTGTAAAACACAATTGGATGAAAAAAAATTGATAAGGATATATGTATATATTGAAAGGTTGTAACTAATTGAGTGGAAGTAAATAGAGTGGTACGTACATGTGAGCGTTGTGTTTGGGTCCATCATGGCAGTGTGGTTTTCGGGAGGGACTATGGTATTATTTGGTTGGACGTACTGAGTGACGTAATAGTTGAGACCAAGAAAATCATATGAACCAGCAACGAGTTTGGCTTCTGCTTCAGTGAAGTCGGGAAGCTTACGACCCAGACTTTTCCTCATGATGTCTGGGTATTTACCCTTTGTTAGCGGCTCCATGAACCTGATCCATGTACATTAATATATACCTTGTGAAAGAACAGCATATATATTAGCAATGTTTTTTAAAAAAAATCATTTTGTTGTTTTGGACGTACCATCCAAAGAAGAATTCTTTCATCGTCTTAGTTGCATTAATGCATCCCTCATCAGTCTCGTTATATGGAAGAAACCATCTAGTTATCATCACAGGACCGATCTTCCCTCCTTGGAACTGTGGTCACGATCACAAATGATATGATTAAATTGTATAATCAGATATGTTAGAGATGAATATTACACAACCGGAGAGAAATCACCTTATATTTCGTCCTGTAAAGATCAACCACTGCGGCATGAGCAAGAAGCTGGTTATGTGCAACGATATAGGGTTCGGTCGAAGAATTTCCTCCGTAACATCTGTCATCAACCGCAGGAGAACATCGACCCGGTGCATCTGTTCCGATTGCATAGCCTCTCGTAGGCACTGTGTACAACTGGTTGATTGTGATCCAGTGCTTTACCTTTCCACCAAATTCCTTGAAACATAGATCCGCATAATCTCTAAAATCATCTCTGTGCATGCATATTTATAGAATCATCTCATTAATGTTCGTAACTAGATCAAATCTATATGTCCGTATATATGTTTCTCTTTTTATTTATCTCTCTTCATAACATACATGATCGTGCGGTCCAAGAAACCTTCATACTCATCTTGCAATGTTTGAGGAAGGTCCCAGTGAAAGAGGGTAACGAAAGGCGTTATCTTCTTTGCAAGGAGGCCATCTATGAGTTGGTGGTAGTAATCAAGACCTCCTTGGTTCACTCCCCTACTCACCTTTCCTTCTGTTCATTCATGTATATATTCGTATATTTACCCTTACAAACAATCACAATTGAATACAAAGACACATATACATGGTTTGATAATGTGTACATACTTGGAATGATCCTTGACCACGCAAAGGAGAATCTGTAGCCCGTAGCATTGAGTTCGTCCATAATGTCTATATCTTTCTGCAGTTTACGTATACAATCGCATTTTCGCATGTCAATCCACGCGTAGCTGATAGATAATCCAGTGAGCATATATACTGAGGAACTAACCTGCCATCTCGTATATGACTCACAAGTAGTGTCTCCATTCGCCAAATCTTTTCCGGCTTTCTCTGATAGAGATTACAAATACATTGACTATATATGTATGTATACATAGAGACATATCAACGACTTTCCTCTCATATATATGTAACCATGCAAACGACATACCTGGGTACCGGTGAGTGAATTCATCCCAAACGTTAAAACCACGACCCCTGCCTCCTTCGACCTGAAATGAAAAGAAACAACCATGAAACGTAAGATTTTAGTGTTTTTAAATGGTTCTTTTATACGTCAAAAGTGGCAACAAAATGTGTGATTTGTTACATGCCTGGTAAGCAGAAGATGCAACACCGAAGATGAAGTCTTTTCCGAAACTTGTACTGTTTAAACGTTCAGTGTTGCTACATGTGAATGGTTCCTTCTCTTCACAAGTAATTTTTTCATCTGCAGCTTTGCAAGTCGCAACAGCTACTAGCAAAACTAAGGCGAGCCTATGAAGCTTCATGGTTAAACTGTAGATGTATGTATGTGTGTTGTGTTGTATGGAACCTTGTGCCAATCTAGGGTTTATATAGCATTTTTTAGGAAGAGTTAGGTTTAGATATTTTAGTCTAGTGTCTTTCTATTTCGGGAGAGGTTTAGGCCAGATGAATCCCGTGTGTTCACTTACTTTAGCTCAATGTTCACCGATATTGGTTCTATTTGTCGTTTTGTTTCCACTTCTTAGAGTGGCTTTGCTCTTCAATCGACCATTTAATTGAAGAAAAAATGTTGCATTCTTAATCTGAATTGTGAATGGTTGAATACTATCTTCTCTAGAGTTTAATTCGTAGGTTGATGTAGAAGCAAATAACAGAAAAGGCATCGAGAAAAATATGGGATGAAGTTTAACGTGTTATTTTATTGATTTGATTGTTGTACTTTTAGAAATATAATCATTTGGTTTCTTTCGTAAATGAATATATATATGATATCGAATTTTTAAAACGATAGAACCCCAAGATAATAGATCATAGTTTTATATGATGAAAATAGAAGTCAGCTCGATAAAAATAAGATTTCCACACATACAGAAATAACAAGTAACATAAAACAATTTACGAATACCGTAAATGACATAAAACAAAACCGACGAAAATGTAATTTGACTTGTCTCTCTTCTTTAGACAAAATAAAGAAATATATTATCATTTACTTGTTATCATCATTTCTGTTGTTATCTAATGCAACTACCTCTTTTTAAGCACATGTGTTCCTTATGGGGAACACGACTTGGAATACGAATGGTATCACATCTTCATTCGAACGTCGACAGTGATGCAGTGCAGCATTTGTCGAAGGTTTGCGTAAAACTAGAACAACATGCATCAAGATTCCTTGTAGTAGATGATGTTCAAACCCTCTTAAGTTGGACTTGTAGTTATAATTGACTCCAATCATTGAAAAATTCTATAGCTATATAATCGTGTTCAATCTAGTGTAACAATGTGTTGATGAAGAAGAAAAAACAAGTACAATATTGATCCAATGTGTCACTCGTCACGAGCCTCGCCTCTCAGGCTCTCACAGTCACAGCATATTATATTGATTTTTGGCCGCTCGATGATTTTATCACATGAAACCGGAGACTCCAAAAGACAAAAAAGGGCATGAAAAAACACGTTTATTTGTTTATTAAATTCGTCGTTAAGTAATTAGTTAAGTACTGGAGGTGATTTATCATCTGCAAAACAATAATCTTCCTCAGTCATTGATTTTTTTTTTTCGTTTTGCTTATTTATATTTAAATGTGAAATTAGGAAAAATGACCATAAAAAAAAAAAAACATAAAAACTAGCAGTCATATACTTCTGGCTATGATACAACAATACTAATTTAACAAAATGGACAAAATGAACCTCACCTTTATAGGGTTTATGTATTAAGATGTTGAAAGACAATGCATCGATTTATACAGAAGCATTGGTTTATATAGAGTACATATCATGTAAATATCACATTTTAGATTTAGAGTTTAGTTTTTGGGCTTAATTGAGATTGAGATTATGATTTCAGGTTAAGGTCTAGTTTTTAAGATCTCAGGTGTACGGTTTAATTAAGTTTTAGTATTTTCAACTGAAATTTATCTCCTTAAAATATGAAACCATCTTGAAAACATATTACTATTTTGTGTGGTTATATATATATATATATATATATATATAAACTAAAAATGATATGATTCAAAAGCTCGTTTCTGATTCTGTTGTTGTGTTTTATTTTTTAAATATAGTGAAAAAAAACTAAAAATTTATATAAGTATAAGACATTTTGAATTCTTATTTATTATTTTTTTTTTTTGCAAAACTATACGCATATACCAAAATTAATTAGGATAATTCTCAATCATTTGTGTTTGGTCATTGGTGTTTATGTTTGTGATGGGAAAATAATTAAGTTTTTAAAAATCTTAAAGGCTGTGGACTTATTTGAAGAAAACACGCACAAAACATAAAAAAAAACTTAGAAACGCAAATCAAACAAACAGTCAACCGCTAATTAGGGTACACCACGATGGGTTCGCTGTTTGAACGAAAAGAAAAGTAAAAAAAAAACATATGTAATTTGATTTGGTTTCACTGTTTGAGCTAATTAAGTATGATACGTCGTCTTTGCCTCTTTGGTCTAGTTTTTGAGTTTGCAATATTAGGTTTGGTTATACATACAGTTTACTTTATTGGATATAACTTGGGTGTATTAAAAGTGTATGTATACTTGAACTCCCCCAAAAAAATATATATGTATACATATAGCTGAACTTATTAAATTAATAAGTGAATTTTAAGTTATTCCGTCCTTTATTTTCCTGTTACATTTAACCGGTTTACGGGTTTATATTTGTGGGGTGTGTGTGTGGGGGATGTTAAAATAAAAAATATAGAGGAAAATTCAGCTTGCCAGGTTGGTTCGTTATTTGTAATTTGGGGTTGTTTTTCTCCCATATACCTTGGCTTGACATAATGTCCTAGTAGTAAATAAAAGTAAATTATTCATTAATATATTGATCATTTCTTTATTGGGAATTTGTTTTATTTAGAGTACAGCATAGGTGGAAGAAGCTCCTTATCTATGGAGCACAGTAGAAAAAGAGTGAGACATGTTGACGTGGAAAAAGAGTGTTTCATGCATCTGCGAGCATCTTGTTCTGGAAGGAGAGGCTTGAGCGAAGGGAGTCTTGTTTGGCAGCTGGAGGTTTGATGGTGGTAACGTTAATGAACCTCTGGAACCATTTGCCAGAATCCTTGAGGTTTCTATCATCGAGGTCTGTCCAATTAACGTAACTGAGTCCGAATCTGACGGTAAAACCTTTGCAGAATTCATAGTTATCACCAAGAGCCCATGCAAAGTATCCTTTCACGTTGACACCCTTCTCCCTGAAAAACAAGAACAGTCATCATTATCTCATCATATAAAGTCCTACGATATTGATGATGATGATCATATATGTAAGTATCATATATAGTAGCTTCCACTTACTTGATGACCTTACGGAGAAAACAGAGATGACTGCAGAGATAATCTATCCGCGAGGAATCGGCAACAGCCTGCTCACGGGGTTCTTCACTAGGAGTACTAATTCCTATAATTAAACATTCATATTGTACATGAAAAAATATTTTGAGTTGAACAGTCATATGTTAAAATACAGTTTACATGTAAAAGTACTATATATAGATGGAAAGAGATAAGTACGTACCGTTCTCGGTGATATAGATTAAAGGGTCACCATATCTGGTCTTGAAGTGGTCCATAGTATAATAAATGCCTTTTGGGTAATAATAGCTGTTACCACCGGTTTTGTCTTCAGCAAACTGAAAAAGGGGATCAAATAGTTATTATATATATAAGAAAAAAAAAAAGAAGAAGAAGAACTAATGGGTGTTAATTTGCTTAAAAAAAAAAAAAGGAGAATGAAAGACTAGGGGGTGGATCATACATACCAGTGGACCAATTATTTTACCATTTACATCATCATCTGTACACATAAGGATGAAATAACGGATCGTCACTCACAAAGTATATATGCTGTAATGAAAAGAATATATATATATTTATTTATAGAAAGGAAGAATATATATATATAGAAAGGTTGTAGCTAAGTTGAAATTTTTGTCAAAAAAAAAAAAAAAACTAAGTGAAAATAGAGTGGCGGTACATGTGAGCTTTACGCCTGCGTCCATCATGGCAGTGTGTTTTTCGGGAGCGACGGTGTTCTTATTTGGTTGGACGTATTGAGTGACGTAATAGTTGAGACCAAGAAAATCATATGAACCAGCAACGAGTCTTGCTTCTGCTTCCGTGAAGTTGGGAAGCCTACTACCCACAATTTGCCTCATGATGTCTGGGTATCTACCCTTTGTTAGCGGCTCCATGAACCTGATCCATGTATTTTTTTTTTTACATTAGTTTATATATACAAGATATATTATAATGTTTTCTTGTAGTATAATTATAATACTGTAATGTTCAAGACGTACCATCCAAAGAAGAATTCTTTCATCCTCTCGGTTGCGTCTATGCTGGCCTGGTCATTCTTATCAAATGGAAGAAACCATCTAGTAATCATCACAGGACCAATCTTCCCTCCTTGGAACTGTGGTCACGATCACAATGATATGATTAAATTATATATAATCAGATATGTTAGAGATGATTACACAACCGGAGAGAACTCACCTTATATTTCGTCCTGTAAAGATCAACCACGGCAGCATGAGCAAGAAGCTGGTTATGTGCAACGATATAGGGTTCGGTAGAAGAATTTCCTCCGTAACATCTGTCATCAACCGCAGGAGAACATCGACCCGGTGCATCTGTTCCGATTGCATAGCCTCTCGTAGGCACTGTGTACAGCTGGTTAATAGTGATCCAGTTCTTTACCTTTCCACCAAATTCCTTGAAACATAGATCCGCATAATCTCTAAAATCATCACTGCGCATATTTATACAATCATTTCATCAATGCAATATAATCAGATATTCAGACCTATATATGTTTTTTGTTTTTGTTTATCTCTCTTCATAAGAAGTATTGCATGAAGAACATACATGACCCTGCGGTCCAAGAAGCCTTCATACTCATCTTGCAGTGTTTGAGGAAGGTCCCAGTGATATAAGGTAACGAAAGGCGTTATCTTCTTTGCAAGGAGGCCATCTATGAGATCGTGGTAGTATTTAAGACCTCCTGGGTTCACTCCCCTACTCACCTTTCCTTCTGCTCATGCATGTATATATATTCGTTTATTTACTTCTCCAAACAATCATAATCAAATACAACGGCACATATATACATGATTCGATAATGTGTACATACTTGGAAGGATTCTTGACCACGCAAAAGAAAATCTGTAGCCAGTAGCGTTGAGTTCGTCCATAATGTCTATATCTTTCTGCAGTTTTACGTATACAATCGCATGTCAATACCACACGTAGCTGATAGATAATCCAGTGATAATATATACTAAGGAACTAACCTGCCATCTCGTATATGACTCACAAGTAGTGTCTCCATTCGACAAATCTGGTCCGGCTTTCTCTGATAGTGTTTACAAAGACATTACTAATGTATAAATAGAGGCATGTGTATAAACGACATTCGTAGGCCCTAGCTCTCATATATATATATAAACATGCCAATTAAACGACATACCTGGGTACCGGTGAGTGAATGCATCCCAAGTGTTAACACCACGACCTCTGCCTCCTTCGATCTGAAATAAAAAGAAACGACCATGCAACGTTGGATTTTTAGTGTTTTTGAATGGTGATTTTTTATAATACGTCAAAACTCAAAAGTGGGGTCTGGCAACACAATGTGTGATTTGTTACATGCCTGGTAAGCAGAAGATGCTACACCAAAGATGAAGTCTTTTCCGAAACTTTTGCTGTTTAAACGATCAGTGTTGCTACATGTGAATGGGAGGTTCTCTTCGCAAGTAATTTCTTCATCAGCTTTGCAAGTTGCAACAGCTGATAAAAAAACCAAGGCGAGCCCAATAAGAAGCTTCATTGTTAATCTGTAGATGTATGTGTGTTGTGTTGTGTGGAACCTTGTGCCAATCTAGGGTTTATATAGCCTTTGTTAAGAAGAGTGATGTATGCATTTTCTAGTCTTAGTGTCTTGATATTTTGGGAGAGGTCTAGGTCAGATGAATCCCGTGTGTGTTCACTTACTTTAGCTCAATGTTCACTGATATTAGTTTTATTTATTGTTTTGTTTTTTAAAGTGGCTTGCTTAACCGACGAAAATGTAACTGAACTTGTCTTACTTCGTAGGACAAAGGAAACATATAGTCATTGTCGGGAACATGACTTAGGAATATGAATGGTGTCAGAGTGTCACATCTTCAATCGATCGTCGATACTCATGTAGTGCGCATATATTGAAGGTTATCGCAAACCTAGCATCAAGATTCCTTGTAGTAGATGATTTTCAAAACTTCTTAAGTTGGACTAACTGTAGTTAAAATTGACGCCATTAAAGACATTGAAAAATTCTATAGATATATATGATCAAGTGTTCAATCTAGTGTAACAATGCGATGGTGAAGAAGAAAAAAAATATTTACAATATTGATCCAAGGCCACACTCATCACGAGCCTCACCGCTTACAATCACAACATTTCTTATTGATTTTGCCGCTCGATGCTTTATCACATGAAACCAGAGTTTCCGAAAGATTAAAGAAAACGAAAACCAACCAACTTTGTCGCTTTTTTAATCGTTATTAAATGATTGGAAGATTCGTGATGGATTCAGATTGGATATGTGGCTTTCGGATTTCCGATCTTTGTATACCATCCAAAAATCATGATATTTGTGGATATTCGGTTCTGAAATAAAATACTAAAAAAATAAGAAAAGTTATTAATATAAAAAGTTTGGAAAATAGTTTAAAAAATCTTATAAATTAGAATCCCGCCAAGTCCCAATTCATCATTTTCATAGTAGCCTCTGTCCAAGCCGTAAATTATGTAATAGCATGGTTAACTATATCTCTCTGGTGGGATCACGATTAAGTCCCTCGAACAATTGATCAATTCTTGTTTTTTGAACCATAAAATCTAGAGAACACACATCTTTCAGTGACTCGCAAGCACCGCCCCTTGCCTAAATCATCCAAAGCATAAGCTCTTGGCCACATTATAATTAATTGAAAATAAGGCCACAATTCAGAAGTCATATATTATAATGTTAGTCAAATGTCCTTGTTTCAGTTTTTTTTTTTTTTTTTTTTTTTTTTTTGACGCCTGTCCTTGTTTCAGTTAAATACTTTAGATATTGGCTAATTGATTGCTCTTTGTTAAATTTGTTTTCTTGTTCTTTACCCCTATCTATCTTCGTCCTCTTCTTTTTAAGTTCTTTCCACATGTCTAGCTTTTTAATTTGATTCACGTCACAATTTTGGAGTGCCCCTCGACTAACTGTTGTTCATATATATAAAAATTAAATATTTAATATTAAATCTAGAAATAACTACTAGAACGGCCACGGAAGATAGATAGATACTTGTGTACTAATATATAGTTATGCTTTTCGTGATTTTATAAAATCCAAACATGAATTAAAATCACTTGTTCATAAGAAAAATATACGAATGAGGCAACATTTAGATTTATCTGCGTTGGGGCTTTAATATATAGGATTGGCCCTAAAAATAATAGTTTCCATTTTCAGTCAACACTTGCATGCATTACGTAAATATACTGTATATTGGACTTTTCTACGATTTGCGCTTGGTTTGGCAGTATGTGCGACAAATGTGCTTCGACCATGCATCATACTGTAATATCTTATAATTTAAATGTAGTACAACTTGGTTGTTCCTTGTTCTGTAAGAAAAGACATATTACTGTAATATCATCAATCTTCTTAGATTTAAGCTTCTTCTTCCAAGTAGCTTCAGCCGCCTCTGCCACCAATTTAGCAGCCATAGCTTGCTTTTTGCCGGAACTCCATATCAGCGATACAACTTCCTCATTGCTAAGCATATCCCAAACCTGCAAGGACAATATTAAAATACCAAGGGTTTTTACGTAAAAATATTTCGAAGCGGAAAATTGTAAGCCAAATATGAATCATATGTGCATTTACCCCGTCCGTAGCGAGTACAAGGAATCGGTCTTTAGAAGTTATTCGATGGTGAGAGACCACTGGAACCGCAATAACGCCGTGGTCTTTGAGCCTGAAGTCTCCAAAAGCTCTTGACATGGCTAATCCTGGTATGTCATGGTTAGGTAGCCAAACCCTTTGGCTGGACGGTTCTCCTTTCATTGCGTGAACACGACCTTTGCACATCCTAATCCTCTCTGCTTCACCTGCGATGCTAGAAAGTCGCTAAATAAGTATCATCAAACGTCTCATGACACAAACCATTCTTAGCCAAGGAGAGAGTGAAAAAAGCATACTAGGGACATCAGGTGTTAGGTCTGATGTTAGCTGAACTGCGCTGATCTCACCATCTTCGGTCATTGTTCCCAACACTGCCCTTGAATCACCTAGGTTTGCTATCATGAGGTCATCTCCCTAAAGCAATCGAATGAGCTAGAGCTAGTTAAACAATATATATATATATATATATAACCAGCAGCAGACATATTTGGTGAAGAGGAAATACTAGTCCGGTCCATCGGCCACATAATGAGCGGCCTAGTCGGCTGCCATCATTCAAAACCTCTAATGTTAGCGGAAAAATGGAGAAATAATTGTACCTGAGTAATGGCAACAACAGAAGTGGAGCCACTGAAAGAGCAATCAAAGACTTGGAGAAGAAGCTCTTTGTCAATGAGTCTGAAGGCAGTAAAACAAGCTTTTTCCCACTTGTGAGTTTCTTCTTCTTCTTCTTCTTCACAAACATGAGATTCTTGGTTTAGCTCCTTCTTTAGTGTTAACAGAAGTGATGGCAATCTATTCCTCAACATTTTGCTCACCATGTGCCCATTTTTTCCGTGCCCATCAAATACTCCACATAGCTCCGCATCCCCTGTTCCGTATCCCTATGAGATCAACCAATTTATACCAAATTAATCACTTTTCTACTTAAATTTTAACTTCGCAAGTATTATATATATAACAGATAAAAAATGGTTTAACATAGGCTTCGATTCGATTTTTTTTAAATTACATTTGCGTTTACTTTATGTTTAACGCTTAGGGAGTCCAATATTATTAGGATCGTACCCAAAATTCATTTTTAACTTAATAAACGTAAACAAACACTTTACAAAAACTATGAAATCACAAGATTTTTTTTTGAAAAATGTTTTATTTGTGTTTAACAAAATCAAAGGAATCTCAAAAATATTCTCGCATGTAAATACAAATGCAGAAATTGACATCTGAATAGATCTTGCTAATTGGTTATTAGTTGGGATCATCTCATCTCAACCTGCACATGGTCTTTATTTATTATTACAACCCATAAACCCAAGCGAGTGTCTCATCCAAAAATTAGTTTTTCCTCAAATGAATAAACCAAAAAAAAAAATACTATGGGAAACGAAGAAAATAGCAAAATATCTAGATAAATTACCAGATAAAGAATAGCATTATCTTGGTTAAGTGCTTTGCTTCCTTGTATAGAGCAGACCGAACCGAGGCGGTGAACCGGAAGGTCGTGATCTAAACCGAACTCGTCGCCATAACGTATCACCGCATTTCCATCACCGTGATCATTCTCCTCGTGAATCTCCGATGAGGAAGATGGCAACGAGAAGCAATGACCCATAATCTCACCAAAGTCACTATTTTAAGAAGTTAGACCTTTCGTTAATCGAATCGCAGATCCTTAGAATTTGTTAAGCTTGATTAGACGAATCTTTCAGAAAATATATGAAATATGAAAAGCCTTTTCTTGAATCTGGAGCTTAGCCATCTTATATTATACTGGATTTCCTTCCATAGATAACATTATTACTGTTTACGTGTCACCAACTTGAGTTCCAAATTTCAATAAAATCAATTATTGTATGTATTATATGATAATAGTAAATATACGTTGACCTGCATTTAATATAATGAATAAAGAATTATGTTGCCCGAGTTTCGCTTGAAAGGGCAAGTTTTGATCCTGGCATTAGTTTGACAGAGCATTCTACTTATAGAACATGCCCTTTATAAGAAAATGTTTGATCATGTGTGCTACCGAATATTTTAATACAATGATTAAAATACTTAAAATATACTCTATAAATTATTGAAGAACTTTGAGTGTAAACTTTATATTAATATGGTCAACTTGTTCCAAGAAAACACCCGCTGAGCTAGTAACATTTGTGAATTTACGAGAACTCTTAAACGTTTTTGCCAAGATTTCCTAAGTCCATGGTTGATGCATGTCTGGTTCAAGCAATTTCTAGTTGAATATCCTTGATCTTGTCCCTTTGTGAATTTATGGATTTGCATTTACCAAACCGTATGAGATTAGGTTCATAACTTGGTCATCTATATTCTTTAGAATCTGTCGGTATCAAATTGTTTTGACTAGTTAAGCGGCCGTTGTTCGGCCACGTAGCTCAATCCCCCCACAGTCAGAAACCTATAGAGAGTAGGTGTAAATGCAAAATAAATAATAAATAAATTCAAAGATGTATCGGTTATGGACCGGTTCGGTTTTGGTTCTAATCGGTAAACAGAAAGAAAAGAACGAAACGCAGCCGTCTAAAACTGTTTGTTCCGGAACGTATAAACAACTTTGACTTAAAGACACGCCTTCGTCTGCTCCAATGGAAAAGTCGTGATTTTTGCATTTACCTACCTTCTTCGCATTTTCGCCAAACTTCGAAAAAAATCTCGCTTTAAAGGGCTAATCAAAACCCTAAACCCACAATCCAATTCTTCCTTGCTAGATTCGATTTCGCTTCCTCCGTCTCTCTCTCTCTTTCTCCATCTCTCTTGCAATTTCCTAATCGATTTGAAGTTATAGCTATGGAGGCGACGACGTTGTCAGCTGGATTCCGTCCTCTTCTGAAGCCTGGAGGTTACAGGTTTCCGAGGTTAGGATTCTCTATTTGCTTTTGTTCTAGGGAATTACGATCGAGAATTATTGCTAAAGGCTCGATTTGATTAGCCATGAAAACTGATCATACCTGCTGATTGATAAGTCTAGGGACGACGATTTTGATGGAGAATTTCTAAATAGCTATCAATTGTGTCTGTACAGGTCATGTTCTCAGAGAAATTCATCGTCTTTGGTTCGATGCCATTCAAAAGAGGCATCTGGGGGATTCATCAAACCGAAACCTGAAGGGTCTATCGCGATCACGCACCGTAAATTGAGTTTCAAGACGAATGTGTTCGAGCAAGCCCGTTCTGTCTCTGGAGACTGCTCTTATGATGACGCGACAGCTAAAACCCGTTCTCATGTTGCAGAAGATAAGATCGGTGTCCTGCTTTTGAACTTAGGTGGCCCTGAAACCCTTAATGACGTGCAACCCTTCTTGTATAATCTGTTTGCCGACCCAGTGAGGATCTATACTTTGCTCTCGTGTTAGACTTTGAGTTTAAAACCATCTTGGAATGCTTATTGATTAACCTTGGCTTCGTTGCAGGATATTATACGTCTTCCCAGACCATTTCAGTTTCTCCAAGGGACTATAGCGAAATTCATCTCTGTGGTTCGCGCCCCAAAATCAAAAGAAGGGTATGCTGCAATTGGTGGTGGCTCTCCTTTGCGTAAGATAACCGATGAGCAAGCAGATGCAATTCGGATGGCCTTGGAAGCAAAGAACATTTCTGCTAATGTCTATGTTGGAATGCGGTATTGGTTTCCTTTCACTGAGGAGGCTGTTCAGCAGGTGACTTTTACATTCTAGTGATCTTTTGCTCTCAACTTAACCATTATCAGAGGCTCCTTCCTGGTTGTGATGTAGTTGCTTGATACTGTGTCCTTGTTATGTTTAACTTATCATGCTAATTACATTTAACCAGATTAAGAAGGACAAGATCACAAGACTTGTTGTCCTACCATTATACCCTCAGTATTCTATCTCCACGACGGGTTCAAGCATCCGCGTTCTCCAAGACTTATTCAGGTTTGTGTAAGCCACAAAGCATATTTATAGTATATTGTTCTGTTTTCAGGATATTTCTTATAGTTGCTCAAGCGGCCCTTGACATGAATTATCATTCAGGAAAGATCCGTACCTGGCTGGAGTGCCAGTTGCTATCATACAGTCTTGGTACCAAAGGCGAGGTTATGTCAATTCCATGGCCGACCTCATTGAGAAGGAGCTTCAAAAATTCTCTGATCCTAATGAGGTATAGTTATTTCTCCCTTCTGGTTTACCCCCTTCCTTATAAAGTTGAAGTCCCGAACACTAGTTTTATTGGTCCCATGTATGTATGCTTTAGGTTATGATATTCTTCAGTGCCCATGGTGTTCCAGTCAGCTACGTAGAGAATGCCGGAGATCCATACCAAAAACAGATGGAAGAGTGTATTGACTTGATAATGGATGAGCTTAAATCCCGAGGGGTTCTTAACGACCATAAATTGGCATACCAGGTTTGGTCATATCATCATCCATTACAAAAGCTGCTTTGCATTACCTCTTTATATCAAGCCCTAATTGATTCTAGCAAAAAATCCCTTCTTTTCCAGAGTCGTGTTGGGCCTGTTCAATGGCTGAAGCCATACACCGATGAGGTTCTTGTCGACCTTGGTAAGAAAGGCGTTAAGAGTCTACTAGCCGTTCCAGTCAGGTGAGAGAACATATAATAATCCGCATAGCTGATTTTCTTGCTGTGAAAAGGATGCTTCCCAAGTTCCCATCATCAGAAACATGGAAGCTGTCTGATGATTGTCTTTTGACTCTTAACAGTTGTTGACCCATTTCGTCTTTCTCATTTGTTTTTCTTACCTTGGATTTCAGTTTTGTGAGTGAGCACATTGAGACTCTTGAAGAGATAGACATGGAGTATAGAGAATTAGCTCTGGAGTCAGGGGTAGAGAACTGGGGGCGTGTCCCTGCGCTTGGTCTCACCGCGTCCTTCATCACCGATTTGGCTGATGCAGTGATAGAATCGCTTCCTTCAGCGGAAGCAATGGTCTCAGAAGATAGCGAGTCATCGGACGTATTCAGTTATATTGTGAAGATGTTCTTTGGCTCGATTCTAGCTTTCGTACTGCTTCTCTCCCCAAAGATGTTCCATGCTTTCAGGAACCATCTTATCTAGAAGAAACCTATTATTAAATTCTCCGATGGCAAGTTAGTTGGTTTTGTTGTTATCTTTTCTTTTGGAGAAATGTCTTGGTCAAGTTTAATATATATTGTCCAATCTATTGAAGTACTAGCACACCAGCTCAATCTAATGAGCTGATGTGGGTGAGTAGTTCAATAGATTGGACTTTATATATTAAACTTGATTAAGATCTAAACTAGAGAAGGAATAAGGAATGAGAAGGGTCTAAGTTCTTGGGGACAGGAGAGGTATTTCAAATTATAGCTAAAATTTTAGTGCTACGTTGCTCCTAGAGACGAGGAAAGGGAATATAATCTACAATTATTTGGTTTCCAAATGCAGTTATCAAATACATTATTTTTTTTGTTTTTTGATCGGATTCAACCAAAAGGCTCTGCATTTCGCTATTCAAAGTTTCTTTTGACCGAACGTAACAGGTTGAAAAAAACCGATATATGTGAACGAGCTAAATTTTGTCCACCATGAACTAAAGACTAAAGTTGCCTGATGTCCAAAAATAAGAACTAAAGTTGTCAACAAAAATTAACTACTTTCATTGCTAAAAATACTATCACAAAATTTTAAAATATAGTTCTTCGCTCTATCAATTTACATTCCGTTTAAACAAAAAACGGAAAAGGAACAAAATCAAACACACAAAGACGGTTATATTATTCACACACGGCAACGCATAGAAGCTTTGGCTCTAGAGAACAGTTCAAGTGGAAACTGAATCCGGTCGCATCTGAATCAAGCCTTTACGTGAGAGATTCTCAATGGAATCCGCAATAACTCTGGCGCTCGACTTCATGTACCCACCTGCACAATAACATAACTTCTTTTATCCTTTATAAACATTACTCATAGGCAACATACGTATTTGGTTATATGTTAGATTCAATCTCGCACCTGAAGTCAGCATCACAACAGGAATCTCTCTCTCCATTGCAAATCGGAAGACTTTCTCGTCTCTACTAGTTATCCCATCGGGGCTTATCTGCCACCAAAGTCACCAAGTTAGAGACAATTGTAACCAGAGGAATAAACTTGTATATTCCACTCAGAGAGAAAGGCCATGTAAAGCTTACCTTTAGAAGCCCCAGAGGGTCTCCGTCTAAGATATCAGTACCAGCATTGTAAACCACCAACTCTGGTTGAAAGCTTCGTGAAGCAACCTGAGAGTTACAGCACCATCATAAGTTTTTTCTCTCAAGATTCCTTAAGACCAAAATAATATCAATGTTTTTTATTCAAGGAACCAATTTTTCTAGCTTTCAGCTTCATTAGCTACGCTTTAACATCCCATGCTCATAATCAATCGTCGACAAGAAACAAGAGATTAACGAGGATAATCCAATGCATACATCAAGGGCTTCGTCTAGCTTCCTCAAATACTCATCGGTAGTGGTCCCGCTCTGATAGAGAGAAAAAGGACCGAAGAATTACAGTGTCACACAAAACAATCAACTTAGTTCCAGCTGATGATACGTGAAAGATATTATGCTTACCACCACTTCAACCTTCTGGTCGATAAAACTCCTAGCTCTATAATCCTTTAAGGAAAAAAAAAAAACAGAGCAGATAAATCCAACTGTTAAATGCAAACACAAAAGCCATAGACGAAACTGCACTAAACGTTAAAAGGAATGGAAATGACTTGCAAAAAGCATTACAAAAGGGTATATCTCAGGATTGTACATATCCAGAATGTAAACGCGACCTGCACACAAACAAAAAGACTGTTATCATCATATTGAACACCGTTAAGACAAAAAAATTATGAAATAAGAAAAAGGTTTTCATACTGTCATCGCCGAGATCTGTTTCGTGGCCATTCCCTTGATGAACATCAAGATCTATTATCATAACCCTGTTCGAGTATAACAAGGTCAAGAACTAAAGGGTTAATACATTCGTGGGAAGTGATTAACATGTCAAGGTCCTTGATAAATGCAAAACGGAAACCATTAGAGAAAAGTTTACCTTGATATTCTTAGACGAAGAAATGCAAATTGAATACTAAGAGAAATATCAGCGAAAGCACAAAACCCGCCTCCTCTTTCGGCAGTACAATGATGAAAACCTCCTCCTATGTTTATTGCCCATCCACGTTCTATTGCAAGTTTAGCTGCCAGAATTGTCCCACCAACCTGTCACACACCGACTTTGTAATATAACTCCACAAATACAGATTTCTCTGAAAGAAAAACAATCAAAGATGCAAAGAACAAATGATTCTTCTACCTGCTTCCGGAATGGGTAAAGAACTTTCTGCTGCACAAGAAAATTTGGGAAAATAGCAACTGGTGGAACCTATACATTGTAATAAACAGCAAAACGTTTAATCTCAATTCAACAAGAATCAAGTTAGATTATTGAATGACCAAAAAAACTTGGACATTCCCTTGTCATGTTAAATCACATTACCTCGGTTATCCTAGCGACAGTTGCACTGCTTTTCAAGCTGTTTAAGTAGTTCAACGAGTGTACCTGATACAGAACAACCACAAACAAAAAGGTTACACAACCGTTATTACATAGATAAATGGTATCATATGACTAATGTTCACACGTGAATGCACAGTTCTATCTAGATACTTGATCAACTGTAAGTATAGTTGAGACATCTAAGAAAAACTAAGTACCACTAAAAGATCACTATTTGAAGCTTCTAGAGGCTCGACGATAGATTTCTCCTCCAGAAACCCATCAGAAACAAGGAACTTGCAAACTCGACGCCACTTGGTCGAATCAAATGGATGCCTGCACATATTCATCAAACGAATATGTTAAACTGAGAATGATAAAGTTCGAAACTTTCAAGTTTTAACATATTCTCAGACTAGAGAAGCCCACAGACATTCAACAAATTCTCAAAATTGGTCAACGGAGACAAAACTAAAAGTTAAGATTGGGTAATTACTCACAATTTCTCAATCCCCATGAACGAGATGTCGTAAGCAGATGAATAGATAATCGAAACCTGTCGATCAAACAAATTCGTCAGTCAAATTGTGAAGGCAAGCTCACACAAAACCTGTAGAGCATAATAGATTACCTTTGATTTGGGGACTTCGAAGTAAAGTTTGCTGGAAAGAATTCGATCTCGCCGGAGAGCTTCTGGGTGGGTCTCCATAGAAAACGACGACGTTTCAGGGGATTTAAAGCAACGGTAGAGGAACTGAGATACTTTGATGGCTGCAAACGTGAAGAGCAAGTAAACAGCTGAGTCACGAGTTAAATCTGTCCAGCTCGAGACGACTCGGGCATCTTTCATGGGAAAAAAAAAACTGGGATTTGAAGCGGCGAGATATTCTCTGTTCTGGGAGATAAATATTTTGATAAAAAGGAGATAAATATTTTGATAAAAAGGAGATAAATATTTCCACACGCGCGAAAGAAGCGCGTTTTCTGAGTTTCTTCTATCCATTTTAAAAAGTCAACGCGAAGACTTTTTTTTTTCTTTCTTTTATTATTGTTTGAATTATTTTGTAAACTCAAACTTGCAATTTATAAAGGCTTCATACCTCCAAAACGAAAGTTCACGTTTATTTTAGCCTTGAGCTAGAGACTCTTAGACCATCTCCGATAAGTTTTTTTGGCACGATTTTTTAGACAAATTGGTTTTTAAAAAAAGAAACAATGAATTTTTTTATTAGAATTGTTCATTATATAAAGAGTTTTAGGAACGCTCCTTATGCTAAGTGTCAAATAGGAATTGGCCGAAATTTTTTGTTTGGGCCAGTTTTTTAACAACGTTTTTGTTTGGTTCCATTTCATTGATTTTTGCTTTTTTTAGCTTTTGTTTTCTTCTATTTATTATTTTATTATTATAATATTGGTAATAGATTTTTAGTGATCTGATGCTCTTATTTTACATTTCATAAGAGCTTTTATACATTTGTGTAATTAGCGGCTTTATTTAATGACAGACAGACGAGTATGTAAGCTTTATTTAGTGTAGTATAGTTAATCTTCATGTATATGACGTCAGAACAAAAAAATCTCCATGTATATTTATAACCCCTAACACAAAGGGGTAAAAATGAACAAGAAACATTGATATGGGTTTGAAATCCGAACAATGTTACTCTAATGATTTGTTTTTGTGTGTTATAATTACCACAAGAAGATTAAAAGAATCACCATTTCCAAACCCATTTGCTTTTGAGGACATCAACAAAGTCCTTGTGATCATCATCATCCTCATCATCTCTCACAATCTTTCTTTGATAGAATCCATCTCTCTTGGCTACCCAAATGCACTCGTCGCCTCCTTCTCCGCACCCCTTCCTAAACCCGTTCTTGACAGAGAACACTGTCACCACGTCTTGGCTCGTTGTTCCAAACCCACTCCTAAACTGGCACCGGAACTCGGTTTTCTGAAACGGCCACATGTTCATGGTCGTGAATTTCCATACCCGAGATTGCTTTGGCTTTAGCATGTCCCAACCAAGGTCGTCCTCGTTTGACCAACACCTCACGGCCAGCTTCGCTTTCCGGACACTAGAGACCCCTGAGATTTCGTTCTTTAGCTCTAGACGACCCGCCATGGTTGGTGCCGGTAACAGCGCTGCCACCACAGCAGTCGCCACGAAGAAGAAGAACCAGCCCTTCATGTTTCTCCCCATTTGGATTCAACGATCGCTAATGTTTTCTTAACTATTGATTTTGTCGAGTCTTGAGGCTTACGGAACAATTTGAGACACGTGAAGATGTAACCGATATATAAATGTTCAATGAGAATTAGACCGTTACTGTTACGGCTTCTAAATTTAGAAGTACTAGAAGCTATTTTCATCTATTTTTGGAAATAGAAGAGAGAGTAAATCCCAAGGAAAAAAGATAAAGTGCTGATGACTATGTTGACGAATATAACAACATATATAAGTCCTTTTTTTTCAATATCACCATATATAGTTACACATAGTTTGCTTTTATTAGCAGGAATAACAACATACAGACACGAAAATCACGACATTGACGCGTTCAATTTTCTCATAATATCAACATCGCCAGATTGTTTAATTTAGCTCCAAGCTTTCTGAAGAACATCATGTGGAACATACTCATCCCACCTCTCGTTGCCATACTTGTTACTAAAGAATATGGTCTTCCAATGTCTCAAGTAGAGACCGTCTTTCTTAACCACCCAAGTGCATTTGGACCTGTCCCCACACTGCTCTTTCATCTTCCACGAGGCAACTAGCTGATTGTCCACGCGTCCGTATCCTGTACGGAAGTTGCAGTGGAAGTATGTGTGGAAGAGCGACATGGCAAAGGACCAGTCCTTGTGCTGATCTGGCCAGTTTTCTCTCCACCCAAGATCGTTGTCTCGAGACCAGCATTTGTACACAAGTTTTCTGTACCGACCCGAGAGTTCGTTCCTGATCTCTAGTTGAAATCCATGGGAGTGAGTCACCATCATTAAGGTGGTGATGATAAGTATTATAAGAACAAAGTTCCCATCTAGGGTTTTGGGAATTTTTTTGGTTCCCATATGTGTAATTCTGTTTTTTTTGTTCTTTCTTCTTTCTTTCTTGCTCACTCAATTTTTTTTTTTTTTTGGGCATTGATAGTATTTGTACAGAAACTACTATTTTTAGAAATGTAACGGCTAAAGATTCAGTTTTTGCCGCGGGTCAAGGGGAGGAACAAGTCATTCTTCGACATCCACATTTTTATTACTTTGTTGATTTTTTTTCTCTTAAGAGTAAAATTATATGCAAAATAATCATTTGAAAAATTATTTGCACCCAATGAAGAAATTTGGGATAGCAATTAAGAAAATAACAGTGTAACTATATTGTTTGTCTATTTTTATTACTTTGCTGGTTTTTTTGTTCTTTTTTGTAAATTGGCAAAATAGATTGTTTTATTTTTGGTTCTTTTGGACACGTTTATACAATCTTATAAGGGACCGTCTTTTTTTTTAAAAGTGAGCTAATGGTTTATGTGATAATCACCTGAGAAAGTCTTCCAACGAAAATAGGGTTGTTAAGGTGCTTTTGTAGAACGGTATTCATAACATGTCAGAAAAACATTAATCTGATCAACATATAATTTATTTATAAGTAATTAGCCGAATCTTTGAAAATTTGATAATCCAAAAGAAAATCCTCTTTCTTCAATAATTTATAGTTAATGCCACTGTTTAAGCATTAAGCAAGCATACTTATTAGAGGGAGGCCTCGATAAGGAAAAGAAGAGAAATTTAAAATGCAAAAAAAAAAAATCAAAGCCGGCTAATATATACTTGAAAACTACGATGTTGAATAAATCCTAGCGTTAGTGGGAAGCCATTAAGAGAACTTCCATGTACTATATATATAAACTGGACCTATAAACATAATTAAGTCTAAGGTTCTTAACATTAACCTGAAAAATGGTGTCTCTAGGTCTTTCCTGCACCCTAGTTTTGCTATTGGCAATCTTATTCACAGTTGCTGAAGCCAACAACAACAGAAAACTCCTGCAAACTTCCACTAACTACAAGACGCTATATCCTCCTCCTCCTCCTCCATCGCCCATGTATCGACCTCCGGTAACTCTTCCTCGTCCTACTCCGGTTTATTCTCCTCCTCTTGCTCTTCCTCCTCCACCACCGTTGAAAGTTCTTCCTCCTCCTCAAGCTCACAAAGCCTTCTACTACAGGAGATCTCCTCCTCCTCCATCTGGAAGACCTTGGTGGTGGTTGTTGTGAGACGGTAAGAAGTGGCTCAGGATAAGACATTTGTAATGTCTAAAAACAGTAAATTTCATTACTGTTGTCTACTTTTCTTAACTTGGTTTTAATGTCTCTCAGTTTTCCTTAAGGTATTTCTGTTTGTAACGTGAGTGATGTTTAAACATCAAATGTGCAGTCTTGTTAATCGGTTATGGCTTGTTCTTTTATCTTCTATGAGTTGCGCAAAGACTAATACCTCGACCACATTTGCCTTTTACCAAACTATAGTCTCCTTTAAAAGAAAACGTTACCATTTAAATGCTCGCCAGCCAGCACCTTGTTTTCATTATATTCATTGAGAAGCTGAACCAAAGTTTGCCAATAATCATCATTAGTCCAATTAAACCGACATTTGATCTTTAGATTGTAATTTCCAATCGAGTTAGCCACGCTTGATGAATAAAAAAGGCAAGAAAATTATAGTTCAATAGAGTGGATACAAAATGAAAAGAAAAGGCCAAAAAATACATTAAAAAATGCGTACGTGTTTCTAAATTACGATAAAGAATTAAGAAATTTGGGCATTTGGTCAACAGATTATGTTAAAGCTTTAAGATACAAAAAGACACTACCAACACGATCAATCTGTACATATCACACCAAGAAAATCAACTACTTCTATTTTTCTTCAACATTTCTTCTCTCCTCTTTTTGCTTAAGTTTTGCTATTTTGGTAAGTGACATTGCAGAAATGATCTGTTCTACACCTAATCGTCGTCTTCCTTGTCGTCATCATCATAGTCTCTGTCATCGCCTGACCTGGTACGGTTGCGATCCGCACGTAAAGCCTTTAGCTGCCGCGGAGACCATGCCTTCCATGGCTCGACAAGCTTGTCAACAGGCCTTACCAACTCCAGAAATCTTAACAAAAAGCTGTGAGGATAATAGGTCTCAAAACCAACGAAATATATACCGTCCGGCCTAATGACGTATTTACACAAATGCCCTCCGCACAACACAGATGTCATCGACAACGTCTTGATTTCGACATCAGCTGTCCCTTGGCTCGACAGGAACTGGCACCGGTGAATCACCACGCCGGTTCCAAACGGCGGGACATCGAAATCCCATGCAAATTCCGATCTGGGAAACGATTCATGCCACCGGAGAGATTTCTCAGACGACGTGCATCGGTAGGCAACCAATGGACGTTTTAAGCCGTACATTTCGTTCCTCATCAATAGCGTGAAAGACACGTCTCCAACTTCAACCGAGTTCCCTTGAAATATGATGACTTGCATTACAAGGCACCAAACTAGGGCTTTATTGGCAACACTATTTTCTCCTCTCATTTCTCTCTCTCTCTCTTTTTTTCTTCCCTTCTTCTTCTTTTATTATAAAAACCTTCTCTAATGCTTAACTCCTATTGATTTTATTTTTTGATGACACTCTAAATCCCTTTTGGTTTTATATATTTACAAAAGGAAACAAAAAGTTATGGAAGGAAAATAGTTTTTTAGCTACTAACGAGATAACCAATTACAAAAATTAGTGTATATTGTCGGATAATAATAAAAAGGACCTAAGTTATCTCCAAGAAATTAGTGATACCAACTGATTTGTTACACCACTTATAAAAAGAAAACAACATTATTGTTATAACTTCTAACAATATTTTCGAAGATGCGTACATTTTTCACACACGTGTATGTTAGTTGCGCTAAAGCTTGTCTTTGGTACTTAAAATTAGTTTTCTGTTATACCATCGGAGACGTTAGACGGAATAGTTATGTCATTACGAGTACATCCAAAAATCTAAACACTGAAAATGACAATATTACATTAACAAGTCATTTTGAAGTACGTGTATCTAAATTTTACTTTAGCGCCGTTAAATATTGTAGCAATATGCCAATATCATTTTGATCAACATCATTTAACGAAATTTTTAACCTTCTTTATCTAAAGTATTTATGATCAAAATAGATATTCAAAAATTTTGACAAACGCACTTTTTAAAAAAATAGATGTACTTTTTTTAATGCAAACTATTTAGATTTTTTTAATGCAGATTGATGATTTTTCATCCAAATGAGGTATTAATTGACTTCATAAACTATTTCGTAAAACGAATTAACATCATCGGGTAAACCACAAAAAATAGGTTTTGGTTTTTTTTTTTTACTATGGTTCAGATTTGTTTTCATATGTTTTAACGTATAAATTATTATATAGATTTCAAATCGAATTTACAGAAGAATTACAAAGAACAACTGAGATACAACTCATTACAAGACCTAAAATATATATATAAAAAAAACGGTTTAACAAAAGAAATGAATATTGACGATAGTTTTTTTCTGAGGAGCCTAATTACTCGCTAACAAAATTAATCTCTCTCTCTTTTTTTTTTTTAAGTTTCAAACGGATGCTGATACTAGCTTGCCTAATTAACATCCTCTCGGTGGGACTCCAAATCGCATATCGCATAACCCAAGCCACAGTATTCAGTGCTGGGTCTGATTTTCACTTTTGTATTGATCAAGTAATCAATTAGTCATTTAACTGAAAAATAATATTTAAGGATGATTTTTTTTTGTTTTTGAAATTATTGGTACAACAGACTAATATGTAAAGTGTAATTCATAACAATGCCCACACTAAAGAAAATATAACAAAAATTCCAACGTAATGTATTAATTATATATAACTCCAACGTATTGTTCATCAGAAATCTCTTAACAAACTCCTCCGTTTGAGTACCACCATCTGTCTCTAATACATGAAAACCCAATGATTCATATATTCGTTTGATGGTTTAGCCTTATGGGCATGCACTAAATCATTGTAAACCCCCTGAGCGACGTTGGCTACCTCGTCGTGGCCACGGTTTCCACTTAGCTTCGAGATATTTCCTCGGTATCAGCCTCGGATACCTCTCTTCAAAATCCCACTCTTTACCATCAAACATTATCCCTTCCGGTGTGACAACATGAACGGCACATTCGTTGTGATAATTACAAATCTCGGCATCGATCGCTGTCATACGGATATCGACATTCGCTGTACCGAGAACGGACCGGAAATGGCATCGGTGAATCTCCTCCTCTAGTTTTTGGCCACCTTCCAAGAGTACATTGAAGGTATGGCCCAATGGTGGGCTTTTGGCTCGTCGCCATCCGTAGTCAAGGCCACTGTTTATAGCTTGACAGTGGTAAACGATTTCTGGACGTTTCAAGCCTTTCATTTCATTACGTATCTCTAGCTCCGTTGTGACGAAATGTGATCTCCCGGCGTGGGAAACCACGGTGACGTGCATCAGAAGGAACCACGCTAGGGTTTTTACAAATTTATCAATGTTAAACGTCATTTTTTTTTCTCCCTTGTCGTGATAAATTGTCTCTTGTCGTTTACCTTTGGATTTAGAGATTTGGTTTGTTCTTTATGCTTAGTTTAAAAAAAAAAGGTTTTTAAAACTGAAATCTGTTGCAAAGGCCATTTAATGGTTTGATTGTTATTTTTATGTGGACATTTAGCTTTGATATGTCAAAAACCCATAAATGTCCATTAAAAAAAAAAGTTATAAGCTAACAGAACTGGCATTTCGCCATTTTTTTACCTTTTTTTAGTGGGAAAACTATATTCAGGCGGTCAGGCCTGTTTGTTTTCAATGGCCTGAAACATCTACGTCCGCGTCCGCGCCAAGTGCCAACTATCACAATCCATTTACATTTGTTCATGATTTTTTTTTTTAATTTTGCGTCTATATTTAGAGTTGAATTAACTGATTATTACGATATGTGACATGTCTATGTGCTTTAAAAAAGTAGTTTATCTCTTGTAATGTTCACATGTGACATGTCTATATATGTGCTATCAGTAAGCCCTTATTTTGAACCTAGGTTTTGCATTGACTCGAAAATCAAATTAATAGTTGATCCGAGTTACCCTCTACATTATGATCCCATTCGATTGATCAATATTTTAATTTACCTCACCTTTTTGTCATTGGTTGAGAAGAGGAAACTATATTATGATCCCCTTGGTTGAGAAGAGGACACAAGAAAAAGGACAATTTCAATACTCGAAAACTACACTATACACTTAATTATTTCTTCATTCCGATCCCAAATCTTGTCTTTATAACTCCTGATTGAATACATTTCATCCGGATTATTTTATTATATATTCAGTATACAAAGCCATATCTATCATTCCTAAATTTCGATCTTTTGTCATTAAAAATAAGATTTTGATTCCTAAACCAATCTAAACTACAAATGATCACTGACCTTTTTGCATCAACAATAAATAAAAGGTACTTTGTGACTTACCAAATATGTCTCCACATTTGCAAAACAGTTTAGCATCTTATGTTTAGTTGACAATTTAATATATTTCTTTAATTTATTGATTTCGAGTGATAATATTTTGAAATGGACCTATTAGATTATGCATTTATAAGTTACAATGCACACGTACATCATCATCATCAATATGTATAATCACTTTCAAGCCTTGGGAAGGCGTCCTTTGGGTGGATACGGTACCCATGAATAGAGCTTCTTCTCAGGTTTGTAATAAACTCCATCTTTTCTAATTGAGTAACGACAGACATAACTAGGGTAACACATAGCCGAGGTGTCTGGATGAATATAGACAGGAATATTGGCATACCCACGATTCGACCGGACATGACAATGTATGAATTTGTACCTGAGCCGACCGCTGTGCTCGAACTGAAGCACAACGTACCGGTCTCCCGGTTTGCTCTTTTTCCAAGCCTTGGGACCGTGAGCGCATACAAAACCAGCGTTTCCTTTCTTGAGACCATATAGTTCGTTAGAGAAGACGATATTTGTGACAGTGCTTGGTCGTATGCTATACTCCGTTGTATAACCTTTCCTTACTCTCGCTTGTAAAGAGAAGACAACGATGGAGAAGTTGGAGATTTGCAGCAGGAATATGATGAGGAAATTAGTAACTATGGTTTTGGGATTCATCTTCATCATCACCTTTTAAGTTATGATGTCTCAATACTTTCGTTGTCTTTTTTTTTATATCTTCAATATATATTGCTGCTTTCCGTTTTTTACTAGTAGTAAACTTCAAACAGAACTCCTTTATTTATTATATAAAATGTTTTTGTTCAATTTAGTAACTACAGTACATACTCTTAAATGAATAAATAAATAAATACGGTTTTACTCGTTAACTAATACGTTTTTCTTTTTTCTTATTTTTGTAATGCAATAAAGGGGAGGAAGTGAGTAAGCAATCATATACTCCCTCTGCAATCATATACTCCCTCTGTTCAGAATTATTTGATGTTTTATGAGGTTTTTTTGTTCAGAATTATTTGATGTTCTCACTTTTCAATGTAAAATTTAATGAATTTTTATTGTTTTTGACTTTTTATATTCTGCAAATTGTTTTCTTATTGGCTAAATAATATTTAAATGAATTATAGATAATTTTTTTAGTATAGAAAAAATAAATATTAAATGCATCATTAATCTGTGTGCAAAAACCTTAAACATCAACTAATTCTGAACAGAGGGAGTATAGATTCTCTCATTCCGTACGGAAAAAAGAAACCTTTTTTTTCTCCCACTGGTCAATTGGTCATCTCTCTGCATTAGTATTAATTTGGGGGAAAGCATAACATGAACTAATCCAATTACCAAAATAACTGATCATAAAGATTAGAAAATCATAAAAGATTAACCTGTTAACGAATTATCTCATATCAATCAGTTTTCAAGATAAAGAGTCTTTTAATATACCTTAGTATAAAAACTAAATGAGAATTTTAAGGTCCAATTGGTACATAGAACGGACGGTGAGAGATATTTATTTCCTTGGCAAAGTTTAATATTTTTGCGTGGTCTATCTATTCATTGTGGTCTCTGACTAAATCTCTTCATTGAAATCGAAAAACAAAAATAAGGAAAAAAGTTCATTTTACTAGAAATTTTCGAATTATGATTAACATTTTCTGAACTACACCATTTTTTTTTTTTTTGGGGAGAAAACTACACAATGTTTTATTTTTGTATCATCAATAATATCTTCTTGAAGGGAGAACCAAAAAAAGAGAAGAAGATATCTATCAATCAGGGGAATCTCTTGGTGATTCCAGGAAGCTTAGGTTGAATGTGACGGTGAGGCCAAGGAGTCCAAGGATAAAGTTCGTTAGTATCTTTCATCAACAGACCTTCACGTTTGATCGCTAAAATGCATCTGTAGCCAGGACACCGTCTTCCGAGCGCAGGGCTGATCTCGATATTGAGATTGACATAACCGAGATTAGACCGGAAATGACACCGGTTAATCACCTTTGCGTTCGGGTTAACCCGGTAAAAGAAGAACTTGGCGAAGAAAAGGTCTCCAGGAAGAGACCTAGTCCAGTGTTTCATGCCAATGCTGCACTGGAAACCTGCTTTTGGTTTCTTGATTCCTTTCAATTCATTGATGGCTTCGAAGATCACATTTGTTCCGTCTTTGAGCTCGAAATCGGAGCTGTAATATTCGCTGGGATGGATCGATTCGTAATCAGCGTAATGGTTTATCAGAGGGTTGTCTTCCTCGCCGTTGGTGACTTGTATCACAAGGCCTATACATAATAGGGCTCCAAGAAACAACTTGGTTTCCATTTCCTCTTATTTTTAGCTTCATCTAATTTTTTTCCCCCCTTATATACGAAAAGTGATTTGGTTAGTTATCGAAGCCGTTATGTGCAAGAAGGTATTTGTACGTTCTTTATTTGTCATATGTTTGTTGACATGATTGATAATTATAGTAACTAATTAACCGTTATTAATAATCATGGTGCTATCACGAGTATTACTTGCATAATATATAACAATGCATAACTGGTTATATCAATCAAAACTGACCGGAAAAAAATTGCTACATAATGAGTTAAACAAAATCAATACCAAATTTTATGCCTATCAACGAACTTTTCCATGCCTTACAGATATAAACTACATAACGCTCTCTCAAGGAGTTTTTAGTTTTTTTTTTTCTTGTTTCATAATAAGTTTTTTAGCTTCGACAAACTCTAAGAAAATCTCATATGGAATCTCGATGAACGCGAAAACTCCTCAAAGCCTGTGCTTGGAAGGCAAGGATCTAAGGAATGTGAAAGTTCTTAGTTTTTTAGAACCCTAGACGAAGAAAGAAGTCTTTAGATGTATGTATAGGTAAACAAACATACATGGAAATTTTGGGGTTTACAATCTTAATTGACAATGTAGTAATGATAAACAAATTGGATTGCAATCGAATAACACAACAGAGCAGTATACATGTGTTTAAAAACATTCAACGCATGCATAGTCCTCCAACCTCTATTCGATCATAGGGTGGCTTTGTAGTCAGAGGTTTAAGGAGACAAGGACACGACCACTAGAGACCTCGGCTCATCCAATCATAGTCCGCTTTCTCCCTCGTTGCCTCACTGCATAACCAAAAGTAGACATTTTCAATATTCGAAAACAGAGTTAGTTATAAGAAGGGACGTTGAAGAGGGTTTGATAGAACCTTGCGCAAGCTTGTTAAACGTGGCTGACCATTGCTTTGAGGACTTCCTATAAGCTGTCAGTATACGATCCATCTACATTCCAAAAGCAAAATACGCCATTTGATACAGCAATAGACCCAGCAAAAGTAGTGAATTTATTCATCACTCTTACCACATTCCCACATGAAGAATGCATTGAGAGTAAGGCTCTTTCAAGCACATATAAGTCAACAGCTTTGTCTTCAGGCAAGGTCGATGTGAAACTCAAGCCGAAATCAATTAGTACCTGAGGGAAGACAATATCCATGGTCAGATCATGAACTGTAAGTCGCTAATCGAGTGAGCATATCAGACCCTCTGAAGACACTTACCAGCTGATTTGTTCCGCTTCTGACTAACATGTTTGATGTGGTCAAGTCACCGTGAGCCAAGCCACCATCATGGAGCTTAGCGATGGCCTCCCCAATCTGAGCAGCGACATCATCCAACCGTTCTTGGACAATCCCATTGGCTCCAAACTCAAGGAAAACGTCTTTAACAGAGACGCCCTCAATGTACTCAAGTGTCAAGGAGTGAAGCAGAGGATCCACTGCATAGAGAACTGGAGTACAAACCCCGAGCTTTCTTGCCTTTGTCATACACCTAGCCTCCTATATTCAAAGAAACGTAGGAACATAGAAAATGAACACTTGAATGGATTTCTACTTTTCTTTAAGGATTCAACGAGGAAACAAGAACAGGTGATGCAGAAGAAACCAACAGCATTCAAACGTTTGAGTGTGAGTTTCGAATCCAGAATTGGGTGTCTATATTTCTTCGAGAACCGTTCTTTGACAACGGATCTTCTTCCCACGAATGTAGACTCGAACACCCTCTGAAACAAAACTATAAAGACTTAATTTTTTCAAAAACAAAACAAAACATATACACTGATCCACACAGACACACTTACAGCTTCAGCTCCTTGTTTAATCAGAATGAGAGATTCCTCACAATCCATCTTAACTTTCTTGGGAGTCTGCACAAGCACCAAATCCAATGCAAAGAAAGACACTTGAGAAATTTTTCAAGCTCTATCAATAAGGCCGAACAAAACAGATACCAAATCGCTAGAATTTAACTGCTAAAAAGGATCATACTTATTTGGTCTAAAAACAAATTAAATCTCATCGGAAACCATAATTTTCTACTGAAATTAAAACTCTTAGCTGGGAAACCATGATAGAGACCAAACGAGTTGTCGGAATTAGTTTTGCCGGAGGATAGCCAAACAAGAAAAACCCGAAATTTCTCAGTTCTGGTAACGAAAGAACAAGGAGTGAGAAGCCATGTCAGGGGAAAGAAAGACTAACCAATGGGTCGACCAAAAGCTATCTAAAGCAGCAACGAATCTGGTAAATTAGGCTGAAGAGAAACACTAAAGACGTCGCCGGCAACTTAAAACCCTTCGACGCCCTCCTCTCTCCTTCCTCATACGAAACTCCTAAATTGTGCTTTAAGTCCTTTAATTTTAAGATACCCTCAAACTTATCTCAAATTTCAAAATTATCTCAAAAGTCTTAAATTTTGAGATATTTGGGTTCGAAAGTGTTTTTTTTTCTCTTCTTTTTCCGTTAGGAGTTATACGATAAAGTATACCAAAAAAAAAAAACAATTCCAATTCTTTTTACCAATTATTTTAATGCACGTGTCCTCTCTGCAATCTTTGATTAGCAAAAAGTGAAAGGTTTTACAAATTATAAATTAATTTTGAGTAATATCACAAAGCTTTATTGTCAAATTCTTCTAGATCATAGGTTCCAAAACGTCAAATGCATTTTAATTGTGTATGCTGTCGAATCAATTGTTATAAAATTTTCCACATGCAGCACTATATTTAAGCTCTCAAGATCATGATATTTACAAACTCGATCGCGTTTCAAAAAGCTTCTTAAGACATTAAGTATTTTTTTCTAAATATCATAATATCAGTTGTTTTTTTACAATATTATTTTCCTTCCTTTTGAATTGAATCCTCTGATTTTTCTTTTACCGGAATTGCATTCATGTCGATTTTCGAGTTGGTTCTTGAAATAGAGATCGAACTCAAGGATATAGGGTGACATATGCTGTTATTTGGCATTCTTTGGCTGTGATCTTCACCTCCTTCTTGCTCAGCAAGAACCCTACATTTCTCTCCAAGTATGATTGGACGTACGAGAATCGAATTCTTTGCCTTCAGTTTCCTCTTCCTCACAGATTTATCTTCCTCCCCGTCATGTTTCTTGGCCATCGACGACGCTCTCGGCATTTGGATCGTCAGGCTCGCGCTCAGTTTTTTCTTAGTCGTCGACCCTGATTTTTCTAACACCATGTTATTACACGAATATGTTCCCCGTAACGCTGCTTTTCTAGCTGGAGGCAGCGGAAGCTCGTTATTATCGTCATCAGATGCAATGATATCTCGATCATCGCTTTGCTTGTTCTGCAGATCATTGCATTCCTTGTTCTGCAAGTCATTGCTTGTTTGTTCTCTTTCTTTGGTCTCTAGAGGAGATGACGACTGGTTCCCCGTCTCGACTTTTTCCGGTGGCCGAGTTTTTTCCCTGAAGCCACAAAGGCCGGTGAATAATGCGTAGAAGGGAGCCATCTTGCTTGTACATAAGATTATTCGATTTTAAATTGTGTGTGAAAGGGAAGGAAAAAGTTATTAGTTCTTTTTGGTGTCTGTTTGTGAATTCTTTTTAGTTTTGTAGAGCTATAGTGCTGGAATTAAGGGGATTTTTGTTTCTCAAATATTATTATTAAGATTTGTTTCAATAACTCTTTCTAATTATAGCTTCAAGAAGAAGAAAAACTGTGAGCAGCATGCAGTTTTGTTAGCTAAGAGTTTAATCACTAAAACATATTAATTTTGGGCTTTTTTAGCTGCATTTTAACTACCAAATGTAAGTTCTTTAAAAACAGTTTAGGATCCACTGTCTCAAATTTTATCACTGTTTATTTTTCTCCACCACCCAAAATGCAGAATTATTTGTAATGTTAGCCGAAGTAGATATCAAATTGAAAGCAGGATTAATTAATCCATGAATTCTATAGAAAAAAATGCTGGATATTCTTGTCATTGAAGATATTTACATATTGTGTGAATCTTTTGCCCACAATTCAGACTTGTTTTCTTAGAAAATAATATAAAGACAATATACAAATAAATTGACACAGTTGTATTGCTTTAATATATTGGCTTCCCTTTGGGCTTTTATTTGTCCTTAATCAGATGTACTATGCATTTCAAAATTATTTGGGCATTGCGTCCAAAAATAGTACCATCTGAGAGAGGTTTAATTTTGTCGCCTTGTTCACTCTGGTGTCTGCTTCCTTTTTCCCCGATTTGCTTTTATAACGGCTTCTTGAAAAGTTGGATTTTGCAGAATATTAATGGAGGAAAACCAGAGAAGCAATTTCAGGAAAATTTGTGTTTTTTGCGGAAGTCACTCTGGTTACAGAGAAGTTTTCAGCGATGCTGCAATCGAACTTGGCAATGAACTGGTTTGCTCTTCTTTCTTCTTCTTTTTTCTAATCAAATATCGTTGTGCTGGTGATAAAGATATGAACTTTTCTTGCAAAAGGAACGGAAAAATCAGAACTTTTCTGGTGTCTTGATAGCCAAAAATACAAACTTTTTATAACCAGATTGCTTGTTCTTGTGGAAGATGACAGACATGGGTTGCCTTTTTTTATGTGTTGTGACAGAATTTGCTTTTAAGTGGAAAATGTTTAGATTTGGTGTTTACCCTTTATGTAGTTTATTCCTAGTTTGTGACTCTTTGAATGAATTTTGCTATTTGAAACAAACTTACTTGAGGATGTCTGAATGCAATTTTGTTGATAGTCAGTGATTCTGTTTGTGGCTCTGAAACATGTGTTGTTGTGAATAAATGTATCAGTAGATTTTTATGGCTCTCTAAAGATTGGTGTGAATTGCAGGTGAAGAGAAAGATAGATTTGGTTTATGGCGGAGGAAGTGTTGGGCTAATGGGTCTGATATCTAGGAGAGTCTCAGAAGGTGGTTGTCATGTGCTCGGGTTAGTTTAAGAGTCTCTTCCACTCTCCTTCATTTCCATTAGATGCAGCTTAAAAGTTCCATACATCTAAGAGCATTTTTGTATTGCATCATCTGTAAATGTAGGATCATTCCAAAAGCTCTGATGCCTGTTGAGGTATGTTTACTCTAGAAAACTTGATGAAAAGTTTGAGGGTTGAATTTTGGATTAGGTGTCTTCATTTTGGTTTTTGTTACTTACATTTGGGTCGGATGAGGTTTAGCAGATATCTGGTGAGACTGTTGGAGATGTAAGAATTGTTGAAGACATGCACGAGCGCAAGGCTGCGATGGCTCAAGAAGCTGAAGCCTTCATTGCGCTCCCTGGCGAGTTTCTCTTATTTCGAAAATTCTAGCAAGTTTATATAAGTTTCTTCATTTATTAAAAGATGAATTGGCTTCTTGTTTAATCAGGAGGTTATGGAACTATGGAGGAACTGCTGGAGATGATAACATGGGCACAGCTTGGTATTCATAAGAAGACGGTATTTGACACCATTTCCCTTTTGCTTTAGAAACTGAAAAGCTATTAGTATGTTTGTTTGATGATGTGGGATTGTATTATCTCTGCAGGTTGGTCTTTTGAATGTTGATGGTTACTATAACAGTTTGCTTGCTTTATTTGACACTGGAGTTGAAGAAGGTTTTATTAAGCCAGGAGCTCGTAATATCGTTATTTCTGCCCCATCCGCCAAAGAACTTATGGAGAAGATGGAGGTACCTATACTTTAGATTATACATTTTCTTTTCGAGTGGTTTTGTCTTTTTTTTTTTTTTCAGTTTGTGTACTTCTTGGCAGCTATATACTCCTTCACACAAGCACATAGCTTCTCACCAAACCTGGAAAGTGGAACACCTGGCTGGAGATTCATGACACTGGTGAATTAATCATTCGTGCTTTTGTGCATATGGAACAATCTCTTTAGCATTTGAAACAGCAGTTATGTTTTCAGTCAACAGTGAAAAAGCTTTTGGTTTATGTTTAAGGCCATTATTATTCAGATTTTGGATCATACAGATGTCTTCTTCTTCTTTTTTTTTAATCAATCAGAATGATCTGTCATTTCTTTTGGAGAGAGACATAGTCTAAGCTTGAATAGTGACAGCCTACTCAACTCACATGGAAGCAATCAGAAACTGTCTCTTCAGAAAGCAACTTTGGCTATGACTTATGAGGGCCCTCCTTCATCTCTGTCTCCTATTTACCTCTTTGCAAAATACCCTTTTCTGTCTTCACATTAACCTTAAAAAGTAAAACCAAATAACTTGTCAAGTAATTGATGGTGATGATCTTGATTCTTCAAATACTTTGCAATGTTCAGAACTTTATATTCCTTACAACTCACACGACATAGCCTTTATAGAGCAGAACAGAACTATCACTTGTCATTTTTACTTTTTTGTCCTCTCCCATGATTCTGTAACCGGCCTTTTTTTTTTTACTGACCTCATCTGTATCAATTCTCGAATCACACAAACCGGTCTTGGATGCAATCGGTCTTAAAAAAATGGTGCAGCAGGTGACAATATAAAATAATGAACATTAAATCAATTTAAAATATGATTCCCCATTATTTTAAGAGTATTTTAGTTATTAGTGAAAATGTTTCATACTTTTACTAAATAAATAGAACCAAACATTTCAAAATTATTTTTCGGAAGCATATCCATCCAATCACCAACCGGTCTATGTTCAGGCCACTAACATTAGGATTTGATCTCAGCCAAGGAGGAGGTAACGACATTAATATTTGAAACATGTGAAATTAGAAACTTTAAAGGCGTACACAAAATCTATCAGGATTTCACAATTATATTGCAGTAACCACAAAACGGATCATAAACTTAATCTCCCATTCTCTAGTACGGGACATCGTTTTCACATATTTCTCAATTTTATTTTCATCTTCGTGGTCATTATTTTCTACATCACCTACAGCTCTAAGGTATATATATGTCGCATATATTAATTACAAATATATTATACCAAAATAATGTTTTGCCTTCAATTCTGAAAATCCACATCCGTTCCGAGTGAAATATATGAAAATTAAAGCTATATATAATTTCTGGCATAAGATTTTATGTTTTATACATTTAAAATTTCTAAAAGTGGTGCATTAGTAAAGGAAAAATAAGTTGTTCGAAAGGGAGATGTTGGGATAATAAAGGTTGATCAAAGGGGTACTAACATTATGTAAAGTGGTACAGAATACTCTCTTTAAAGCCTTATAAATATGTCATGTTATATTTTGTTAATTATATCGTTTTCGTTTACTATTCTTTCTTATCTTCTTTCACTATTCCACACTTGCTTAATTCATCTTTTTGTTATTCTAAAACTTCCGGATTCATTTATACATTTTCCAGAACATGAATCATACTTTTTCTTTTGCCGTTAAAATTGTTTTACGGTTTTAGATCACCAATCTGTTAAATAAAATGAAAGTTAGAAAGAAAAAAAAAAGCATGGGAAATGGGAAAGGAATACAAACCGGTGGATGATGAAAGCATAGTGCATTTCAGCATTTGCCAGTGGGAAGTAGGGTCGGAGGACGAACAAACCCCATCTCAACACGTGTCAGGCTGGGCATTCTACACATCCTGTCATGCCGAAAGTGGAAAGATAATGTGAATATGTCATGTCGATCACAAGATTATAGAATATTGTGTCACTCCTATTCCTCTCATATATTATCTGAGGAGTATTTATATATTAAAAAAAAGGAATTGTAACGCTCTTTTGTTTTGTTTATTAAAGTAAATATATATGAAGTTATGAACAATTATGCTTTACCAAAGGTAATGCTCAAAATGAAACGAAACACATTCCCCAAAAATAAACTTAAAAACAGCGAGAAGGATAAGTGCTCAGAAGGGAAAGTTGTCAAAAAGCACAACCATATGCGCGATTCCATATTCGGAAATTTCTAATAATTATTATATATGTATCATGTATGTTGGGGGCATATCCTTTATATACTAAAGCAAATGTTTTTTCTTTTAAATTCCTTTACCCTAAAGATAAGATGCATATGAGCTGAATGAGCATATCTATTTAATTTTGTTACTGCACCCACGACTTAGCAGCATCTCACACACCCACACGCGTTACTATGTATGTTGGCACACACCTCGAATCCTCGATGTTTAGAAAGTATGCATTGGCGGATATACTAATTAGAGAATAATCTGTAACTATTCACTGATAACTATTTACTAAAATTTCAGGGAAAAAATGGAAACAGAATAACTCAGTTACAAAGCAATCAATCGGGTTATCCATAAGCGGATATACTTGGTTAGTGATATAATCTGTAACTATTCACACATTATTTTTATTAAAATTTCAGGGAAAAAATGGAAACAGAATAACTCAGTTACAAAGCAATCAATCTTCAAATGTTGACCGCATTCCGTCGGCTACAAACCAATCAATCGGGCTATCCATATTAATGTAAAATAATATCATTATTATCTTTTAGCTTCCATTATCTCTGCTTTCAGATTATCTGTATCAAATAATTGGAGAAGAGAGAGGATAAAGGTTCCCTTATTTGTTAGGATCTCTCTCGATCTCTCCCTCCCTCTCTCTCCCCTTTTGGCTATAAAAGGCCACAAGAGGGTCTACATTTTTTCCCACAGCAAAAGATTAAAAACACTCATCATATAAGATTTTAGAGCAATGTTCCTCCCTCATGGAATATATATATATATATATATATATATATATATATATAAATATATACTGAGTTTAAAGTAGCAAAATGACAAGGGCTAGGGTTTGTGGTTGAATCATAGATGCGTGTTCTATTAAGAGAAATGAAAGATATATATATATATATATACATATATTTATAGAAGGATGGTTTGAGTGATGAGGAATTGTGGTGACAGAAGAGAGTGAGCACACATGGTGGCTTTCTTGCATATTTGATGGTTTCATGCTTGAAGCTATGTGTGCTCACTCTCTATCTGTCACCCACCCCCTTTCTCTCTCTCTCTACATCTCTCACTATTTCATGTATTTTTTTGAGTCGTATATTTTGATATTCTAGATTTGCCTCTGTTCTTTTGGTTTTACAAAGATGAATCAGCATATTAAAGTAGTAATTATAACCGTATGCCATTAATATGTAGATTTTGTCAATTTTCAGTTATTAGCATTATCAAAATCTCTCTCTTTTTCTTGGTCGAGGATATTTGATTTAGTTCTGTTGTTTTGTTTTTTGATTTGCTATTGTTTTGTTTTTTTGGTAACCCTTACATTTTGAAATCTTTTATTTAGTTTCATTTGTTTTTGTTGCATTACTATTCAATCCGATAATTTAAACCCGTACAATAAATTGGAATTAACTTGACATCTTTGATCAAAACATTTATTCTTGTTCTCTTTTTTTCGATCTTCAGTATAAACTCAACAAATCCTATTATTTGAACATCACTACAATCGCGACTAACGGACAGTACATCACTACCTAACGTAGAAAAATCCGGCATCCGATTTGGTAGATTTTCTCAACTATCTTGGTTGCTATTGTGTAAGACTGTGTATTCACGAGGTAGAAAAATAATCTAAACATTTAGTAAAGCAATATAAAGTTGTTGAGACGGTGTAATCGAAGTGGCTGCGTCTGAGATGTTAATTAGCTGTTCCCTGCCCTACCCATGCCTTGCTTCATTCTTTTTGTTTGCTTTTTCAATTTGCAGAGTTTGTGGATCTAGTCTTTAAAAAACAAAACAAAAAAATCTTCAGGTCATCGAAAACCCTAGATTCCCCAATTCCTTTTTCTATCACCAAGACACCTACCATGCATTAAATAAATTTTATTAAAAAATTAGAGACGTTATAATTGCATACAAGTACAGATGTAATCATTTAGGAATTTAATAAGAAAAATGGTTTAGCCTTGTATCGGTTAAAATTTATGGTGTAATCTCTTACATTTGCACGTTTTTATGGGTTCATTATCCCACGCTATTTGTCTCAATACCTGTCTCCACTTAAAAATGAATCTCAATATCAATATGATGCATTTTGAAAGTGTAAGTTGTGAAAACAAAGATTTATGAGGAAGATGAGATAAACTCGGTTCGAATTCTACCATGAGCCATTGCATAAATTGTACATGAAGTTCATTACTTTTGAGAATATTTCAAACAATTTTCTTGATTAAACAAATAACCTTGTCATAACCATACGCTAGTTCTATCATAAACTTAAATCAGCGTCATTCCCTAAGTTTTTAAGTCGAATAAGTTGTGGGACTACATCCTTACCAAGATCAGGTCTATCTCTTTTTCTTAGCTCCGCACATTTCAACGATAGAATAGCAAAAGATTGAGCTTCTTGTAGTGGCCAATCAGACACGACCGGATCAAGCATTTCCTTGAAAGTTCCTCTACTGATTGCCCTCGCAACAAGGTGAGCAAGCCCCATGGGTGGTTTTGCGGTTATAATCTGGAGGAGCAATATTCCCAACGAGTATATATCTGATTTCGTGGTCAACTTTCCTGTTTGCTGATATTCAGGGTCTATGTAACAGAATGTTCCTGCTGCAGATGTCATGTGGTATTGCGTGACGCTATCAGCTACTGATGCGGGGACTAACCGGGCTAAACCAACATCGCTGATCTTGCTCACATAGTTTTTGTCTAAGAGTATATTTCCCGGTTTGAGGTCTCGGTGAACCAAAGGTTCTGGTTTAGCATGATGAAGGAATGAGAGGGCAGTAGCTATATCAGCCGCTATTTCAAAACGTTTCCTCCAAGAAAGCGGTTGAGAATTCCCTCTGCGTAGGAGTCTGTCCTCTAAGCTCCCATTTTCCATAAACTCATAAACCAAGCATCCATATTCTGGACATGCACCAAGGAGAAGGACCATGTTAGGATGTCTTATGCAACTAAGAACCTCAACCTGTAAAATGAGAGTGTACAAATCATGAGATTAAAAACTTAGCAATCTTGGATAATAAATTATAAAGAAGAAGAAGGAATCTCTACTTCTTGTTGAAATTGCTTTCTTCCTTGAGCAGCATCAGGTCTCAAGACTTTGATAGCAACAGGAGTATGGTCAAGTTCGCCTTTGTACACAGGTCCATATCCTCCTTCTCCAATTTTCCTATGATTTCCAAACCTCTCTGTGGCTTCTTCGATCTCTTCTATCGTATATCTTCTGTAACGAGCATCGTTATGCGCCAAAGCAGTCATTGCTCGGTCTTTGTCCTCTTCTTCACTTCTTGCTTTCATCTCTGCTTGCTTCCTTCTTTGTCCTTCTAGCTCTGCCATTCTTTGTGCTTTCTCGGCTGCTTCTAAGGCCGTTCTACACTTTGCCTTCTCCATTTCTGCAACTGCCAATGCTGCTTCTTCAGAAAGCCTAGCTTTCTCGAATTTACGTGCTTCTTCTATTTTCCATTGATTTAGCTCGTTTGCCTAGAAAGAATAAAAATAAAATGGCTATGAGTGCCATATGCAACAAGAAACTTACCTCAAATTTTTACTACGCACTTTCTCTATTTGTATAATTTCTTATATATTATACATAAAATTAGTAAAGAAGTACCTTTCTTTTTGCTGTAAGTGCTTCTTTACAAGCTGAGCTGTACATGTCCATAGTTTGTTTGAGTTCAATCTTTAGCCTTCTCATTTCAGCTTCAATATCTTTCTGCGAATAAAATAGCAACAATGATGGACTAATTAGACCTTCTAATTAATCTTAATTCTTAAACTCAGAAAAAAAATCATTCAAGAAAACGTACAGTTGTTTGAGGAATTGACTCGTCTGAAGAACTCGATGCACCATAGTAATCTAAATTATGAGCAGAGAGATCAATGGAACCTATCATGCCTAAACCACCTTCAGATTCATCGGAAAATGAACTTTGTATTGTCGGTTTCCTTTGGAACGAAACTTGAGTAAAGCCGTTGTTGAAATCGGTCGACTCATTCTTTTTAGGGTTTATCTGCCTTTGTTGCGTTGTGTTGAAGGCACGATTGTGCGGATATATCTCTGTAGATTTTCTCCTTGCGCTACGTTGAACCCTTAAATGTATAAAGAAACCTTTATTAGCATGTGCACGTGGAGCATTCGAGCAACATCATCCCACAATTGTTTGGTTTATCCAAAAAAAAAAGAGTGCATGATTAAAGAAACCAAAGCTTAGTTTTATACCTAGGTACAAAATCTTGCTCGCTATCGGATAAAGATTGGATTAGAAAGCCAGAGGAGGGAACACGAGGAGGAGCAAGCGTATTAGTGATAGGTCTTTGAGCCGGTCGAGATGACACAACTTTCCCTTTAGAAATTACGTAGACCGAACAAAACTCAGGCGTCGATTTCAGTATGCTAGCTTGCACCTCATGGGGTTTGCTAAACATAAGAGTCCTAGCAAATGCGTTCTTGGAGGATGATCCCAACACAAGATTGTTAACGAGGTTGTTATTAACATAGTCCAAGATTGCTTTTGCCACGTCCGAATCCTCTAGAATAACCTCCGTCATTGAAATCTACTAATTTAGAGTGCGTTAAAAACATTTTTTCATTTTTGCTTGAGAAAAAAGAAAAACAATGCTCAAATTTAATGAGATGGAAGAAGGATTATATACATACCCCTTTTCTTGCACAATATCCTCGATATGGAACAAAAAGCTGATTTAGATCATCATTATTAAAGTTGGCTCCGTTTCCTCCATCTGCAAATTACTCAAAAAAAAAAAAAAATCTTCGACATTGACACACATGATTCTACTGATTCCAAGAAACTAATTCAAAGATTATAAGAGAATGACCTACGATTTGAGATTTTGTGACGAACATGGAGCAAGGTTATGAATGGATTATGAATTGCAGTGAAGAGATGGTCGACAGCCCAACGAACAGCGTAATGACTTTGCTTCTCTTTGTCGATGGCAATCACTGTCGAGTTTACCGGAGAATGAATATCGTCTGAGGAGTACGGTGTAGTCATCATCGATGGAGTACAACGCAAGGCAGAATTATTTTTAGGGGTCAATAGAAGAGAAAGGTGTCTTTGCTTGTTGTTTACGTCTATCCTCTCAAATTCAACGGCTGGTGTAATTAATATGCCAATAACTAACTATCCTTAAACTTAGCTGAGTAAAGGACAAGACATCAAGTCTCAACCATTGATTTGGATCTCCTTTTTTTTCGTTCAAAAATAAAAAAGGTGACAGCTTCAAGATTTGTAATTATTTGCTTTAAAGTTGATTTTTTAAATTAACTGACGTTTGTCGAGTTGTTAACTGAGTAAATTAAATAACTCATAATTTACATTTTAAAAGAGTTTTTTTTTTGTCTTCAAATAACATGCAACATATCTTTGTTACATCATTTCTATTACTAGCTGTATTTGAAAATCCTCTTTAATTTTATAATACATAGCAGCAGAGCCGGCCTTGAGTCCAAGCAAACCAAACATGGGCTTGTGGTCTCTATGTTTACATGAAAATTTTTAAAGATAAAACAGCCTATTTTTTGAAAAAAATATGTAAAACAGCCAATTTTTTGTTTTATAGCGGGCAGCCCATGCAAAAAATATGCAGTTCAGGGCCAACTCTGCATAGCAGCCTAAATTAAATAAATATAGCCATGCTTTATTTTGTTTTATGTAACTGATTTACACAATCTGTTTTATTTTCTTTAATTTTAATTGATCTCTTTATTATCACTTTAGTATTTTTTGATAATTCATTTTTCTTATGAATTATTTCAGCTTGATACTTTCTTTATTAGCTTCAGATCGAGATTTGTAATTTTGTATGTTAGTCAAATTCTCTAAAAACATTCTATAGTGTTTCTATTCAGGAAAAGACTTCCTTAAAAAGTGGATGGCAACTGCGTGCTGTCTTTAAACTGCAAAATACATAAATGCATGCCGTTTTCTGTGCGATTGGAGAACAGAAAAACAACACACATTTGTCTCGCTTAGCTTCATCTTCATCTTTCTCATTAGTCATGCCGCTCTGCCTCCATGGTTACGTCACTGCTTCACCAACTACAACACTATTTTTGGACCCACCAAATCATGTGAAGAAGCCCTACCAGCGAACTCAAGCATTAAATTTACTCACGCTTTTCCCGTGAAGATCTTTAAAATTTTCTATTTTTAGAATCCCGAGGAGATCTCTGATTGTTTAGTTTCCGCGCTCTTCCAAAATCATTGGAAACTGGTAAGAATAAGAACAGATTTATCTGCTTCTGGGTTAGATTCTTTGCTTCTAGTAGTAGCACAAAGCAAGTAAACAATTGAAATCTACTTGGATTATATGCTCTTTCGTTTGAATCTGCAAGCAACTTCATTTGAGACTAAACCCGTTTCAAGTTTCGTACTTTCGTTCCGACTTAAAGGATATGTTAGGATTCGTTGGCTTGTGATTTTTGGAGCAACGATTATTTCCATTCCTTTTAGTATTATAAACTTTGATTCTAAATTTGTTTAATTGAATTTTTCAGCATTGCTCGATTGTTGGCTCCGGTTTGAGATTTGATGACTTGATCAAAGAATGTAAGCAATGTCCTCTAATGAGAGAGAAGATTCATCGGCAGATTCCTACAATGGACAGCTGTTGAGGGACATTAAGGAGGTAAGTAGAGCTCTTTACTTGAACAATGCACCTCAAAGACCAGTGCTTTCGTTGCCTCCTGTCCGGTCTAAATCTGTTTCCAGAACTTGTGCGTCGGTTAGTACTCTAAGTTCCGGTCAGGGAACCACAGAAATTGGGTTGTTATTGCCAAATAAGAAGAAGAAATCCTTTGTACCATGGGATTGGAAGAAACCCTTGAAAGCCATAGCTCATTTTGGGCAGCGTAGGTTTGATGTGTGTTTTCGTCTCCATGTTCATTCCATTGAAGGACTACCTTCAAATTTGGATGGTACTAAATTAGTTGTGCAGTGGAAGAGGAAAGATGAAGTGATGTCCACTCAACCTTCCAAGGTTTTGCAAGGAACTGCCGAGTTTGAAGAGACCTTAATGCACAGATGTTCAGTATACGGTAGCAAACATGGGCCTCATCGTTCTGTAAAATATGAAGTGAAGCTTTTTTTGGTCTCTGCCTCTCCTGTTGATGCTCCCTGGCTTACTCTAGGGAAGCATTGGGTTGATCTCACCAGGATCTTACCGCTGTCTCTAGAGGAGCTGGAAGGTGCAAGAAGCACTACAAAATGGAACACGAGCTTCAAGCTATCTGGCCTGGCAGATTCCGCGGTGTTGAATCTTAGTTTTGATTACTCGGTTGTCACCAGCTCAGTCTGTGATTCAGCTAGTGGAAATGTGATGCTGAAGCGGGTTGGTAGTGTTCCAAGTATGGACCATAGATCTTCAACGCTTGATGATGGAAAGGTCTCCCATCAACTCTCGTCGAATCTGAGTCTGGATCTTTCCCAGTCAATAGATTTTCTCTACGAAAAACTCAGCGAGGAAAACCCACAAAGGTCTACAGGAACTGATATAGAGTATGAGCATCTGGCGAAAACTAAGGTAGACATAGGTTTGGAGACTGACAAGCAAGCAGATGACTCTGACGACACTGAATTTGCTTTCACGGGAAAAGGATTAGATATATTTCAGCAAGAAGTATCCAGGCTGGAAGAAAGTACTGATCCAAAAATGGAGTCCTCGGAAATTGAAATTATTGATGTCCATGAGTTACTTAAAGATGAAGATGCAGCCTTTTCCGAGGAAACCCATTGTCGTGATCAGTTATCAGTGGCCGAGCCAAAAAGTGGAGCAAGCAATTTCTTGCCAAAACATTCAGTTTTTGGAGGATCCAAGTCTGTTTTCAGTAGCCAGGTGATTTCTGAGTCATTTGAGATTAATTCTTCATCGGCCAAGGATGATTCTACTGAGAAAGATAATTTTTTGGAAGTTAATTCTGGTTACAAAGCTGCAAAAAGATCAGCAAAGTCACTAAGCTTGGATGACATTACTGAATCTGTAGCTAATGATTTTCTAAACATGCTGGAATTTGAGGAATGTTCTTATGTTTATACCTCAGATACATCTCCTCGTGAATATCTGCTTCGAGAGTTTGAGAAGGAGGCTCAGGTTTCTGGAAACTTTCTCTTAGATATAGATGGAGGAGCAGAATATGTGTCTGATATTGATGAGGCATCGAATGATTTCTCGTTTTCTTCAAGTTCTTTGGGTGTTGGGGAAACCAAGCGTGAGGTAAAACCTCAGCTGTTAATAAACAGAAGGAATGCCAAAATATTTGAAGACTTGGAAATTGAAACTTCAATGCAAGAGTGGGATTTAAATGACAACAGTTTTAACAACTCTCTATGTGTTTGCTCTGATGGGTTTGGAAGTCCAATAGAGCTTCCGGTTGACGAGGGATTAGATTTGCCGCCACTTGCAGATAACATTGGTCCTTTTGTTTGGACAAATGGGGGAGGCTGTATCCGGTCCATGAATCCATTACTGTTCAGAAAGTGTAAGGATGCATCACATCTGATCATGCAAGTTTCAATTCCGGTGGTACTAGTACCAGAATTAGGTTCTGATATCCCTGAAATACTCCAAAGTTTGGCAGCTTCTGGAATTGAAGGGTTTTGCTCTGAAGTTAATGCATTAATGCCTTTGGAAGATATTACGGGGAAAACAATACATGAAGTTATCGAGGGCGCAAGATTTGAAAGGTTTAGATGCTTTCTACCATGTTGATACATTATGCATTATATTTCTACTTTCCAAGTTCATTCTAATAAGATATAATTGTTATTTTTGTTTCCATGAATTGCAGAATTGTAAATGATGCCACGTTTCATAAACCATCAGGACAGCTGGATTTGATTCATTCAAAGGAAAAATTTGGGGGCTTTGGATCCAATATGTGTTCAGGTTATGTACCTCTTGAAGCTCTTGCTTCCTTGGCTATCGATGGGATAGAACTTCTCTCGGTAGAAGGATTAAAGATTCAATGTAGCATGTCAGACCAAGATCCACCATCAGTCATTGCACCAAAACCCATGGATCAGTCGGAGGCAATAGAGTTAATTAGTTTTTCATTAACGTTGGATGAGTGGTTAAGGCTTGAACATGGCACGTCAGACACCGGAGATCAAACCAGCAAGCATACGAGAGAGAAAAAGTTAGCGCACCGTGCCTATCAAGATCAAGCTTCTAGTGGAAAGGGTCATACTTTCGGGAACAAGTTGACACTTGCTTTCCGTGTGTTACTTAGAGATCCATTCCGAAATAATGAGCCTGTTGGTGCATCTATGCTTGCTCTGATCCAAGTTGAAAGGTCTTTGGTTTCCTCAAATCCATCTGTGTGTGGTTTGGCTCAAGAAGAAAGAATTAAGGAGTCCTTTGAATATGATACATATTTGTGGAGAATCACTGACATTAGTCTTGCGGGTTTGAAAACTGAGCCTGGTGTAGATCATCAGTGGTGTACGAAAACCCAGCAAGAGTCTGGATCCCGCTGGTTACTTGCCAGTGGTAATGGTAAAACCATCAAGTGTCAAGCTTCGAAGTCAAAGGCGACCATTGTATCAAACGCACAAGCAACCGGAAAGAACTTGGACACATTGTGGAGTATAACAACCGATACGCACAATCAAGAAGGTGATTTGAGTAGCTCTGCTGCCTTTGTTCCATTTACAAGAAATTCAGACGTGATATTTTCAAATGAAATAACAAAATGATTGTGATAGTAGCATTTCCATTGGCGTTTTATTTTATAGTTTGTTTCCACTCTCTGCTTAAGAACCAGTCATTTTGATGCGGAAGCAGTCCCGATCATGATGGAAAATGCTTAGCCATCTCCCCTGATCGTAGTTGAAAGAAGTAGATATAGATGTCATCAGTTTTATGAATGTGTATGAGAAATATTTTGTTTGGTAAATATACTCCATTTGATAAATCAAAGTCTTCTCTTTCATCTATGCTAGTTTTTTTTATAAAAAAGTTGATAATATTTTTCCAGTTACTCAAAATTTATGATTTCCCGTCTGGAGTGTAAATAGTGCCTTTAGAAATCACTGTGATAAGAAGACTCGACGTCATAGGAGAAACATGTCGATTGGTCTCCATCTCACTCCGGGAAGATCAAGGCTGAATTCAAGGTATGTTGCATGGTAAGTGACCGCTCTGTAATTCTCTGTAATGGCTCGTTTTCGGGTATTGAATAAATTGTGATGCTCTCTCTGTTTATTGTGCACGGATTCTCATTATTTTCTCTTGATTACTTATGCAGATTCACAGCTGGTAAGAAGCCATTGTATTCATGTTTGTCTGGTAATTTCCTGCTTATACTTGCATTGATAATTTATGAAATGATATGAGGTTCTCGGGACTATATTTCTGATTCTCTCAATAAGATGCTACTATAGATTCAGAATATCATAAATCTCTCAAAATATGTGAACCTGTCAACCAGTTTACATTGCATATAAGGAACTAGAAGTAGTACAAGTATGATAACCATAGAAAATCTGTCTCAAGAACAGATTCAGAAGGTGAATACTCTAAATATCATGGTTTCACAATCTTTTCTCAAACCAAGCATTCTTGCATTGGCAGCCATAAATTCAGGAAAAATCGAAGAGTTGATAAAATTTTGAAGAACCTCAGTTCATGCTTGAGTGATTGTGGGAGCCCTCGTAAGTTGTTATCACAAAGCTCGGGTCATCTCTATCTCTTTCAACCCTTTTCTTCACGGGACAGCCATCAACTGAACATTTGAAGTAGTTTCTGCAAATTACATGGAAATTGATTTTCAGGTCATACAAGCGGATTGCAATGTCTGAAAAACAGCTCAACTCTAACAAGCATGCCATTTTTTTGGCTTTTCTTTAGAATCAAGGGAACTGAGTGATCTTTCTGTGTGTGTTTTTGGTCACAAGAGTATGAAAAGGTGGTAAATAAGAATTGAGAAAATGTATTCCCTACCTGGGGTTTGGGCTGTTCTTTACCATCTTCTTCCCATACTTTCTCCACTTGAACCCGTCATCAAGCACTTCCACCTCAGACCGTGTCTTGAATGCAACTCTCTCTTTAACTTTCTTCTTTTCTTTCTTAATTTGGTTTTCTTGCACTAGGAAAAAAAAATAGATTTAGCATATAATGAACAGTAACTTCCATTTTGATTCACCTTAAAAGTCTAAAGTCCAAGTCCTTATGTCTAAGATCTGCAGACGCTTTAATCAGGGGATTTATGTCTGCCTTTCGAACACATAAGGTTGATAAAATCCTCAAAGATCACAACCATAGCTTCATATGAATCATTTTCATTTGGAATGATCCTTTCTTGTATGGTTTCCACAGAACGAAAGAAGAAACTTACCTGTAGAAGCAGCGGGAGGAGAAGCGTTGGTACTTGGAGATTCGTGATGACTGAAACAGCTAGAAGAACCGGAGAAGAAAGCAGCAGCATCATCACCATAAGAATGGTTCATCCCGGTAACCGCAGACACAAGATCATCGTCCATCCATTCATCTGACAAGTATAGCTCCGGAAGCTTGAACCCTGTGTGAGTATCATCACTGGAACTCCTCGCCAAGTTTGTCTCTGCATCATTCATAACTAACTCAATACTGTTTATGCATATAAAGAATGGTTGAGTGCCTATATGTTTTAGTGAATTAACTTTCGAAAGGAAGCTTCAAGGTGAGTGTTTAATGTATAATTGTAAAAATGTGTACAACTTCATAAGGAAACTTACATAGGAAGATGATGCTCTTTGGTCTTTTTTCCTTTTACAACGACTTGTGGTTGACTTGTGTCTTGGTCCACGACTATTCTTTTTTTTCAAAGTCTTTTTCATAAGTCTCGTCGTGCAAGGACTTAAGGCTGAAGTTACGCTACCACAAATATGACCATCACTCAGAAAAACACCTATTTTTTTATTTCAAGCAAAAAATGACATCGTTGACTGAAACTAAATGACAAAAGATGATAAATTATCTATGCATTTGACTGTTGAATTTATTTTCAACTTTTGGTTCTTTTTTCGTTCATAGGTAAGTAATAATAAGTTAGAAGTTTAAAACACTTCGAATTTCATAGTCAAGCAGACTTTGTTTATGTATGTATTTCATTCTCCCTAGACCCTAGTAATTCGTCGTAACTTATGCCGTGCGTTCAAACGGTGCGTTTAAAGAGCTATGACTTGCAAACGGTGCACTCAAAAGAGCTAAGACTTGAAAACGCTGCGTTTAAAAGAGCTCAGACTTAAAAACGGTGCGTTTAAAAGAGCCAAGACTTGAAACGGTGCGTTTAGGGGCTAAGACAAAGAAGGTCAGAACTCAGAAGGGGTTTAGTTTTGTGAGAGGACTCTTTGAGTGTATTATGGCGCGTCACAAAGCAAACGCGCCGCCGCGAGTCACACGACAGCCGGCCAAGCAAAAGTTTTCCGGCGCCGAGAGATCAGCTCTGTTCGCCAGAAGGGAAGCTGCTAATGTGCTCCGGACCGTTCTCCGAGGTGACGCCGACCGCCGAGCCGTCGCTTCCATAAAGTCACTCGTTTTCAGCCCTTCCGTACGCAACAAACGCGCCACTTTCGCTCTCGTTTGCGAGACTCTCAAGCGTATGTCAACTTCTTCTTTCTCTTCCGAAGCGAGAATCATGCTTCCTCGCTAAAAGTTTTGATTTTTGAGCTTTGAGTAAAATATGTTCTGCTCTTGGTAATTGAAATTAGTTTTGTCTGTATGCAGATCTTAATGTGATAAAGGATGTTCTGGAAATCGCTAACATATTGAATAGTAAATGGAAGGTATGTGTTTGATCGTAATTGCTATCAATGCTGCTTTCACTTACCCTTCAATGCTTAGTTTTCCTTTTGGTTTTCTTCTTTTGTTTGTAGAGGCAAGAGCCATTGGTCTACATTATTTGCTACGATATCCTTTTCGGAAAGGTAATAGCTTAATTCAATCCTTAGCAATGCTCAAATTAGTAAGCTTTTCTCAAGGGGACTTGTAATTGCAGGATACTCCATCAGTTGGTGATGCTGAGAAGATTCTCATGCGCCATAAAGATGCTTTGCTGTCTGGTCTAGCCACGCTTCTAGTGAGAAAGAAAGTTGAAAGCGTAGATGAGTTGTTGGGTCTTTCTCAGCTTAAAGGTATTTTCAAAATACCATTAACTTGTTACCTAGTATTTATTTTCTTGACTTCTTTTCTATATCTTGATTTCAAAATTGGATGCAGGTCATGTAAAACCACGTTATGTTCGTGTAAATACACTCAAGATGGATGTAGATTCGGCAGTGCAGGAGCTAGAGAAACAGTATAAGGTACATTCCAAGCTTTTAATAAACTTTGAAGAATAAAATTTGGTGTAATAATCTACTCTTTGTTTATAAAACAGGTGCAGAAGGATGAGACAGTTCCTGACTTGTTGGTGATGCCCCCTGGCAGCGATTTGCATGCTCATCATTTGGTTATGAATGGGCGTATATTTTTGCAGGTAAACGGTGGATGCTCTTTTTAAATTCTGTTTAATATATAGTTAATTTTACTGATAGTTTTTCCTTTGAAAAATAGGGGAAGGCAAGTTCAATGGTAGCAGCGGCACTGCAGCCACAAGCAGGATGGGAGGTAGGCCACAATTCTCACCCACTTTTTCCATATGATGAAACACACATGACAATAGAATTTTTTATCTGGTGATTTTGAAATACACTTACTGTATCCTGTCTGCTTATTTTTGCCTCTTTTGTGAAGGTTCTTGATGCCTGTTCAGCTCCAGGAAACAAAACTGTTCATCTTGCTGCTCTTATGAAAGGACACGGAAAAATCATAGCATGCGAGCTAAATGAAGAACGTGTAAAGCGTTTGGAACAGACTATAAAGCTGTCTGGTGCTACCAGTATCCTTCTATAGCCTTCTTTCACGTATAACCCTTTTAGCTTCTGTTTGGTAATTTTATCCCAAGTGAGTTAAATTAAATCGAATTGAAAAACAAGTTTGATTGGTCTCATGTCATGTCTGTCCATGATTGCTTTTCTTAACCCCAAGTTGTGTAGATATTGAAGTCTTTCATGGTGATTTTTTGGGCCTAGATCCGAAAGATCCTTCTTTTGCAAAGGTAAGCATTATGTAGTCTGTATGGCTCTACTTTTCTTGTAGTTCCATGAAATATATCCATACCAACGTCTTTAGGATCATTTCTTGATTTTAGATCTTCTTTAGCTGGCTGCAATGAGGATGTATATCGTCCCAGTCCAATTTCTTTTATTTTCTGTTGTGTAGATATCCTACCGTGAAGAGTCCCTCTCTGAAATGAATAACTGTCTAGTGTTCTATAGCAGAAGCAGATGTTTTCATTTGAACCATTGTTCTGCATGCTTGCGTGATTATCGCAGGTTCGGGCTATATTATTAGATCCTTCTTGCTCTGGCTCGGGAACAATCACAGATCGTTTGGACCATCTCCTTCCTTCTCATTCAGCAGGTATTTACTGATCCTTCTCTCTCTCTCTCTCTCTCTGTGTGTTATGGTAACTGGATCTTTAAGACACTTTTTTCGATGTAGATAACATGAACTATGACTCCATGAGACTGCACAAGCTCGCTGTTTTCCAGAAGAAGGCTCTTGCTCATGCGCTCTCCTGTGAGTTTACATACTTTTCTCATGTTGGTGAAAGCAATAAATATCGTTGCTACCCTACCAGCTAATCTTTATGTGGCTTTTACTAAGCTTTTGACGAATCTCCCTAACACATTGATCCATGTTTAATTTTCCCTCACAAACCATATAATTGTATGTTCAATTAGTACTCAACCTATGCCTATACACTGTAGTTCCACATGTTGAGAGAGTAGTATACAGCACATGCTCCATCCATCAGATAGAAAACGAAGATGTTGTCTCATCTGTTTTACCTCTGGCTTCATCCTTTGGCTTCGAACTTGCTACCCCTTTTCCTCAGTGGCAGCGTCGTGGTCTCCCTGTATTTGCCGGATGTAAGTATCGCCCTGACCATCTGGTTTCACCTGACTGACTCTGTTTCTAACTACTTGACCATATTGGCTTTGGTTTGCAGCTGAACATTTACTTAGGATGGATCCAGTCGAGGACAAAGAAGGGTTCTTCATCGCTTTGTTCATTAAGACAAACAAACTCAATAACCCAACATCGTCTGAACTTCCCGAGAGAGAATGTAGAAGAAGACGCAAACAAAGAACCAAACAATATCATCCGTTTCTTTGGCCCAAAGTGTTTTTTAGAGCTTGGAATGGGAGCTTACACGGGCGTAGGAGGAAACCCGTATGAAGAACCAACTCAGAAGACCAGGTTCCTATTCTCATGTGATAGTTGTCAAATTTTGTTCCTGCCTTTGATCTTCATGTTGTCATCGAAATTTTTGCAACAAAGGCATGAAAGAAATATCGGAAACCTCTTAAACTTTTTTATTCACATTGAAATGCACTTTATTACATTCAGTTTACATTAAAACCGAATACATTATAGAGAGCAGACGTGAGCACAAACCCAAAATTTGAATAATATGGATTGAGATTAATCCTCCTCTCTCAAGACATTAGCCATTCTACTTATCATCTAAAATCCCTTAACTTTCAATTGCAATCCAGACTATTTTTTGGACTTTTTAAACGGCTTATCTAGTTTTGTGTAACTGTAGTTTACACCAACTGGACAACTCCCTCTAACAAGGGGAACCATTTGTCTACCACTTGATTAGTCTCTATTTTTTTAGATTTGTATACATCAAATTGTCGATACAAAAACGTTTATTGATAAATACATTAAATGAGAATCCCACATTAAGCGGCAAAAAAAAAGAAAATAAATGTGAACAGCCAAAAAAAAAAAAAGAAATTGACCCATAGAATGATATACAAAGTGGGCGATCCGACAGAAGCCAACTCCGCTCAGGCTGATGTAACCTTAAAAGCCGCGGGTTTCTCGAACCTAAACCAACCAACATTTGCCGCGTGTCCAATCATCCTCCTTCCCATATTTCTCTGTGTCTTGCACCCTTTTGAGTCCGTTAAAGGCCACTCCTTTTTGTGTTATCCAATATACGACCCATCGTTTTGGCTCTCTCTCTCTATTTCCATGTACGTATATTTTTTTAATAATATATTCTCTATCGAGTTCATAGTTTCATAAATTAATAAATCCACAGAGATTTTCTTCTTCTTCTGGTTTATAATTATATCTACTCTTCTCCACAAGATATTTCATCTAAGACTAGTGAATGAAGAAAGCTACACAATTTTAGCCTGTCTCTCTTTCTTGATCAATTCAATCATACAATCCATTTATCTTTCTTGCTTTTGAGCACATCAATAACAGTATTTCAAGCTGGAATCTTGATTGGTTTAACGAAAGATTAGCTGAAAATGAGTTTAGGTGCTTTGATGAGAGAGGAGAAGAGAGCAACAACGTCATCTTCTCAGGTACATATGCCCAAGGATATAGACTGGCAAATGCTTGATAAATCCAGGTTTTTCTTCCTCGGTGCTGCTCTCTTCTCCGGAGTATCCACCGCTCTTTACCCTATCGTAGTCCTCAAAACAAGGCAACAAGTCTCACCGACCCGTGTCTCCTGCGCCAACATTTCTCTGGCGATCGCTAGACTCGAGGGTCTAAAAGGTTTTTACAAGGGCTTTGGGACATCTTTGCTTGGAACCATCCCGGCTCGTGCTCTCTACATGGCAGCACTAGAGATAACCAAGAGTGGTGTATGCCAAGCAACTGCTAGGTTAGGATTGTCGGATACAACAGCTATGGCTGTAGCCAACGGTGCAGCCGGTTTGACCTCCGCCGTGGCTGCTCAGATTGTCTGGACACCGATTGATGTCGTGAGCCAACGGCTCATGGTTCAAGGAGATCTTTCCTTGAATAAACATCTTCCTGGAGTGATCAGTTCTTGCAGATACACAAATGGTTTCGATGCTTTTAGGAAGATTCTTTACACGGATGGACCAAGAGGATTCTACAGAGGATTTGGTCTCTCGATCTTGACTTACGCGCCTTCAAACGCTGTTTGGTGGGCGTCCTATTCTTTGGCTCAAAAATCTATTTGGTCTCGGTTCAAGCATACATATGGCCGCAAGGATGATGCTGGTGGCTCAATGGTGGTTCAAGCGCTGAGTGCAGCCACAGCAAGCGGTTGCTCGGCTTTGATAACTATGCCTGTAGACACAATCAAGACGAGGTTGCAGGTCTTAGACGCAGAAGAGAATGGGAGGAGACAAGCAATGACTGTGATGCAGACAGTGAAGAGTTTGATGAGGGAAGGAGGATTTGGGGCTTGTTACAGAGGGTTAGGACCGAGGTGGGTTTCAATGTCGATGTCCGCAACCACAATGATCACAACCTACGAATTCTTGAAGCGACTGGCCACAAAGAAGCAGAGATAATGATTTAGATAAATCATTCATAGTCTCAGTTTCTCTGTTTCTTGTGATACGATGAGGAAACGTAATGGCAAAAGAGTTTAAGAAGAATGTTTTCCTCTCTAATAAACAAACATAAAACAGGGCAATGATCAAACCCTAAAACACAGAGTTGTCTCCCTCAATGACCATTTGTAACAATGATACCTAAATGTCTTCCTAAGAAGGCGAAAAGAAGAGGCTAACTTGCGCCTAGATTACCAAATCAACATGAAGTCTTAACCGACAAATCTGATCTAACCAAACAGTTAAGCTGTTGTTGTTCATCATATGCAAAGCAAAATACACAGAGGCGGCAATTAAAACGAGTTTAAGAGCGAGCCCTCTTGTTGCTGCAAGATGGGCACTTGTACTGCTTGATGTGTTCAGCCCTGGCTGGTGTTATCTTCACACACTTCCCATGGAACCAGTTCTCACAAAGGTCACAGCAGATCCAGAACTCATCGGCGGCATAGCTCTCACCACATGCCCCACACTGTGTCTCCCCTTGCTCATCCTCATCCTCCTCTTCCACACCTTCCTCTTCCTCTTCATCTTTGGGCTCTGCCTTTGAGAACTTGGGCCGCGGTTCTGATCCTCGCTGTAATTTAAACCAGAAATAGGACAAAGGATTTAGTTAAATGGAACCAAAAACAGTGCACGTAAAGAACATAGCAGAAAGAAAATCTCCCATGTTTTTACCTTGGAGTTTGATTTGGATCTGTTGCTGCTATTGTTGGAAAAAGAGGATTTGTCCTTTGACTGTTTCTTTGCAGTTCCAGCCACGACCTCGAAAATTGTTGGGAGATCATTCATCATGTTAAAAAGCCGTTTCCTGCAGCAAAAGGTGGAAGAAGAACATCAATCACAGAAAACTGCATAAACTGTGAAGGAGTAGAACAATGTGAGGCTCGACAAGAGCGTGTGGTATCATGCAAGATTAAAAACGGCGTACAAGAAGATAATCTAAAAAGCTCTAGTCATAAAAAAAAAGGGCTTGTAGTTTGAAAAGAACAAGCATACCTATCAGCTTTGTCAAATCCAAACCTGGCTCCGAAAAAGAAAGAAACTGCAAGAAGCCATGCATCACTGTGGACAGCAACAAGGGACAACCAATCCTTTTCCAGCATCCCGTCTCTGGCAAAGTTAATACCCAAGACCGGCTCTGGCAGCTCCGGGGGAACCTCTTCAGCTGGTAAATTCACTTCCCAGTGCTCGTTCGGGTGCCCATAAAGGCACAGGTTCTCCTTTTCTATAATCACAAAATGAAAAAAACAAATGAGGACATTAGGAAATAGCATCTCAAATTCACATCACATAAACCTCCCAAAATTTTACAAACCAAAAACAGAACTGATTAGCAGATCATTAATTTCACGAAACAAACAACCAAGTATAAGGAAATTAATCCGACAGTTCCTATTAACATATGACCTCATTTGAACAGATAATTCTGTGTCTAAACATAAAACATCTACTACAAAAACAGCAGGTGACCAAGTTGTTTCAAAAACATCCATGATATCACAAATTGAAAATCTCTTAATGGAAACAGCACCAAAAACACTAAGACTAATGACATAAAAAAAAAACAAAGAGACAATGTTGTCTGACTAATTTAACATCTGAAAGAGAGGGATTCATCAATACAGCTAAGCAAGGAAAGCAACGGAACAGGAATTTAATTTCAGGGTCAAGCTGATAGGTTCAGAGATTCTTAATTGTGAGGAATAGAATCAAAACGGTTTCTTTGCTGACTTTAAATCACTACAATGGAATCCAATGACCAACCCTAAGAACACACAGAAACAAATCCGGAAGTGAATCAAAAGAGTACTTTCATTACTTTCAAAGCCCCTCCCCTGAATTGTGATAAACAGAATCAAAACAGTTTCCTCGTTGAGTTTAAAACATCGATTAAAATGAAAAACAATGACCATAGCTAATAAGACAACCAAGAACAAATCCGAAAGTGAAACAAATATCACTTTCAACTCTCCCAAAGACTTAAGAACTCAGAGACCCTAATCTCTTCTCCCATCCCTGTATTTATACAATTCAAACATCACAATCTAGAGCCTATCACAAGCACAATGCAGAACCCAGGAAAATTGAAGGGGAGCACAAAATCGTGAAATCGCAGAAAGAATTTACACAAAAAGAACACTTTCTTTTTTTTGAAAATCAGTATTCAAAATTTTCACTTGAACCAAGTCAAACAAAAATCAACACTTTACTCCGCTATCGCGCCCCACTCACCACGCTAAAAATCTGGAACGCAGAATTCAGAGAAATCAAACAGATTCACAAACAAATAAGAGAAAACATGAACCCTAATGCTACACTCAAAACTCAGCTTGAACCAAAGCACAGAAGATAATTCAAAAAAAAAACAGTGACTTTCGTCGGCGAAAATCAAGCCCTGAAACAAATCTCTGAAGAAACACTCACCGGGATCGCAAAGTCGGTAAAACTCTTGAACATCTGCAAAAAGGGAAATCTAAAAATTGAGTTTCCGGTGATAATGGGAGGAAAACTAAATTAACAACAACAAAAAACACAAGCAAAAGTAGAAACGATTATTACCGGTGGTTAAAGCCTTAATCATGCCAGCCCTACGACCCTTAAAATCCCTAAAAACCTCCTCCACGGTGCGTGGGTTGTACGCTGCACCTCCGTCCATAATCTTACAGAACAGCTTAGTTCACCGAGAGACAGAGACAGAGAAGAAGAGAGAAGTATTTGACTTGCCCCTGAGAATTGTGTGCGAGAGAAGTGTGAATAAAAGGGCGGACCCAAAGACAATTAAGCGGATTTAATAAGATGAGGAAGAATCCGCAGATGAGAGAATCAGATGGGGAAGCGACCACGATAAGCGTTACCCTACAATCCTCTAATATCTTGACGCGTGTCTATTTTAGATGGTTTTCGTTACCTGACCGCCGGCAATGACTCCGGCACCTCCTGGTTATGTTGTTTGAGCAGAAAGCCTTTTGGTACTAAGTTGTTTGGTGTTTTATCTTTTGCGTTTGAGATGTTTTATCGAATTAACGGAATCCTCTGTTTTCTTCGCGCTTAAATCCGATATTTTTTGAATGTTCGTTATTTTTAACCGTTTCTTTTTTTTTCAAAAAAAGTTATAAATATCTTATGAAATTATAAAATTATATTACTAAAATTGTCTGTTTTCGCACCATTTTTAAAAAAAAAAATATATAGCAGAACAATATACTCAATGCTTTTTATTTTCAGTTTCTTTTTTCGATCGAATAGTAAATACCTTAATTTTTTACTAATGAAGAGTTTTGAAAAACAGAATTGTATGTTATTTCGTGCCATACTTTTTTGTCTATTCTTATATTTTTTGATACTTTTAAACAAATTAGTAAATAATTTATCTTTTATTTATGAATTTTTTAACCAAAATTTTTTTTCTTTTGCGTTAATTGATGGATCGAGATATAATATTCGACATGTTGCTGTGACTATTAGTTTTTACAAAAACGACCGGAGCCAGCCTTCACCATAAGTTGGGCAAGCATGGGAGCCTGTGGCCTTTTAATATTTTTATTTATAGAAGTTACTAGCTAAAAACATCGTCAAGAGATCCTAATAACTTCAAATATAAAGGTTTATATATTTCATGAGACAATTTAAAACTTCTAATTTTGAGGTATTGAACAGTGATATCTTATATTTGAGGTTTCACTGTTCAATACTTCAAATATGAGTATTTGAAGTTATTCAAATATGAGGTTACTGTTCAATATTTCATTCCAAACTTTTCAATTATATATTTTAAAATTAATCCTAATAATTTTTGTGTTTATCATTTTAACTCTCTTAATTTTATGTTTAATTAATACTTCATATATATATATTCGTATAAATAAACTATATACATATAAATTTATAAACAAAATTAATATAAAATATAAATATAGTAGAAATAGTACATGACATTAAAAAATTACATAATAGCAATATTACAAGCAAATTTAATACAAACTAACATAACACAAAAAAATAAAGTGACACATGAACATATAAATATACACAAATTAAAATATTATAACAATACTAATATTTTAATAATATTTTTATTATGTGGTTTCTAGTTATTTATGAAAATTGTATGATCTTAGATAATTATTATCAATAGTGAAAAGTAAAGTGCAAAGTATAATATATTTTTAAAGTTTAATTTGAAGTTTATCATTAGCGAATATTATCCTCAAACCTCAAAATTGAGGTTTTTCACACCTTAAATATACAGTGTTTTTTAGAAATGCTCTAATTCAATAGTTCTTTGGTAAAGGCTTCTAAAAATGATAATCGGTGGTTGGTTCAATTCTTTTATGGGTATTTCTTCTTAGACACGTGTTACCCATTTAAATTTACGTTTTCTGTTACATTTGCATAAAATATAAATTTCCTTTTTGTAATAAAAGAAGTTTACTTCTATTTTTCTTTGTTATTTTCCTATTTAAGATATAGAAACAAATCTTTGACAAAAAAAAACGATAGAGAAACAAATCTTTTCGTATTTTGACAAAGAATTGCAACAAATGTCAATCATTCAATCAATTAGATTTTATACTATTCGTAACGTCTCAATAAAATATATCTTTCCTTTTGGTAAATTTCCGTTTTATTAGCTACTTAAAATATATAGATTATTTTCTTATTATTGACGAAAAGATTCACTTACCGCATATACAGTTGACTATGTACTAAATCATATATACTTTTTTGGTTATATGAATGATATTGTGATAATGTGATTAACTTAACTTTTAAATTTTGTTTCATTCTATTAATTTTAATTCAGCTAGTTCCGCATATGCAGTTGACAAGCCAAATATGGATCGTAAACGCATCCATTTGACCATTTCTAATCGCTATACCAATTAATGTGTCTATATTGCTCAATAACGTTTTCATAATACCTTTACCTATTGCGTTTAAACTAAGCTGAGCCATGATCAGCATTAGTTTTATTACCAAACTGGAATCTAAATGAAGTTAAAAGTTTCATCGTCATGGTCCATGCCCAGTTCTGTCCATGCCTCTTTTCGTTGATACTTCTCTCCAAGATCATCTCCGAAATCCATTTTCATCTCCAACTTAATTAGCTTTGAGATCGACTACTAATCATACCCTTAAAGCTCTAATCCTAGTCGTCGTCAAGAAATGTTGTTTTATAGAGTAGATCTTCTTTCATGAGCAAACTTTTGTAAAGTGTGAAATCATATTATCGGTTTGTCATTTGCAGTAATGTAATAATGCATTTTATAAAAGTTTGCTCATGAAAAACAACTTCAGAAGGTTTTCAGTTTTCTTACATTTTGGGTGGTAATTTTGTGATTATATATGTCTACAAAACACAGACGAGAGATAAAATTTTATTGATATTCTAAAAAATCGAATCTTCATATGTCATTAAGTTAAAAAATTCTCACTGAGAATACAGAGGAAACAAAAAAACATATGAAGCTCGGTTTTCAGGATTCAAAATTCTAAAAGTTAAAAACTGATATCAAATTTGAAGTCGAAAGATAAAGAGCTACATCCGTAAATTCCTCATCACAACAAATGTTGTTAAGTTAGCTCGATGACTTTTGCTTGTCACTCATGATGCAAAAACCCGTGGAAGAGTGGAAACATGAGCTTGAGCTTGAGCTTGAGAGTTGATGGGTACATGAGAAACCGAAGGCTTCAACAATGACTTCACTTCCTTTGGTAAGTCGAGCTGTTTCCTCACCTCGTTAGCCAATTCGATCACATACTCTTCCTCGTGCTCTGTTTCAGAACATTCATCAACATCAAAAAACCATGCCAAAAAGTGTTCCTTTAACATAATAAAGAAGCTGTCTCTCTCTCAATCTCACCAATGTCGTGCATTGCTTTCTCAAGCTTGAAAAGATACTCCCGGTTGTTCCCACAAGGTCCAGAAGCTGTGGCGATTTGCTTCGCCATTTCCTCCAATGGAGCAGGACCCAAATAGTATTTGTTCGACACTTTGTCTGGAGTTGAAGTGAAGCTACACAAAACACATCAATCTTATTTTAACATTGAGTCATCCAAATTAATACAATAAAAGGGAGACTTTTTTTTATATCCAAACATACACAATAACTCCGGTCAAGATTGGCTTGGAGGTTTCGGTTTCCTGCATCCAATGAATAGAAACTAAATGAATACAACAGAAGAACTTTCTAAATTTGGAAAATACAACAATAACAAACAATAACAAATTTCTTACAGTGTAAAACTCCACAAGGGTTTTTGAGTCGTATTCACACTCTCTCCGTTCCAAATACTGCCAAGAGAAACATGAGCCGTCAATAATCAGATCCAACGACACAAAATAGAACAATCTGTGTACGAAAGATAAACAAAAGGATCTTCTTTTTACCTCCATTGCTAGTTTCTCCTTCTCGGGTCCTCCACGAACACAATAAGCAGCACCCCACTGCCCAAAATATCAACGATTTCAACATCGGAAATTCATTATAAAAAAAAAAGAAACAATTTTTTCTTATAAAAATATGAACTTTCTTACGCATATAGCTCCAGTGGATTGCTCCAACGTGCAAGTTCTAGCAGGATGTTCAGGGGTGCCTCTATGATCGATACACGCTGCAGACAAAAATAGCAACATTGTTTTGATTCAGATTCTCTTGTGGAAATTTCAAAAAACAAAAAAATTGAAGGACAAGAATGTGGTTGAATTTATAGATATATACCAAGATCGAAGACGCGTTTGTAGTCTTTGATGTAGCCAATGAGCTTCTCGTCAAATTGGAAGCCTGGGTTCCAGATCAGAGATCCATATCCGAATACCCACAAAACCATTTTGACTTCTCTCGTTCTCTTTAAGAAAGACAAAAAAAAGAAGAAGAAGAAGAAATCAAATTGTGATGAGACAAATTTTCCGGAAGAGAGAATCGTTCTATTAATACAGAGCAAGTGTGGAGAGAGAGAGAGAGACAAGAGTTATGTTTTTGTGGGAAGAGAATCCCGGGATGCTTGGGATTGTGGATTGAATTTAGACGGCTTTTAAGGTTTATTCTTTTTCCGTACATTCTCCGCATTTAAAGCCCAATCCTACTCTCTCCCTAACTCTAGCGTTTTTTTCCTTTTTCCTAGATACATTGAATCTAGACACCTTTTTATGTTTCTTAGTGATAACAGACAGAAATGGCATTGGTCCAGCATAGCCCAAGCCCACGACTTTTTTTCATCTTATCTTAGATGTGCATTTCTTTTTGTACTTTCTGCTAAGGATTTTTTTTTTTTTTGGTGGTAAAAAATTTGTCGTGTAAATACTAACACAAAGATAAATTGTCGAAAACAGAGCATAGTTCAAAACTTTATTTCGTGTTTTGTTGCATCTTCGATATGAAGTTGGGCTTTACAAAGATTGAATTTATCTCTGATTGCAAGTTCCAGACCTTAAGGGGGATATATAATAGTTGGACCTACTTAAGAATGATATCTTCATGGGATAGATAATTCAGAACATTCAAGAGAGAATTCCGACCTAATTTCTCTATCTTTAAACCCTTTAACCAAAAACAAAAAAAAGTTATTCATCGTTTAGTTTCCGCCAAGCGAACCAGGTCGCATGTCGAATGGCCAAACATGCAAAGCCTTTACTTTTCACCTCCTATGATGCTATAATCTCAGATTTTGTTATATCAAAATCAAAGTGTTCGTTACATATGTATATACACACGCATGTGGGGAGAGTGAAGAGTGTATTGGGAGAATGATCTCTATAGCCAAAGTAAGAAAGAAAAAAATATATTCTAAGTATTCATTTAAGAACAAAACAAAGCTTGATTGGTTAAATTTTGTGGGGCTGTTGGAAAAGTTTTGGTTGTCTATCCTTTATTTTCTTTTTTGACATCAAAGTTTTGGTTGTCTAGCTTGGAGGCACGTTGAGCTGCGAGTTTCTTGGTGTTGGACCACTCGTTTTGGTTATGGCGCAGATCGCTGTAATTATTATCACCATTGCCTATAAATACTAAAATTAATTACATCCACGTCCTAAATTCAGTCTCCTTCTTTTGATCATTTTTTCATCCTTTAATTTTGGATGAATTTGATTATTTGCAAATTAGAAAATATCAGGACGTGAAGGTACAATGCTATTAGATAACATAGTATATTTAGAACACATGGTGCTTTTTTTTCGTAAAAACCATGTCATTTAGAAGAAATAACTTTCATTCTTGTATTCTTACAGATAAAAAGATCTATAATCATTCACCTAATTATGTCTCATCATATAGTCCTCTTTATTTTATTTTTTTCTGCGACGGTGCAATATATTAAATATTACTGTTGATAGTAGTGAGAGAGAGGACAGCGACGCTACCAAAGATCTTACTAAACACATGTCACTATTTATCATTAAATCTCCATTTCCATGCAACACAAGACAAATTTCAAACCTACCCTTTTATTTTTTACTGCTTGTTTGGATTAATCATTTAATATATCACACTACCCATTAACTCAACACTATGTCAGTTTTATTTCACATGAATAATAATAAACACAAACACAAAATAAAATAAATATTTATATTCTGTTTTCCTGTTTCAAAAATAACTAAAGTTTTTTACAATATTAAAGTTATCTTTCAGATGTTAAAATTTAAATTGATATAATAATATAATAGAAGCTTAATAATTTTTAATACGTGAAACATCTAAAATTATAGTTATATTTTGGTTTTTTCTAAAAGAAAGTTTCAAGTCCTATGAAAATTGAATAGATCATCGATAAAAGTGATGTATAATACATTGTTACAGTAATATGTTTACGGAGCATTAACGTTTTATAGAAGCTATTCAGATATTGTTAAATCAATTTAAATAAACTATGAACAGTAATTGATCACTTCTTGGATATAATTTAGCCTGGTACAATATCAATTAACGAGGGTCTTGAATAACCTCCATTAGTGATCTTGACTTACATTTGAATAAATAGCCATCGGTATAATTTGTTTTTAGTTAAATTTGAATTTAAATCTATACTTATATAAGAAATAAGACTCAAGATATGTTGAAGAGTTAATGTTCAAAAAAAAAAGATATGTTGAAGAGAGAAAATGAGAATAATGATGAAGACTAAAGAGGTCCCATAAATAATAATAATTGAATTTCACTGTGCTTGTATTTATATTATTAGCATCAAGATGGTCAAGAAAAAAACGAAGAGCCCCCATCATTAAATGAAAACATTATTGGATATGATTATATAGATAGTAGCTAAAAGTAAATATTTTAGTTTGTAGTGTAGAAGATAAATAAGTGTAGAGGACTTTGACTTTGACCACATTAGAATCTTTATTACGTACCCAACGCTTCTCAATGCAAAGAAGCACATGCATCCATCCACTAAGAACCAAACATATGCATATGTGATTAATGTTCTTGAGCTTCTACTCCACGTATACGATTAATTGTACTACCATCATGATATCTTTTCAAAATACACTAACAAAATCTATTGAAACATGTGTATTTGCATTATAAAAAAAAATCTTTATCACAGAATTCTGAATAGAAATCCAAACTAACCTATATGACATATACATTAGAAAGCTAAATCTTCTTACCATTTTAATATTTATAGTTGCTTTCAAATTATTAATGGCCAGGATCCTGGATCCACGTATGAATATTTTTACCACTCGGACGCCGCAGTGGAGATATCTCTATAAATTGGGTGTTTAGTTATTATACAATTTCTAAATCAGCATTTTTTAAAACGAAAAAAAAAACTGTACACCATTTATTTTTATTTTCCTGGTGTTTTCAAATATTTTACTTATATTACACTTACATTGATCATTCTACCATTACATATATGTATAACTTGTTTTGTTGTCACCGCTTGAAATGATGCTTATATGCTTGGTACTTTTCCTCATTTGTAAATTTGAAAATTCTATGTATAAACTAAAGATAGATAGTTCATACCTATTTCGATCGCTTTTTAGATATTTCATATTTTCAATCCATCAATTCGAGCTAGTGTTATTTTCGTAAAATACAATATATGAAAAGTACGTTATGCGCACCCAGTAAGTAACAAACATTACTTTCAATGACTTTCCGAGTTTGGGTTACATCATGAATAAACCATTCCTAGAGCAATGACTAAAATAATTGTTTGCCATGCAAATGTGATGAAACATTTGTATCAACTCGTTCAACATTTGATAGTCCGATTTTTTGTTATCAAACATAATAAATATTTAGAGCCATTGTCCATCCAAAAACAAAATAATAGTTTGATATGTTAAACAAAAAAAAGGAAGTTGGATGTAGATATTAAAATGAAGAACGAACATTAATTTAACGGAGAACACCGACAATAACAACAGAGAGAAAGAGGCGATAAGGTACAAAGGAGTGAACCAGTTCGCTAGAAGAGTACTGATGAGTACTCAATAATCCAATTCTTCAATTATTTTTAAAATATAAACCCCACCGTCGTTTTCTTGTTGCCCTCAATTATTTTCACAACGTCTATATACTCTAATATAATTAATATTTGTATATAATCATATTAACTAAACAAATCAGAAGATTGAAACAAAGTAAACGATGTTCTTCGAATTAATGCATTTTGGTTAGCTACCATGAAATTAAAATTACACAAGACCATAATAAACTAGTAATGAGATTCTGTTTGGATTTTGGTTTTAATCCCTGAGTATAACTTAAAAGTATGAGTTTTTTTGCTCCATTTGGCTCGGAATGTTGATTAAAAGTATGAGTTTTTTGCTCCATTTGGCTCGGAATGTAAGAAGAACGAAATTGAAATCAAGACGAATCTTCAAATGATCCACCAACTACAATGTCTTATTCTGAGTTAAGTTATATAACATCCGTATAAGATAACCAATAACATCGTTAATAGGGATTGGATGTTGGATCACACTAGCAATTTTCAGACAAAAGAGTAGATCAAGATTTAGATCAAACTTTAAAATGACTAGAAAGACCAAAAAAAAAAAAAACATAAAATTTATATGGATGGATCCAAAAAGACATAATGCTAGATCTCGAGACTACTAACCAAATTCTTCTGCAACATTGAGTTCTTGCAATGAGCAATAGCTCCTTGAATAGCACTCTGCAACTCTTCCATCGAAGAAGACACACTGTTGTTGCTGCTGCTGCTACCTCCTCCTTGACCCGGAAATCCGCCACGTGTCAATACGCCGGAATGACTCGGAGATGACCTCATCGACGACGGACAACTCGCCGCGCATCGTCCTCGTTTTGTGTATCTCATTAGGTTTCCCGAGAAAGAGATCGATTGCCCGCCGCCGGAGACAGCGTTTGGAATGGAGGTGACGGTGGAGGAGGTTGCAGGAGCGGTTCCGCGGATGTTGCCGGAATCTTTGAGAGATGACTCTGTTTTCAAAGCAGAGACGGTGGTGCTCTGTTTCTGAGATAACTTGTCGTATAAAGGTTTGACCTTTTTCATGTATTTGCGAATAACCTCTTTCGCCGTGGAGCTCATTCTCTTTACCGACGACGGAGCGGCGGTTGCTGCGGCGGCGTTGACGGTTTTGGGATCTTTCTTGAAAACAGAGGAGAATCTAGAGAGTGAGAAACCACCACCGGAAGATTTGTAATTAGGATTCTTCTTCGGAGGTGGTTTGAAGAAGAAATCTTCTTCGTCGTTTACCGAGCTAGGACGGGAAGAGTCACAGCAATCGAGCGGCGGAGGGTGGAGGAGAGGGAAAGAGGCGGTGGAATCAGTGGAGGAGGAAGATTCGGTGGAGTCACGAGCGGCGGAGGTTGCGGAGGAGGAAGAAGAAGTGTAGTCGGAGGAAGAAGAAGAAGAACAGAGTGTACGGACGAGAGAGAGACGAGGGGAGAGCTGAAGAGGGAGAAGCTGGCCTTTGTAGAAGAGCTCATCGGCGGGACAAAGCGAAGAAGAAGCTTTTCGCGGCGAAATGGAGATGTTGAATTCGAATTCCGATGAAGATGACGACGGAGATGAGTGAGATTGCGGTGGTGAGTGACGTGGACGTGGTTGACGTCTCATCGCGTTTCTTATCTTTTTCTCTCTCTCTCTCTCTTTTGTATGAGTCTCTCTCTGCTTTGTCTTTAGTTTTGGCTTCTATGTAAATAATAGAAGGCAATTTTTTTAGTATTAGAAAGTTTATTTTTGTAAAAATTAATTTAATATTGAAGAGGATACTGCAGTGCAGTCGATATCATGAGAAAAGCCCACGATGATCGCCAGATTGAAGCTGTAGTCACATGCAATGCAATTAAAATAGTGTTAAATGGAACGTAGGATTAGAAAGTTTGTTTAATGACGTTAATTAATTAATTAAGTATAATATTCAGTTTGCAGGAGTGAAGAGTGAGCAAAGCTAGTTGTGACCTGTGGTCCGATCTCTCTCCTTCCCGGAAATTATGGTATCCCCAGGTTGGATTTTACCGACTTGGAATGAATCTCTAGTTTTCATTTTCTTCCCATTTTCTAAACGATCTAATAAATTCTAATACAATAAACATAAATCCAGTCTAACAAAAAGGCGTGTACTAACTATATAATTTTTTTTTTGTCTTTAATAATTTCGGCTGTCTATATTATTTTTAAGAAGAATGATGAATAAAATTGGTTATAGACTTACAGGTGGTTTAAATAATGTTGTTGGGAAATATTGTGAATGGGTCCGTCCATTAGAGGATAATCTCTTGTAAATAAAAAAGTATAGTATTTTTCAAGAACTCTTCGAGATTTATTGCAGTATTCAAACAATAAGATTTTGTCGAAGAGGAAGAAAAATATGGTGAAGTTATGCTGAATCTAAAAGATGAGATATGCGGCCAATTCTATTATTTTACTACCTATTATCTAGAAAGGGGAACATACAGTAATACCTTTTTCGTATAAATCAATTTAAAGAGAAAAAACAAATTTACTTAGGAAAAAAATCATGAGATAAAAATAATGCTTAGTAGGGAGTCCTAGGGACTAGAGAGTATAAATCTCAGATTAGTATACTGGGTCGAGGTCCAAGACATTTAAGTATCGTCACCTAATTTTGTTGTCATTTATGCAGCTGCTGCTAGATGGTCGATAAACGAAACATCAAACGCGCATATATAAAATCCGACATGCATGCTTTATAATATTAATTAATAATTATTTACTAATTAATTATTATTTGGGCAATACGGATTTCCAAATCGAACATCAGAGTAATGAAATTTTAAACATTTTTATCAAATAATTTAATTTGTACAACATGCACTTTGTTGTGAACAGTATCAAATTAGCTTGTGTGCAACAGTAATTACTAATAATACTTATTTAGAACAGAGAAGTTAACTTCACATTGATTCGGATCAGTAGTGTAATTTGGTTGGAGAAGATGGTGATATAAAGTCCGGTGATACAAACTAAATACAGGCATAATTCACTTATATATAATATGTAAACATTTTCGTCGCGTATTGACGGCAAAATACAGCGGAAAAGCTTAGAAATAGTGATCCTATCACGTGACGCTAGGAACATGTACAAACCCCTAAGAATACAATAATATTTTTTCGTTTTGGTTTTAGTTTTTTTTTTTTATTTAATTCGAAAATTATAATTTTCGACCGATCAGAATGCTCCATTTCGAGATGATACTGTTTCTTCAGGTTCGTCGGGATGATACTGTCTCTTCAAAATTATGATTTTTTGTTTCAAAAACTGTGCCATGAACCCTTTTTGATCTCCTGATATACATGTTCTAACGCCATAGTTGGCGATTACTCGTCCTATCTTGGTTATTTGATATTACTAATATTACTAATACTAATAGCTTCTCTATCACTTTCGTATTATTATATCCTCAATTAAATAATAATTACGCCGTTTTTTTTGTTGGTCGAATCATTTTCTTATTTGTAAAGCAACTACTACTTGATTAATTATGATGTCACAATTAACCGCTAATTACCTGGTCGATTAATAAGCTCCACCGTAATATTAGTTTGAAACATTAGACATGGTGATGTTGGAACGTGTTTGAGTGTCGCAGACTAAACTATATAGTCCGAGAATCATCCCCTTACAACAACTTTTTTTTCCCGTTTTCGCTAGACTTCTAAGGATAATTGGAGTTGTTGGGCTTCCTTTTTGACTAGATTATTCTAGTTAGTCCATTATGTGCATTCTTGTTTTCCTTAGCGAGTTACCAATTCAATCAACAATCTCAACTGCATAGTTTCTGTTCCTTGTTTTCTGTATTGTCATGTCGTATTGACAAATATCTGATCCCACCATGGATTCGCCGTCCAGAAAATACAAATGCCAATTTGGTATCTTACTATACGACACCACAGCTGATTGGCCACTGCTTGTTAGTTATATAATTTTCTGAATACACCAAATTTTGTATTATGGTCGTGGTCAATTTTTTTCCACCAAACTCCTATGATGTTATTAGGAGATTGGCCCCAAGCCTAGACATCCCAGATGTGGAACAAAAACATGTTATATGGTCCGTTTCAACTTCCAGTTACCACTCAATTATGTGTGTTTATTATTTTTTATCCTGGTTTGCTCTTCTTGTGGATAAAATTTGTCAAATGGGGATTTCCTAACCCATGCAATGTTGAATGCTAATTTTGGTGGCTCTAGTATTATTAGGAGATTTTCTGCTCCATATATATAACTGCTGAGTGCATTGCACGATCCATCGCCTCTATCTCAGTTGATGCATTTTCAATACTTTTGTTTTTTGAACGGTGCATTTTCTTCATTCCTAACACTCCAATTCCATATATGTTATATTGGATTAGTCAACTATATGTATTTGGCATAACGTGGTCATTTCTATAGTAATTGTGTGAAACTGACTGGAGTACTTTATTGATATACAAACATGAGGGTCTCGACTCTAAATACAAATGATATTCATCTGAAGTAAGAACTAATCTTACGGTTCTCACCCAATACGTCTCGTTCTTTTATGAGGAAGAATAAAATCTTTAAACTGGCACAAGAAGAGAGCGGTTCCAAATAATATTGAAACATGTCTACGTCAAATGCAAATTTGTGGCCTAATGTTGATACAAGGTAGAGAATCAAACTTCAATAGTACATTTTCCATCAAACTCCATACTCTGATATGTGCAAACACTATTACACTAACTTGATTTATATTTATAATAGGTATACACCTTGATTGAGTTGAGAGACTTTGCAAAGGCGGTAAGATTGGTGTTAGAACCATTTATGCTGGGGAATGAGCTGCTGACTCCGACATTTAAGGTAAGGACGAGCTTATTTCTTCTTAAACTTTGCGTGCATACCAGCATAACTTGTAAAGGTAATGTTGATGCGTACTATAGTATGGTTCAAAGTTGATATCAACATCTTAGAAAAAGTAGCTTTTGAGGTCAAATTTCTGTTCATAGGATTAGTATGGTCTTAGTATATGTTAAGCTCAAGGACCATTACGAAAGTGATCTTAGGTCTAAAAAGTTGTGGATGAATACTAGCGATAAACAGACCACAAGCAAAGGGATAATCGCAAATGTGTGATGCGTTTGATTCCACTCCCAAAAAAGTTTTGTCAAATTGTATATGTCTAAAAGCATGAAGGCAAAAGAGGTACTTTAAGTCTAAGGTTACAAAGTCCATTCCAAATTGTACTCTCTATTTTTTTTTTTCTTGCAGTTAATTGAAGGATAATAGAGGTACTTTGTTAATGTTAGTTCATGGATTATAATTAGCCAAAATAGCACATGAATCATGGGACATTCTTGTTTTTCTTCTTTTCGATATATGATATTGCACAAAACAGCACAAAGAAAATAAACCATTTAAAATCTCTATTTAATAATTTATATATCCACATAAAAGTTGTTATAGAAAAAATATCACACCTCCTAAATGGCTATAACCATTGGATACAAAATCATAGCTACATTTGGGTAAATTATTCAAAAACATTTCACCCCATAGTAAGTGATTTATATATTAATATTTTACCCACCCTTTTCTCTAGTAAGTAAATTGATAAGGAAAGCTAAATCCTCGTATAAACAGAAGAGACCTCAGGAACAAGAAATCAATCAGAAACGAATGAATCAAAGGTAGTGCGGTTTTTGAAAAAATCCCGTCTTTGTGATCGAATCGCTAAAATCCAGGAGCTTTTCGATTCGATCATCATGCTCTCGAATCATCTACATAACGGGATCGAATCTGGTAACCTGATCTGGTCTCGTGTCCCTGAATCCGATGATGCTTCCACCGACGGCGTTGGCCTACTCAGCTCTCCTCGTGACGGCGGAGGTGTTGATAGTCTCGACTATGAGGTCATCGAGAATTACGCTTACAGAGAAGAACAGGTTGGTTTCTACTTGCTCTTATCTCTCTCCCTTCTCCTTTTGTGTTCCTCTCTCTCTCTCTGTTGATTTTGACTCCTTTTCTGCAGGCGCATCGTGGTAAGCTTTATGTTGGCTACTACGTTGCTGTCAAATGGTTCTTCTCTTTACTCATCGGGATCGGTATTTCTTCTTTGTTGCCTCCTCTTCGGTTGTTGATATCTTTCTCGGAATCAGATCCCTAAATTTTGTTTCTTTGTTGGGTTTTCTTAGGAACTGGATTGGCTGCTGTTTTCATCAATCTCTCAGTTGAGAATTTCGCTGGATGGAAGTTTGCTCTCACTTTTGCCATCATTCAAAAGTCTTATTTTGCGGGTTTTGTAGTTTACCTTGTCATCAATCTAGTCTTAGTGTTTTCTTCTGCGTATATCATTACCCAATTCGCTCCTGCTGCGGCTGGCTCTGGCATTCCTGAGATTAAGGGTTATCTCAATGGTACTCCAATTTTCTTTCTCTCCTCTTTTTTTTCTTAGCTGGAAATTTGTAGTCCACAGACTTTGTTGACTATAATGTTTTGGACACTGCAGGAATTGATATTCCTGGCACCTTGCTCTTTAGAACCCTCATCGGAAAGGTGCGTTAACTTTTGTGGATGTTATGTTATCTTGGAAGTTTCCTTTTTTATTCTGTTTTGAAGATACTTTTTTTATAGTTTGCTCTCTCATAGATATTTGGAAGCATTGGTT